GTTTTAGGAAGTAGAACGTTTGAAACTAGGAAAAATTGTTTTATTGAAACAATAAACGTCAAAACATAAATTAAATTAATAGTTCATTGTATCAGTAATGTTTTTCAACAAGTCATTCATCAACAAATCTCAGTTTTCTATCCGAAAATGTTTTTCAAATCTTACATATTTCCCTACGATTAGTCCCTAGATTTAACTTTCATCATTTGGTAGAAGAGAATAAATTTTCCATCTTTGAAATTTATTTTGGGGAGAAAGTGAAATATGCAGAGTTTACAGCTGAGAAGAGAAGCTTCTCTGTGAATCTCATATAGTCCTACATTACTGATAAAGCTACACCTAAAGGATCATTAAAATGAGTAGGGAAATATACCAGGCTTTCAAGATCAATAAATGAAGGGAAGCTGGAACTACACAAGTTGAGATATGGACATTTTGAACTATATTGTTTTTAATTACAAGTCTGTCTCGGGCCAGTAGAACGGTTTTTTCGCCCTGAGACTTGATATATGAATGAACCTGCATTCTAGTGTTAATAACCACATGAAAAATTGAACCCAGTAACTGACGCTTTGAAAGCCATTGACTTATCCAATATGCTAATGAGATCAAATATTTGGTAAAAACTCTGTTCGTTTAAAGATGCTGAACACTGTAAAGTTATTTTCTTTTAGTTCAGTACACTTTGGCAACCGTTGTTCATTGAAATTACACTCATACATACATACATGTAAACACGCTCACAAAACTGAATCTAAAATTGCTGTATGTCACGAAAGGATCGTTTTCACATTCAAATGGATAGCAGGGTTAAATTAAGTACAATAGAAAAAGTGAGCTGAGAATTTATTTCTTGAATAGACCAATGACAATTAATTTGCCTGCAATTGAATAACTCAATAACTCAATATCAGGACTCAGTGGCTGAGTGGATAACGTGATGGCGTTTGAAGCGAAAGATACTGGGTTCGAGTCCCAGAGTGAACATCAACTCTGAGATGCAGGTACATCCAACTGACGAGTCCCAAATAAGACGAAACGTGTGTCAAACTGGATTCCACTGCTAGCCACTATCCATGTTTGCTTACAACTCAGTAAATGTTTATATGAATTATGCTTTAATTTAAAAAAAGACATTCATTCGAGATGATTTATCCCTTTGATTCATTTTTTTGTTTAAGTATAGAACATTGAAACACTACATAGATAATCTTTCCATTGTTGTTAATGACTAAAATTGATCAGTCTTTTATTGGCATATGTGCATCCTGTGAGGATTGTCTTGATATTGCCTTACGTCGCAAGTATTGTAATCAAAAATAGATAACATAGTTAAGATTATCATTATGAAAATTGTTTTTGAAGATAGATCTCTATTGTTAATGTTTTATCATTTTAAATAATATTTAAAAAGAAGAGAATTCATCTTTTGATTAATTGACCTTGTGGTTGGTCAAGGAAGGAGCAAGGGTTAGAGATATTTCTTCCGTACGCATAGTTCAGGTTACTTCATCCTGATGGCTACTGCCTGAAGCAAATTATATTGGTCGAAGTTCTAGGAATTTACATTTTCGTGCTCGTGAACACCTCCCAGTGTGACTAAGGAAAGGTTTGGTAAAGAAAGTAAGCAGCTCGATATTGGCCCATTTAGTACAAACTGGTCATAGTGTTAGTATAAACCAATTCTTTTCAATTATTTATAGGGTCAGTAATTTTTTGCCAAAGCTTGTCAGGCTTAAAGTCATTCAAACGGCGGAGGAAGTAGCCATCAGGATGAAGAAACCTGAGCTATGTGTACAAAAGAAATTCATCTTTTCTTCGTAATGAAGGCTTGTTTTAACAACTGTTTAATTTACTGAAGACTTTTGTTAGAACCCATGAATAGTAAATATTTAAACGTGACTATAATGGGGAGAGTTTTAACACATATTTCCTTTTAAAATTTTAGTACTTATTTGTAATTTTAGCTGTACACTATTAACATTTTTATTTGCATGTGAGATGTGATGGGATATTGCCTGGGGACCCTAACCAAAGTAGGTGACTTCATCAGGAGACCACTTTTCAAACATTTAATCTGAAGGTCTAAGCCACAGTGTAATGGAGAACTGTCAGACGTTACAGTCTAATATTGGCAAGGAACTAGAATAGTCTCGTACGCCGTTCATTCTCTCAGCTTCCTGGAGTCCATGCATATCACTGATTTTGAATAAAAGTTTTCCAACTCCTCATAGTTGACCTTCAGTATCTGTCAACCTGACGTAAGCGTTAAACACCTTTTGTCATCTCAGTTTTGTGAAAATAATCTCACTCTACATGAAGGTAGTGAATAGCATTTCCCTAGCACAACCTATGATCACAAGGTTGTATGATAGAGCACTGAGAGAAGTAAACTCTTCCCACATCCTTTAATATCACTTTAATATAGAAATGATAGAAATTCTCAGTTCTCCATTTTCGTAAAAAGTTTTGTATTAACTTAAATCTATTACAATTTTACACAAAGTTTAGTAAAAAGTTCCAAAGAATTATATTACAGGGGTTGGCTATCGAGTTTATAGTTTATATAATTGTTCAAACTCTTTAACCTGACCTGATAATATAGCCTAAGGCCATATATGATCGGTGGATTTACATAAGATTGACATAAATCTATACACACATTGTGGTGTTCACTACAACATATACGTCTTCACACGGAGAATTTGAACACATTTAGAACTAAATAACTTACATTGACACTACAAATTAAAAATTAAACATTTTACTCAGTATCTCAGATTTATTTAAGTAACTGTATTTATCTTCATAAGCAAAGATGGATAGTGGCTAGCAGTGCAATCCAGGACGCATGTTTCGTCCTATTTGGGACTCATCAGCTGGATGTACCTGCATCTCAGAGTTGATCTTCACTCTGGGACTCGAACCCAGTATTTTTCGCTTCAAACGTCATCGCGTTATCCACTTGGCCACTGAGTCCTGATAGCCACTTCCTTGTGCAATGGGGTGAAGTTTAAATTCATTCAGTATTGTTTGTTTGAATCTTCCCATCGATTTGTTAGGACTGCAACTGGTCAGTCTCTAATTGGCATATGTGCATACTGTGCGTATTGCCTCGATATGACCTTAATTCACAAGCATGGATTCCACTGTCAGCCACTATCCATCTCTGCTTACCATGTTTGTGAGTTAAGGCTATATCGAGGCAATACGCACAGTATGCACATATGCCAATTAGAGACTGACCTGTTGCAGTCCTAACAAATTGATGGGAAGATTCAAAAAAACAATACTGAATGAATGTATTTATCTTCGATTTGATTTTGTTGTTTTATATCCCTAAAGAATTAGATAGATTGTCAAATGATATATTACAGTTTATTTGTTATGATATATATTTCTTTACACAGAAGTTTGTCATTGAAACTGAACTTATCAACTCAAATAAACTGGAATTATCCAGTTGTTTCACTTGGAAAGCTGGTACTTCACTTGTATACATAGATGATTGGATTATCTTGTATATTAGGCAATGTATTTAATGTATACTATCACCGTTTATTATTTCCCATAAAGTAAATTTATATTACATAACAATGTCTTTATATCAGAAGGGGTTTTTGTGGATATTAGTTGAGATCATTTGTCAATTGAAGCTTCCAGGTTTTCCATGATGGTCTAACTTCAATTGATTCATGATCTCAACTTCTAAAATGTCTTTATAGAAGAAATTAACTGTTTTTCAACTACGACATTTTTAACATCTCTTGAAAAAAAACAACTTAGTATGATCTTTTATTGAATAGTGATCCGAAAACACTTGAAATAGCAATAATCTAACTCTAGAATGAAAGAGAAACAAAATATTTGCATCAGGACATTGAAGAAATAAATTCTTTTTCAATTAGCTCCTTATTATTATGAATTCATAGTTGATATTTTATAAGTCATGTTAGTCTAGGTGACTATGTGTCTGAAATCTCAGTTGGCTTTTACTACCTTGCATTACTTGGGGCGTAGACAAGATATTTGTCTAGCGAGAGAGAGGAAAGTACATTGTGCGATGATTTGCTCTGTTTTATTTTATGACTGACAATTGGTATTCAGAAGTAAGAGAAATTCGTAGGTTGCTAGGATTTGATTATTGGTTTCTCCGAAGCTTTTATGACGTATGTTTGTGGCTACTGAGTGGAGAGTGCTGTTTGACACACAATACTAAAACAAATAGCCACTCAAATAGTGAGACAATTTTTCGTCCACTATAACAGTTGAAACCTGTATTGCTTAAGTTGAACCACCGTCTACCTCGAAGGAAAAGTAGAAGATCTGGTATTAAATCATAAAATTTTTATTCAAGCTGGTTGCTAAAGTTCTGTCACCTTTTTGTATACTTATCACTTTTCTTGTCGCTATAGTATCAGTCAAATTAAGGCATACAACTACGCAAGTTCATCGTTAAGTTTCTGAATATTAATAATGATAGTTGAGTACTGAACATTAAAGGACCAGTAGTTTCTTTACTTGCCCACAGTTAATGGACATGAACTAACAAGCATAACTTTTTATCATTGTCATCTATTTAAATGATTCAGTATATCATTTAGTTCGCTTACAGAGGAAATAACAGAAATCCGTATAAACACAGCTAATCTTTGTGTTTGAATCACATTATTATACTCGATTTCTTTGCATTAACTATTTGCTTAACTTCAGAATAACACTGATGGGTTTCATGGTAAACTTATGTAATCATTTTGAATAAGTAATAAAATATATTTGATTATTAACTTACGCTTAATGTTACACAACCGTAATTTGCGTTGGTAAAGATTGACATATAAAAATGATTATTATCATATCCATTACGGGTTAATTGTTTACAGAATGATTAATCAGTAAAATTGTAAGGTCATTTATGGTGAAAGTGAATAACATATGAGTTTTATTTTACACTAATAAATATCCACTTTCTTTCTAATTCTTATCCTTAAATAAAACAGGAGCTGCAGAAAAATCTTTACGTCATGGTGCTGTAGATAAAGCTCAAGCTGCAATGGAAGCAATACGTGCGCTGATTCAACGACGTATAACTGAACGATCAGATATTTTTGAATTTTTAGCCAATGTTTTTCAAATTGATGTTCATTCAATGACACATTTGAATGCTTTAGAATTTGCACAAAAAAGTATTGTAGCCGGTGCAAGTCAATGGTCGGCTAAAATTGCAATAACCGGTAAATTGTTATTTTTTATTATTGAATTATTTAGTTTGTTTTTTAAAGTTTGAATGATTTAACTTTCCATGTTGCATGTGAGACATTTGTGCATTGAAGAGAAAATAAATGAGAGTTGTGCAATATCGTGAATTGATTGAAGTCACACATTAATACCGTTTGGTTTAGGATCAATACTCGCGAGGTTAAGCGTTAGCGTGCGCAAATGTAGATCCTTGGCTCGATTCACAGATGTGGAATTGTGGATGAGCACTGCTACGAAACGGCCATTAAGAGCTCCTAGGTTTTCAACGGTCGTCTAACTAATATCAATTCGTGGTTCAAACTGTGGTAAATTGAATTGTTAATTGTTAGAGATCAACTGGAAATAAAGTTTTCCCAAATGAAATAGCTTGGAAGTAAAAATTCAGTCAACCAATAGATTGACTTAGATTCAGTTTCACTCTCGGAAGATATATATTTCATTTATAAATCGAACAGAATCGGTAGATTGAAACTAAGAAGTTTATATATTATTGGAAGTCAGTTAGCGAGAGTATCTAGTTTGAATAATCACAATGTAAATTACGTTGACTTTTTCTGTTTGTGTCACATTGAAGCGATGAGTATCATACAAATTAATGATAGTAATTATACTTCAACCATTAATGCGATCATTCACTTTTTGTTAATAATGTTGCAGTTGTACTATTTACCTCAATCGCGAGTTATTTTCTCGGAATTCGATTTTTTGCATGACCTATGCTCTTTTCAGATTGGATGCCTCTAATTTTGGTTAGCTAATATTCTGTATGTCTAAAGGTTGTGCTTTTGTTTCTTCCTGATTTCTTCCTTCACTGGAATCTGGTTCGTTGTCTCCCACAGTTACTTGTTGCTGATAGTGTTTGGTCAACGGATCCGTAGTATCTTGCGTAGACAGCTTTTAATAAGCAGTTGTATCTTTTGGATGTTGGCCTTCGTAGTTCTCCATGTCTCCACCTCATACTGTAGAACTGTCTTGACATTTGTATTGAAAATTCTGATCTTGGTGTTGTTTGAACGTTGTTTTGAGTTCCAGATCTTCTTCAGTTGTAAATATGCTATTCTTGCTTTGCCGACCCTCGTCCTCTCATTTGCATCTGATCCACCGTGTCCGTTAATGATGTTGCCCAAATATATAAAGGTTTTCACATCCTCTAAAGCTTCTTCGTCAAGTGTAATTCGATTGGCCCATGTTGTATTGTATCGGAGTCTTGCTTTTCCCTTTGTGTATATTGAGACCTACTGCTTCTTAGGATGTTGCTACACTGGTCGTTTTCTCCTGCATTTGTTGTTGCATGTGTGATAGAAGAGCCAGATCATTTGCGAAGTCTAAATCGTCCAGCTGCATTCTACCTATCCACTGTAATATAAGAAAACCGTATTATTCTTTGTAATCCTTTGATACAAATATCAAATATCTTTTCAATGTTATTCTATTGTATTAGTGTGATATACCATCTAGGATTTAATACATTTTTATCCCAAGCTTTACGTTAGTTTAGACTGAATATCTCCTGTCATTGTTATAAGTCAATTCCAATTCCTGTGTGTTATAAGTTCCATAAAATTAACATGAAAAAGAATATCAGTAACTAATGTATAGTTATCTATTCTAAACTAAAGGAATATAATTCACTTAGTATTGTTTGTTTGGATCTTCCCATCAATGTGTTTAGGAATGCAACTGGTCAGTCTCTAATTGGCATATGTGCATACTGTGTGTATTGTCTCCATATACCTTAATTCACAAGCATGTTAAGCAGAGATGGATAGTGGACGAGTCCCAAATAGGACGAAACGCGCCTCCTGGATTCCACTGCTTGCCACTATCCATCTCTGCTTAAAGAACTATAAACTGTTGAATATATTAGTAAATGATATGACAAAAGCAAATATAAATCAGACAAACAACACCGATATCTATATATACACAGATTCAATACAGCTTTGTCTTTTTCCATTGTATTATCTAATTCCATGTTCTATTTTTTTTATTTATTTAATGGAAGTAATAAATGAACCATGAAAGTAAAAATGAAAAAGACGTATTATCAGTATTTATGTTTGTAGTTATAAATGAAGTCGGGTGTGATGTAATCACATCAAAGAAACTATTATTTACATTGATATGACTGATTACTACTACTACTGCTGCTGCTCTCTCTCTCTTTCTCACTCTTTCTCACTTATCTCTCTCTTTTTTTTTATTACCTTTCATCATTAATATAACAGTACAAATACGACAAAAAAAAAATAAAGGAGGAGAGTACAAGAAAATAAAATGACACATTTTTAAAAAAATATTTTCATATACTTTGTCTTCATTTGTACATCTCTTCTTTTCTTTTTTTCTTTATTCCCATTTGCTTCTATTTAGTCATTTTGTATATAATGATACTTAGTGTAAGTAAATGATAAATTATCATTATGCTATTGTAAAAAGACGAATGTTTGTCACAGTAAGAATAAATTTGAGCAGAATCCTATTCTCTATGTGGAATGATACCAAGTTGAATGAAATTACATACTGATGAGTAATTGTGAACTAACTCAGCTAAGACATTAAATAGGAATAATATATTTTTGTAAAATCTCAGCGAATGAATTTGTAGTAAATCCAACATTTCGCCTGGCAATCTGGTTCAAGCTTTTTCAAATACTGTGAAACTATTCGCTCTAATTTAGACGAGAGTTCTTATATATTATTCTGCAATCGCATAAAATTATCGAAGAAAATGTACAATTGGTATAACCATCAAATTTTCAATCTACGCTGTTTAAACCATCATGTTTATCCAAGAACGTTACAAGTCAAGACTCCAGACGATTCACCACGATCACAAAAAGCAGCTATTACAGCTACTAGAGTATTTCTTAGAGAACGTATTCATAAATCCAATAGAAATTTGGAATCTCTACGTTCACGTATTACAAATATTGATAATGTTTTATCATTAATTATACCATCAGAAATAAAAACAAATGTTGCTGAATTTTTTAAACATAAAGAAAACTTTTATGATCAAATTACAAAAAAAATGTCAAATAAGAAAATTCGAACAAATAAAAGATAATTCCTTGAAAAAGCTTGAACCAGATTGCCAGGCGAAACGTTGGATTTACTTCAAAAAATTTATTCGCTGAGATTTTACAAATATATTATTCCTATTTAATGTCTTACATCAATTTGGCGCTCAAATACTGTGAAACTGTTCGCTCTAATTTAGACGAAAGTTCTTATATAACTCAGCTTAGCTTTAAACTATCAAAAAATGTTGAGACAACAATCTCTGTAGAATGATTTGATTTGAATTCAAGCATTTTGGTCTTTTAGACGAGATTCACGAATCAATGGAAATATATTTCCAAAATAGAGTTGATCATCTATTTAAACCATCTTATATTTCATGTTAGATTATAAAAGGTAGTTGAAACGGAACCCTCAACGTACTAATGAGTAAGGTATATTTGCTATCTTGAAGAAATTGATATTCCCTTATAGATTTCAACCCATGTCACAGTGTCAATGTCTGGGATGTTACCCCTGAGCTATTTGAGCAGCATCTGATCTCCTATAAGACTAAGATATTTACTCCACATTCACGGAGATATATCATTTCTTTATTCATTTCCATTGCTACAAACACTATTGTAAATTTTAAGAAATTCACTTTCCATTAAATTGCAAGCCTTCATTATACAATCTATCAAAGATCTTTAAGGCCTTATCTGTATAAGGAACTTTAAATAATGAAAGTAATGGGTAGTGGAAATTGTCTAGTTTCATTAAAATCATTAATTGATCGATGTATGATTGTTGTTGAAAACCTAGAATTTATGGATGTCTTCAGTCTAGTATGGGAATCCTCAGCTGTGCACACCCATGATCCCTCACGCAGTAGCGGAACCCCCTCTAGATCACTAAATCTTAAATTAATGTAGTCTGTACAGGAATAAGAAAGAAATATAGTCAGTTAGGAAACAAAGATACATAAACTGAAAAAAACACTAATAGTTATTATAATGGTTAAACTAAAACCCTTATCGAGTAATCGTTAGAAAACGATGTCGGGTCATTGGCAGTTTTTTCACAAATTGTACCCATAACTATATTTGAGCAGCCTGTCGTCATTTTAAATGCCTCAAACCTCCAGTGGGGATATTTCAGTGATTATTATATGTTCCACTTTACCTATATTACGGCTGAAAGTACAAGTATAATTACATTAGAAATTCACACATGTAAACAACAGTACAACGGCTATAAAATGCCTTACTTGTAATCTCTATCTTTTAACATGAAAAATATTATAAGGCCAGATCAGATCCCGATTCTATTTAGTCGAACATGAATGGAAGATATACACTGATTTAATAATTAAATAAATGTTTAATGATTTTGTAGAAATCTATTCATGAGTGATATGTTGGAGTATATTCCATGTTGTACTAAGGATTACACTTTGTAGTTAAATATACCACTAATGAAGAAGCTTTACGGAAAATTTTCAATTTGTGATTTACATCAATAACTTTTTTTAGTTCGATATCTACCGAAAACCAGAAAACACTAGTCAATTGTTTCATTCTGGTATGGGACTCTGCATAAGTGGATATTTGTAATCTTAACAGAGATGAAATCCCGGACGATTAGTTTTTGTGGAAATTACTTAGACTCTGGATCACTAAGTTACATAATGTTTTGAATAAAAAGTTTATTAACAAATAATATTATTGGCTTATATGGAACTGTTACCATTCAAGTATCATTACACTCAATAAATCAATAAAATTACTCATTCTGTAAGAAGTGAGAACATCGGTCACCGTATGGTATTTATTACTTATAATTGTGAACTCAGGAGCACTCTATAGTCATATGGTTTTGACTCAGTATTTGGTATGATTTATTACTATTATCATTAATATTACTGTCGAGTACGTTCTACAGTTGTTCTACAGTTGTATAAAGTCTGTATTTGTCACGTATTTGGCTATCCATTCTGATCATTCATTTCAAATGTGACTAGATTTTATTTAAAAGAATATTCCTCAATCATGTATCTGAGTTTTCATTAATAAATAATAGTCATAATTCTTTGATGCAAATATTAACACATTGAAATAATTAGCTAATAGTGAATGTCCTTTGATGTTTATCCTTCCAGAATTCAGGAATTGATTGTGTGAATATATCTGTCAATTCGAACACCTCATATCAAACAGTTGAATTATTTCAACATATAGGATTTAATATTGTACAAGTTCAATACGTGTTTACTGTCATATTTTTTGACTATTTTTTTCTGTCTTCTTTCACTAACAAAAAACACCGCGTTTACGATAATAATGTATGAATGTCAGTCTCTACCATTTCTAATTGCTTTGAAATGAACTAGATTTTGGCGCATGTTAGATGATGATCTATTCCGAATGATCTGACGCTAAATTCTCCCAAACTACTAAATTTAGATCAGAAGGGGTTTTGAAGAGATTTCAGTATTTTTCAAAGTTGAAATCATGAGTCAATTGAAGCTAGATCAACATAAAAAACCTGAAAGCACTGGACGGCCGTTTCGTCCTATTATGGGACTCCTTAGCAGTGCTCATCCACGGTCCCGCACTCGCGAGTTTCGAAACCAGTACCTACCAGATTCGCGGAGGAGCACTTAACCGATAGACCACTGAGCTGGTCGACATCCAACGGTGTTAATGTCTAACTTCAACTGATTCACGAAGTTGAGCAACCGTACGGGTGCGGGATCATGGATGCCCACTGCTGAGGAATCCCATAATAGGATAAACCGGCCGTCCAGTGCTTCCAGGTTTTCCATGATGATCTAGCTTCAATTGACTCATGATTTCAACTATGAACATACTGAAATATTCACAAAAAACACCTTCTGACCTATTTTTCTCATTAACTTCATGTTTATTGTTCTCATTACTTTTGTTATTATCTTTATTATTATTTTCAAGTGAAATCTGCTCAGGGATTAATTGGTAAAGATAAAACTGGACGAAGTGATCCATATGTAACAGTACAAGTTGGTAAAGTACGTAAACGTACTAAAACAGTTCTACAAGAATTGAATCCAACATGGGATGAAAAATTTCTGTTGTATGTATTTTAAAGTAAAATTATTTGAATTGAATTGTTGTAAATGTTTGGAAAATCTTTCTACAGAAAGGCAAATATCTAAGTGAAACACTACATTTCTTTCCTTAGTTTTACTTGTTATTTATATATACGAAAAAACTTTATAGAAATGGTATCTCGTCTAGTGAATGGAAACCCAATTACGCAGAGACGATCTTACTGAATATTTTTCATTGACGATTAGTACCAAAAGTTTAAGGCTTAAAAAACGTATATTGTCTACATACACCTTGAATAGAGACAGCAGTCAAAGAGACCATAGTGTTCTGTTGTTCCGATGTATTGAACTTTTAGGCACATAGTATACTTTCAAACACATTTCAATCAGGTGATTTACGAGTTCATATGCGGATCATATAAATTCTAGGAGTTGCACAAATTAATAACGTAAGTCAAGTAAACATATTCAAAGTCAGTTGTTCCAGTTACTGCGCCACATTAGCATGACAAGATTACAGTTCAAATGATGTAGTAGCACTGTTGATGAGAAAGGCTAACCATTGGAAATAAAACTCAAGAAGACAGAAACAAAAGGTATACATAATGGGATATTGGAGATCAAAATTTATGGGCATGTAATTAATAAATGGATCTTAGCCGTTGTGATGGATTCTAGGCCATATTACTTAAAGTCTTGACCCACTTATTACATCCTCCGTGTGAACCGCGATCAGGTCGTATGCACCTAATAATGGGACTCAGTTAAACAGTCAGTGATAACTTCACGAACTGATGCCACTTTTTGGTTTAATTCTCTCATATCAAATCGTAATTATATTGATAAAAAATTCGATAATCATGATATATTACGAATAATTCAAATTTCTTTCTATTTGCTTCTAGTGAGTGTGATAACGCCTTGGAGCGAATTAAACTTCGTGTTTGGTGAGTTCATTTTTGTTTATTAATTTAACACAGTAATTTTCAAAATATGTATGATTTGTCCACAGAAAATATGCATAATAAGCTATCGTATTATTATGGTAAACTATTAGAAGAACGATTAGAAAATATAATAAAATGTTAAGGTCTATTTCTGTTATAGAAAGTAGCTGTTATCATGGGAGTTAGATGTTCTATTAGAAACCTTGAAGAATGAAAAGGTGATACAAGGTCAGAAGAGTCATTGACCTACTTTTGATAAAGAAATAGACAAACCATCCAGCTCAGAGAACAAAACTTCAGCAAAAGTTAAACTACAAATATATAAATATAACTTTCAGACTAACGTCATTTAGTAAATGGAAATAAATTATTTCCATCCTTCTCATCAGTAGGTTACTGTTTATTTCAACAAACCAATCTGTTTTTACAAGAATAATTTAGCCACAATTAGTAATTTGGATTAAGTGTACTCTAATAAGTGATCAAACAAACTGATTGGTCTTGTTTTCAGTGACTTAAGTGTTAATACTGATACTATGAGAAAAGTGTAAATTTTGCAAAATTATAGAAAAAGAAAGGTATTATTTGGATATTTGCATTGAATATGGTTTCCATTTGCACCTCACTACATGGCATAATATTCAATTCTCGATTGACTAACTGACTTTAATAAATCACTATTTGAATGGAACAACGGGCTAAATATCGACTTATGCGGCTACGATGATCTGTAACTCCTGAATTCATCAACTAGACCTTATCAATTTTTCGAATTATTTATCTTTTCATGGAAATACCTATTAAGTAAAAATAACATTCAAATATAGTGAACTTAGTCAAAATAGAGAAATTCAGATGTCTGATCAATATGACCTATGAGTTATCTTCGTTTTCCTAGTCTGACACATACAAATACAGCCTATTATATGTAAGTAAACAGATAAAATAAATGGATAACCCTGAGACAGTCAGTAACTTCACTGAGACATAAGAACAGTTCACATGACCATTATGATTCGAATGGTGCACTTTTCTGACATTCATTAACCAAGTGTTGACATTACGCACAACATACAACCACATGAGTCTAAAGAGACTATCCCATAAGCTACCCAGTAGAAGACTTTGGATTTCTGCATTCAGTTAGGTTATTTTTGGAGTATAGGTGTATCTATCAATTGGTACTCCCTTCGAACACACACACACACACACACTTGGAATGATTCCTAAATGTTTTAAGGTTTGATTTCTAATGGGTTATAGGTGTGCTCATCTGTGTACTTTCAAAGTAGAAACAATTAACTATTCATTGTTTTGTAATTTTCAATAGATTTCTCCGACTGATATCGTTTTGTAACAAATTGTAATATTCACATACAAATAATCTCTACAAAGTTTTCTTACAGTGATCAACATCTGTTCAATGTAAATCATACCATCTTGATTTAGTCACACAAAACATTAACAACAACATAATTTCATTTAAACAATAGATGTTTATTTATTTCATATGTTGATATTATTGTATAACGATAAGTTTTTTGACGTTGTTAATAAAAAGATATAGTTCAATTTTATAAAAGAATTCTAAGAGTAACTAAGATGATAAAACAACATGAAAATCTGTGATGTACGAATTATTGTATGTGTTTCACATAAAATATGAATGAAATAAGTTTGCTGTCATGCAAGTAACTTCTTCTCTTAAAAATTTTTCATTCAATTTGATATTTAACATAAATGTAAAGTTAACAGGGATTTGAAGAAAAATTCGTTCATTTTATTGTTTGAAAATATCATTCTTAGAATAATGACATATCTTCACGTTTTAAGAAGATCGTTGAGTGATGTAAATACATAGCTAAAGCTGATAGCGTCCTATATCATCATGAGTATTGATTGAATAAGTTAGACATTAACACCGTTGGTTGCCAGCTCAGTGGTCTATCGGTTAAGGGCTTCGGCTCGAGACTGGTAGGTCCTGGGTTCGAATCTCGCTCGCGAGAGCGGGTTCGTGGATGCGCACTGCTGAGAAGTCCCATAATAGGACGAAACGGCCGTCCAGTGCTTCCAGGTTTTCCATGGTGGTCTAGCTTCAATTGACTCATGATTTCAACTGTGAAAATACTAAATTCTCCACAAAACCCCCTCTGATGAATAATATTAATCACATTTTTATTAATGAACGTTTTTCTGAGTATCAGAACATTTTAGTAAACTTTATTCAGGTGGTTTAAAGCAGTTGACAATTAATTTGCTTGATTTAGGTTTCATGATGGTTGTTACATTCCAGTTAGGGATACGTCCTATGTTGAGGGAATCGGTGTCCTCTGTGAGATTCATAGTTTGGGAAGTTACCACTGAGCTATTTGAGTTCTATGTTATTTAAGAACTGATATATCTATGATTCATTGATATCTGAATGCTGAGACCATGTTTTTTTTTATTCAAATGGGTGATATGAGTCCAAATCCACTGAGGAACATCGGTTCCCATTGAGTTACGGGAGTAACCTTTTGATGTGTCCCAACTGGCACTGAAATCAGGTTAGATAGATCTGCTACTAGGCTATGTTCAACCACCCAAAATTTCAACGAATTGCACATTATGTCCACTCATTCCAGATAGTTTCTACGTTACAACCTCGTAGGTAGAATTCAATCAGCAATCCCTGAGTTAGTAATAGGGTACTAGATAAGGATGAGATACCGATTAATAAAGCAGCAAATCTTTATCAACTGAGGTGGTCGGGATATGTGTTACATGTGTCCAACCATCTTCTATTTCGACGAACGATGCTGTCTGGTGTAGAAGTAGTTTAAAAGAAAGCTAATGGTTGCCAAACCAAAACATGAGGCCGGGTCTGTTTGGTTAGGGTTCGCATGATTATCATAACGACTAGTTAAAGAGCTTGGATGACATGGCTCAAAATCGTTTACAGTGACCCAGGTTCATCTATTCTTTGCCTTCCCCTAAATTCTGAGCTTCTGAATTCCTCATGACGTTTTTAAAGTTAACTAATATATATTTTCTTCTCAAATTATGTATCCGATGCCTGATATTTTCTATACTGTTACTGGCTCTACTAGTCTGGGATTTGGTCTGACAATTTTATATCTTTATGTTAATGAGGTATAACAACTTGAATAGATGTACATGCCTAGCAGGTTTTACGTTGCGACTAAGTGACTGACTGGGCGATAAAATAAACTTGTTATTCATGATTATTCAGTCAACCGTAAATGATAAACTCTATCATATGTTTACTTATATGTGTGAAACACTTGTTGACATCGGGTTTTTATTATTATCGCGTAGAATAGTCTATTTCAGCCATGGTTGATATTCTTATTCTTCATACGTTTGAAGATTAGTTGAATTCTTCACGACAGAAATGAATATCTAGATGAAATGAACTATCATTGACTATGCTGGATTGATATTGTAATAAAGAATCTCTTGCATTTCATTCATTTGCTTATAATTTTTAGTCTAGATGAAAATGTCAGGTGTTTGTAGTGGGTAAGAATTCAGGTATAGAAAACAATTCATTGTTTGATGCAAAATTACGGAGTACCTGATATTGTGGAAGGTTTTGTTAATTTTCAATGTGTTTTCTTTTCTCGTTTTTTACAACTTTTTCCCTATAGGGATGAAGATAATGATTTAAAGTCGAAAATCCGACAAAAATTCACCAGAGAATCGGATGATTTTCTTGGTCAGACAATTATTGAAGTAAGAACATTAAGCGGTGAAATGGATGTATGGTATAATCTTGGTAAGTGATTTAAGTCAATTGAAGTAATTTCGTCTTGTATGTAATATAAACTTGATAATGATTATGATGATGTTAAATGTGATAATTAAATATTGAGACATTTCGAAAATTCCCCTGAACCTCTCTGATATGGTGAATTGTTAAAATCAGAAAATCTTAAAAAGACATTACCTGGTGGACTGTTGAAAGTCATGTAGTGCTGAATATCAGTTTTCTAATTTTTAACTAATCTACACATAACACTTAAAGTATTTAATTATCGTTCACTTGTCCCTGTATATACAAATTCAATCGATTCATTATATTATGTAATAATCAAATAAACTCAATCAAAAACAATTTCTTGCTGACATTTCTGGTATTTACCTATAAACCAGTCATTAAATGAGCCTGTTATGTAATAGAAGTATCCAGGTAAGGTGATTGTGATATTTACTTCAATTTGAATATTTTATTTATTTCATGTAAGATGGAGCATACAAGAAATGAATCAAAATGGGAAATAGTTTAAAATTGTCTAGTTGTTCTATATATATAAGCTGTTAATCCAAGTTATAACCCAGTAATTTTAGGAATTTGTAGTTCTTAGCAAATTAATCTTCATATTGAAAAGATAACATTCAAGAATGGAATTCTCTTGACAACTTGATCTTATGAATTCACGTACAGTAATTTATCACACTAAAATCATTTCGAGATCATTAATTTTTCTTAAATAGAAAACAGTTTTCATTCACCTAGAATTTTCCACATACTTGTTGTTTATATACAATAATTATTAATTAAATAATTTTTCAAAGTTGAAATCATGAGTCAATTGAAACTAGACCACCATTGAAAACCTGGAAGCACTGGAAGGCCGTTTCGTCCTATTATGGGACTCCTCTGCAGTGCGCATCCACGAACTCACGAGTCCAATGCTTTCTGGTTTTCGATGGTGGTCTAGCTTCAATTGACTCATGATTTCAACTTTGAAAAATACTGAAATCTCCACAAATCCCCTTCTAAATATAATCATGTGCTCACTAGTGACTGACTTCAAGATACATGTCCTGGAGTTCTAGTGGGAAGCAGTGACCAGTGGAGTTCAACCACGTCTGTTGTGAGATATCAACTCACTGAAGACAATTGGTGAATGGTTGCTCAACTTCGTGGATCAGTTGAAGTTAGACATTAACACCGTTGGATGCCGACCAGCTCAGTGGTCTATCGGTTAAGGGCTTTGGCTCGAAACTGGTAGGTCCTGAGTTCAAATCCCGCGAGAGTGGGTTCGTGGATGCGCACTGCTGAGGAGTCCCATAATAGAACGAAACGGCCGTCCAGTGTTTCCAGGTTTTCGATGGTGATCTAGCTTCAATTGACTCATGATTTCAACTTTGAAAAATACTGAAATCTCCACAAATCCCCTTTTTTTGACATAAATTATACTGAATGCCTATCAATCAAAGCTTTAAAGATGCTATGAATAGTAGCTTCGTTGAGATTTCGATTAGAACTGAAAAAAGAGAAGCTGTTATAATTTGGTATCTACTGACAAATATAAATGAAAAGAAACAATTCTGTTTTCTTGTAAATTGAATTGATTTTTAAAGTTGATTGAACGTCAACTATTTGATGCGAGTAGTCCAGATGACGAGTTTCAAATAAGATGAAACACGTGTCTTTGATTCCACTGTTAGCTATAGTCTATCTATTCCACATAAAAAATATGAGAAAATGGCAATATCAGTATGCGAATGTGTCATTATTTACCATTATTTAATCTTGAATATGAACAATGACATAATTAAAAACATGAAGTTCAGCGAAGGGATCTCTTTTCCAACGAATTTATTATTAAGCCGTGCAAGTTGTACAGTTCATCTGCTCTTTGTGGAGCAAGGTACATTAGCCGTAGCCAGTGCTCGCTTTCAGCTCAGACACGGGAACATGTCCCAGTTTAGCTTTACAAGGATGAGAGGAAAGCAGTTAGGATTTCTATACTTGAACATCTAATCGATTGTAATCATTCTACTTATCCACAGTTGGATTTTAAGGTTGTATATACCACTAAATCTACCTAGATTTCTTCGTATCCAATTTCTAAAAATAGCTGAAGCTCTTACCATCTATGAGCTCAAACCAGAACTATGCGTGCATAAGAAGTACGTCCCATCGTTATCGTTACCTTGGCCTTAATTATTTTTATTATTACTGCATTTCCCGTATGTCTTATATTCCCATCATATCACCATAATTACTTTTACACCTCTATGACCTTGAATGACTTTTAGTTATTGTAACAAAAACATTTTAATCATAGTATTACATTCACTAAATCTATCATTATTACTCGTATTACGTAATCTAGTATTACAATCTTTCTATTACGTCATCTTGGTTGTTCGTATTCACATTTCTTCACGGGATTAGTACTTTAACATAAAGGTTTCATATACATATATTTGCGGTTGTACAGCTTGATAATAAATTCGTCGAAAAGAGATCCCTTCGCTGAACTTTGTGTTTTTAATGTTTAAATGTGAATTATCTGTCAATGAGATAATTCAATCCTTTTCTAACAATAATATTACTGTTACTCATATTTCATTTTTTTTTATCCTCAAAACAAAACTTCAGAGAAACGGACAGATAAATCAGCAGTATCTGGAGCTATTCGTTTACTGATTTCTGTTGAAATAAAAGGTGAAGAACAAATGGCTTCATTTCATGTACAGTATACAGCATTACACGGTGTAAGTATTATTTCCGTTTGTTTGTTTACATGTATGAGGCGTTTGAAAAAATAAATCGAGTTTTTGGTGGTGTTATGTTTTGTGAGCTAGACAATTTAATTATCGAGCTTTCATTGTTCTTCTAGCTCAGAGAATATTACATCATCAAGACGAATCCACATGGGCTGCAAACTTACTTCCTCATTTCGATAAACTGAGGTGAAGTATACTTATATTTTCTACGAAATATTGATTAAAAAATTTGTCTTTTATATCACGAACTGACCTCGATAGACAACCATCGAAAATCAGTAAGCATTATTCATCTGCGACCTCCTATTATGAGACTTTCCAGTGTCCAAACCAAAAGGTCTTGCTGTCAATCCTTTGTGGTGGGTCGCGGATTTATAGTATGAAGTTGAAAGTGTATTCAAAGAATCTATAGATATTTGATGGGGGAATTATTAAATGTAGCATTCATTCAATCACTAAACTTCAAATTACTCTTCTCTCCTTCTAAGAAATTACAATAAACAAGAAAGGACATTTACCATTATCAACTCGTAGAGTTTTTAGCTTCATTGTGCTATTAAATGTGGACACCAAAAGAAGCATGATAATACAGTTGGTTTTGTGTGTTCATCATCTGCAAGTGAATTGATATAGTGCTAAGCGTAATTCTTATCTACTTCGATTGGACGAAAACCATCAACTAGGAAAATGTGGAAAACGATTGAAGTAATAAATTTCGAGAGTCCTAGTGAGAAGCTGTGACCATTAGAGTCTGACTATGTCTAATATGAAGAAGACCTTGTCTAAGAGTGATATCGAAATTCCATAAGTAAACCATTGGATGAAAACTAAATGGTCAAAAGATTAGGCGCTTTCAACGAGATCTGAAAGTCATGGATTTGATCCTCTGTGAAGAAGTCGAGGATAAACACCGCTGTTAAGTCACGTATTAAGATTAAAACAATTATCCAATACTACCTGGTTCTTAGTGGTCGTAAAACTGAAATCAGTCCATTAATATGAACCATTAAATTATCTATCATAAATATTTATTGCTTGTCGTTTAATAATAAATTTCTGACTATCCATTTTTGGATTTTCATAGCGTGTTAGCCACAATTTACCTGACATTACTTTTTAGGAAATTTCTTTACACACTTAAAGTAGACATCAGTTTTGCATGACGAAAAAGGGATTGATAAACAGATAAATAACTGGCATGAGAGAGAGAAATTCTCGATCAAGATGTCACACATGAGTCTCAGTTTATTTATTAGCTACAAACCAATTAGTGGATATTTACTTAAAAAGATATATTTTAAATAATGTAACATCGAAAATGACCAACCTAGGTATGGATGTTTATATGTGTGTATGTGTTTCTGAAGTATGTATATAGGTTGTGATGTTTCTTATGGAAGAACATGTTAAAGGATAATGTTTTATAGTGACTATCAATGGAATCTGAAACCTGGTTTTTACTCGATTCGGGACTCTTTGGTTTCGTAAACGTTGATTACATTGTTGAGACTTGTACCCAGTATCTTACACGTGAAACGTGAATACATTATTCTCCAAACTACTATGGGAAGATAGAAACTATTTCAATTAGATATCGTTTAAATTTAACTAATGACCACTTTATTCGGTTTTCTGATGAGAGTTTCTATCTTACCCAATTTATTACTGCTACACTGTGAGTGTTTCTAGGTAGACCTTGAGATGTATTCATTAGTTGATTATAGGCAACCTTAATTCTATATTTTTCTTATTTTAAAGTATTCCACGTGTAGTTAAATAGTTTCGACATACATTGAATTCAGAAACTGGAGTATAGTCATTAGGTTGCCACATTCCTTGCTAACCAAGTTGTTTATACACTTTCCAGATACAAACTGTCACTTAAAAAAAAATCACTTTTTGTTAGTAACAAATTACAGACTACAGTAAAATTACTTTTCTTTAAAAATGCATGACGTTATGAACAATGTTTAGAATAGACGCAGTGCTCTGGGTAAAAATGACATATAGGCTGATAAAATTGGGAATTTTTTATCGACTGAGTCGGTTACATATACCTAGTCCTCAACTACATCAACGCAAGATACTATCCAACATTTGGGTAGGTTGGGGGAAAGTTAAAGACATTTAAACTGATACAGTTAATAATTCTAAAACTCCATCATTTGTCTTGATTGTTTCATTCCATTCAAGTCATGAAATCATGTCAACTTGGACTGATGAACATATTTTACAGATCCTATACTGTATATGACTGATTAGCTGGTAAATAAATTGTAGATGAGAATATGAAATATTACTTTTTCATAATAGGCCAGCATTCGTTAAACTTACCATTGAATTTTATTAAGGTTTAACAATATTACCGATTTCAGGAGGATGGACTAGAGGGATACTGATTGATGTTGTTAAGTTGGTTTTTTTTTCCATCAAAAGCTTATTGAATTATTGAAATGTTATTTCAGGTATTTAACTGAACAGTTTTCTAGTTTACTTCATATATCGTTTTATGTGTTTATATGTTGATTCAACAATGGATATTTGTTGATTACAAAAGGAACTTATCATTATGATTATACAGAGTAAATTAGCTTTATCATGGGAATTACACCTACTCAAGTAATTGTAAATTACATACTGCCAAATAGTAAATTTATGAATCGGAAAAATTTACTCTCTCTTCTTTTCTTAAGATAAAACTTTCAACAATAAACTGATTTGAACTGCTGAATGATGCGGAGGAAAGTCTTAGGTTTTGTTAATGTTCATCTTGAAAACACTTAATAGAATTTTAATTCACTGACACATTATAGGTGATTGATAGCTGTGCTCACATGAATGAAATGTTGACAGCAAGTTTGATAAATCCAATAATGTCAAAATGTAGCATAGATAATCAGATAAATTGGATTTATCTTTGGCTAAACTAACTAACATGTCGTTACAAAATGTACTAACTATAGATATTAACTTCATCATAAATTAATCGAAGCTTAGGCGATAGGTGACAACCAGTCAAGTTGGTTACTCGTATTTGAATAAAATCAAGTTATAGGACATTGACTGAATGTTTTTTTTCTTGATTATAAACAGATAATCCTTATTTAAACATCAAAAACACGAGTTTAAATGAAAAGTTATCTTTTCAACGAATTTATAATCAACCAGTACAATCGTGTTAGTCAGTCAGTCAGTCAGCAACAACGTAGAACTTCGTACGTACGTAAATCAGTTCAAATTGCTATACCACATTAGCACAGAGATATAATTGTCGATTCAAATTCCATAGTGGCAGAGGTAATAGGAAAAATTGGGGTTTAAAGATTTCACAGTACAATGGTGTATATAAGTATATATAGATCTTTGTTAAGTATTAATTTTGTGAGGACTTATGTACAACGAGTGAACATGACAAGGTAATGTACTATCTTTACAATAGTAGATTATGCAGTGTAAATATTATCAATAAAAGATTGTATATATCCAAATAAAGTGTTGATTTGTCCGAGAACTGAGCAAAATGTCAAATGAACTTATTCCAACTATGTAACAGTGAGTCAAAATCTCAAGCAGAGATATCTATCTCATTTCCAAGCATCTTAAAACGATGAAACTGCCTTCATTGAGAGTATGAACTGATTTAAGTTAGACCACAACTGGAAACCTGTCCTAGTATGGGACTCCTCAGAAGTACAATACACAACCTAACTGATGAAACAGCTGTCCAGCGCTCTCCGGTCATCAATAGAAATTCAACTGAGAATAATAATTATTGATGAATATCATCAAAAAATAATCTCCTCAAGACTGATTCATCCAAAATATAGTCTACCAATTGACCATGTACAATTATCCAATATCAAAAACATTGCATTCTCTGGGACAAACAGTTTAATCATGAAGCTTTAACTGTCGTTCTTGACAATATGATCAACAAAAACTTCAACAAGAAGTATTTGTAGTCGAGTAGGTAGACGACGAAATATTGTGTAGAGGGTGTACATAGAACACCAGCTAATCTTCAGAAACTAAGCATTTCGGTCACGTGTCCACCAAAAGATGTATATAAATTGACCCACTCTATCAATCATGATGAAAAAAGTCTTAGATGACTTCAAAACAATGATCTAATCAAAGGAGAAAAACGGTCAAAGTAAACATAAAAACAACTGCTACACAGTTACGCAAATTAATCAATCCAATTTCAGGTAAATAGATCAAGTCATTAATCAGTTATTGTGGAGAACTTCTAGAAGTTAGCTTCGTTTTGAAGTATAAACTGATGATACAGTTGTCTAGAGAAACGATAAAAGCTTTTAGACTAAATCATTAGATATTAAAGTTTAAACATGAATACATGTCCATCGTATTTTTTTTTCCATTTCAGAGTATATTTTGTTATTTATGTAAAGAAAATGAGCCAGTTTTTTTACCGGATCAAACACATATCACTCAGGCACAAAATAATGTAAGTGTTGATGTATTATGTTTTATTAATTAATAAGCTTAACAATGTAATTTATTTCAACTTTTCATCGATTAATTTTGACGGACATAATATTAATTCTCATAGTTGAAAGCGTGAGTCAATTGAAGCTACACCACCATCGAGAACCTGGAAGCACTGGACGGCCGTTTCGTCCTATTATGGGACTCCTTAGCAGTGCGCGTCCACGATCCCGCACTCGCAAGATTCGAACCCAGGACGGAACGGTCGTCCAGTGCTTCCAGGTTTTCCATGGTGGTCTAGCTTCAATTGACTCATGATCTCAACTACTGAAATTACCATAATATCCACACAACCCCTTCTGATAATATTATTAATTGTTAATGAATAGAACGGTAATTTTATGTGTATTGTCGGTACTTATTTCATAACCATAAAACTTTTAAAATTACATTTACAATTAGGAAATATACTAATAAACAGGGTTCATTCGACAACTGTTTCATTTCCATTTGTAATTTTTTGATCAGTTCAAACTCACCATCTCATAAGAAATCCAGCTGTCATTCTTTTGATCTTACATCAAGTTACAAAAGAGTAACTATTTTGAACTGAGCCATGTTGGCAGGTGTAGACTACCTGGTTGGGATCCGCGAGATGATAGCAATCGATGGTTAGAGATCTTGAATGACATGGCTCAAAATTCTTTGCAATGGCGAAGGTGAATCCACTCTTTGTGCTCTTCCAAATTATAATCTTCTGAATTCTTCATGTCTCTATCTTTTTTCTCTTCTCAAATTTATTTCACTGGATTATACTCCTTCAATAACATCTTCAAACCCGAATCTTTCACATTAATGCATACACTCTTATTACTTCTACCACTATGGGATTTGAATGGACAACTGGATATTTGTGCTAATGTGGTTTGGCAACTCAAACTGATGTACTTACGTACGAAGTTCTACGTTGTGACTGACCTGTTGACCTATTTTGGGCATTGATTCAATATCCAATAGTTTATACTTTTATTATTAATCAATTTTCAGTATAGTCTGATTATTTTCCATTTGTTAATAAGTGACTGATAGATAAAAAATGTTGGAAAAAGCCACTAAATGTTATTACAAAACCGTTTATTCTTTATTTTAATTGCAAAGGTTTGTAATTTCCTATTGTTCACATTAAAGAGTTCAATAAATCGGTGTATACTAGGATATATGCACCCGTTGCACAACTTAGCAACTATTCGAACTCAATAGCTCAGTTAATAATACGCTGGAGGTTTTAACGGAGAGGTGGTAGATTCAAGTCTCTGTATGAACATCAACACTGGGATTTACCTAACTTGCCTAACTGACGAGTCTTAAATAAAGTGAAACCAACGTGTTAAATTTTACCTTCAGCCAATACTGTGATTTAAGTATCACTTCTCCCTTTCCGTCATTGTTGTTTCCACTTTGTAATAATTGTTAAATATAACTTGAATGGATCGTCAATAAAAACGGCGGCCTATTTTCATCCACTTGCATAATCACATATCATGTTTCTGTTATTCGTATCAGTTTCATCGGCTTCATGACTATGATATGTGCATTATCTATTTCTTCATTACCAACTCTATTATAAGTAACATATATTGACAATTTATCAATCTACTGAAAGAAAATTGTTGTTCTTTTCTTCCTGATACTATCGTATACAGTATTGAAAGAAACCATCATCGAATTGGCTATCAGAAAATGTTGATAATAACTTGAAAGTTTGAGTTTTGATCTATTTATTAGGACTGAAAACGGAAATGATAGGAAACATGTGTCCTAAATTTCACTGTTAGCCAAATGTCAAAGTCTTATTCGGAAATTACTATTACTAAGTATATGTAAATGGCAAAATAATAGTAAATATATACTCTTTTGTTATATCCCAATGAGTAGAAAATTATATTTCTGACGTTTCGTGACTTAATGTAAGTCACTCCTTCAAAGTAAATAAGTAATTGAAATAAAATTAACACAAGTTTAAATTACTGACCTACTTACATACAACCGTTACCCCTCGCGAAAAAGCATAGGCCACCCACCAGTGCTACCCATCCAATTCCTTCACGGGTAATCCTTCCCAATTCTTTACATTTGTTATTAATCCTTTTCATGTCTGCTTCCAATTACCAAGGTAGTGTGTTCTTCGGTCCTCCACTTTTCCTTTTCCCTTCAGGATTTCGAGCAAGGGCTTATTTCGTGATGCAGTTTGTTGATTTTCTCAATGTGTCTCCTATCCACTTCCAATTTCTTTTCCTAATTTTTTTTTTAGCTGGGAACTGGTTTGTTTTCTCCCACAGTAGGCTGTTGCTGGTGATGTCCGGAAAGTGAAAGTTGAGTATTTTGTGTAGATAACTATTTACCCAGAGAGGAGGCTTTATTGAACCTATGTAATGCTGTTCCCCCAGTTGTTCAATGTTTCTTTAGCTTCACTTTCACCTTGACCACAACCAGGTGATGATCTGGAGCTATGTCAGCTCCTCTACTGGTTCTCACGTCTTCCATTGTCCGTCAGATTTTTTTATTGATACAAATATGATCTATCTGGTTCTTTGTGGTGTGGTCTGGTGAGATCCATGTAGCTTTGTGTATGCGTTTGTGTGGAAATATTGTGCCACTTATTACCAATTTGTTGGATGCACATAGATTTGAAAATCTCTACCCATTTTCACTTCTCTCCCACAGTCCGTATCGTCCCATTATATCTTCATATTCTGTGTTGTCTATTCCGCCTTTGACGTTGAGATATCCCATAAGAGTGGTCAGGTCCTTTCTTGGGCAGTTCACTATGATTGTGTTATATCCCTTGGTGAATTATGAATGGTAAATCTGAGATCTATTTATGGACAAATGTAGTATGCCACATTGGCCAATTATTGTACAAATGTTATTTTTCTATTTTTTGGTATAATGTGGTCTGTTTGGTTAGTATATAAACCCAGTATGCTTGTGAATAATGATTCATATTACCGAGACTGTTATTTGTGTTCTGGACTCAACTGGCTGGGCTAGGCATATAGCAAGACCGGTTAGCACTCAAGACTGCTCGTACGATTTCAAGTATCATTTGCGCCCGATCAATAAATTCACTCCTCTCTAATTGCACGTTCATATATATTAGGAGACCATACGTTATAACAGATTGATTACAGCCTCTTATAGAACTGATCTTCAATGTCGTCGTTGCTATCACTGGTGAATGCATAACATTGTATAACATTCATTGTGATCCCCTCCTTCTTTGTTTCGAAGGATGTTCTGATGATCCTGGATCTGTGAGTTTCCCATCCTTTAAGTGCATTTCGTGCTTCTTTGGACAGCATCAGAGAGACTCCCTACGTATAATGGAGCATTTTCCTCTCCATGAATAGAATATAACAACATCCCTTCTGAATTTAATCTTTTCTGTCCAGCTTGTATTCAATGGATTTCGCTGATTCCGATAACCAGCAAGTTGTATCTTCTCATTTCTGTTGCTCTTTGACTAGTCCTCACGGTCTCTCACATTTTCCAAACATTCCATGTACCTATAAAAATTGTTGCTCTGATTGTTAGAAGGTCCTCGTGACCTCGTGACTTCCAAAATATCTCGGCTTTCATCATGAGGCATCATAAATCTTCTTTGAACTCGAAATGCTGTGTTCAAATAGTTAAATTTGTTTTATCTGGTTGGCGTTTTTTAGCAAATTATTCTCTTACGGGATAGGGTGACCGACCTCATGCCCTACTCTCCTCCTTTACTCGGGTTGGGACCGGCAGCAACTCTAGAAGAGCTACAGGCAGAGTCACAAGTTTAAATAGAAACTATTTAACTATTAACTTTCTACCTAATGCTTAATTTATTTGAAACTATAAAGTTCAATCTATGCGTTGACACCTATAGATGACATAATACATTGATGAACACATTACTTAAATAGGTAGACAAAAATTGTTTGCAAAGTAACATTTAGTAAATAGCATTCAACACAGTTGTTTAGAAAATAGCTTTTAAACGAATCAATATTAAGGCTGTACGCCATAAAGCCATTAAATTTTTCAAAACTCAATGGAATAGATAGAATGAGACAAATATTGTAAGAGTGTAAACAATGGAATTGCATTTATTATATTCTTTTAGAATACAAGTAGTAGTTATGTTCCATACTAATCGCAAGTATCCTCTCCTATTCTCCCCTTATAAACCTACATACACACACAAACTTGTATTCATTTCCTCATCGTCGTAGGGCAATGAAGCATGGCGAGTGTATTTCAATCCAATAGGACAGGAAATCGTCGATGAATTTGCTATACGTTATGGTATTGAACCAATATTTCAAGCAATGACGTAAGCCTGTATTATTTTTCTTATTTTACTATTGTTATTATTATTATTATTGTTCCCATTGTTTTTACTATAAACTAATTATTGGACAAGAATTAATTAAGTGTTGACAAATTCACAAATTTTGTTTTAATTAATTGTTTGATTCTAATATGTTTACTTTTAATCTAGATATTTTGGCTTCATATAGAATATTGTTACCATTACTATTATTATTATTATTACTGTTATTGTCTTTATGTAGACTCAGGACTAAAGCCATAGAGTATAGGTATATAGTGTTCATATTTGAACAGTTAGTTTGTTGATCGGATGTTGAAATTATTATGTGAAGCTGTTTCTAGCGGGAGACGATTATTTCAAGTGATGGCGAATAATCTTTATGTTATATCTTTGTTGAGTCAACTTCCGGAGAACTTCAGCGGAGCCTTCAGAGGCCCAAAAGGAGCCGAAGAGCCCTAGCCAATCAGAGTATGATGGAACATTCTAGAATTCCAGCGTGGCGTGCTACTATTAGTCGGTAGGATAATATGTCATTAACGGATTGGCTGAAATATGATGTTGATTTAACAGACGCTAACATCTATAAATACCCATAATTTTCTGTACAGGAACGGACCTTGGAGTAAAGTATTTTCTCTCATACTTGCGCCTTCTCTGTGGTGATCAAATCGCTGAGTAGCTCTAGCCTGTGGTTTACCAGAATAGCCTAGGAAACGAATATAGCGTTCGATCGACAAGACTTATTAATCTTGAGCTATTTAATTTCAGGTCAAGCAAATAAGTGTGTCTCATTTATGAAGAGATCTATGGTTTTCAGGTTTGATCCAGTATGTAATGAATAGAGCCGAGTACTGTTATTAAGTGCCAGAATATATCCCAACAATTGGACATAGTTACTTGACTTTTAGTTCATGACAAAAATCATCTTCAAATCAAGCTAGTCTTTATACATCGCCACCTGGCTACGTGAAAGCTGGTTGCATTGTCTGATCATTCGGCAATAATCATTGTCAAATCCTTGTTGCTGATCGATTTCTTTCAGCAGTCACAGTGTATTTACTAGTGCAAGTTGTTGGACGTTGTACACATTATGTTTTAGTGTTAGATATCTGGAGCTTTGGATATTACTGTTTTGTTTATGCATATAGTTAGGCAATATCTAAATCACTCGGTTGTAAATACTACCAAGAATAACAACACTGATTGACATAGGTTCACATTCCATAGGAAGCATTGGTCTCTTCAGAACTATGCATAGTGCTTTCTTACAAGTACCAAAACTCATAGAACAGTTGATTCAGAGATTTGCATCAATTAATTCTAACCATCTAGCATCAAAAACAGAGATTTATGATCAAAACTTTTGTTTACCTAAATTTAATTTATGAAATGATTTATAGTTGAAAGCGTGGTTCAATTGTAGCTAGACCATCAGAGAAAACCTGGAAGCACTGGACGGCCATTTCGTCCTGTTGTGGTACTTCCAGCAGTGAGCGTCCACGACCACGCCCCGCAAGATTCAAACCACGTCTGCTGTGAGATAGGAACTCACTGAAGGCAATTGTTGAACGGCTGCTCCACTTAGTGGATTGGTTGGAGTTAGACATAAACACCATTGGATGCCGGCTCAGTGGTCTATTGGTTGAGTGTTCTAGCGCTAGACTGATAGGTCCTGGATTCGAATCTCGCAAGGTGAGGTCGTGGAGCGCACTGCTGAGGAGTCCCATAATAAGACGAAACGGCCGTCCAGTGCTTCCAGGTTTTCCCTAATAGTTTAGCTTTAATTGACTCACGCTTTCAACTATGAATATACTAAATCTCCACAAAAAACCCATTCTGATAGAAATGATTTTTATAAAAAAATGTAAAAACTTCAACGATTATTTACTCCTGTCTATTAATAATTTCATAATGAAGATCACTGACGTTTTGAATACCATTGTTTGGTTGTATCCATACTACTTCATTAAAATTCTCTATTATTCTTATCCATTTACTTTTAATTCAATCAGTTTTCCAAGTTCTATATAATCAAAAACTAATCCAATAGATCATTTAACATTATTTTTGTTTTCCATTAATCAGTCAATCAATCACTGTTACATACTTCTTTCAACAATCTAGTTCACTAATACAAATGGCAAACACCTTTTTTCTCATTCGGCATTATATATTAATTTTATAAGATGTAGTTTGACAGATTTTGTCTTGAATTTATTATGATAAATAGTTTCTTAAAAATTTGATTGAATCAAAAACGGCCATTTTATTTTATTAAAAAAAAAGTTGTTTGTTCCCTCTGGTTTCTTTGTTTTCTTTTTGTTCTCTCTTCCTTTACCACTTCTCTCTCCCCCCCCACCTCTTCCAGTGATTTCAACTATTTTTTTTTGGTTGATTAGAAAGGGATTTTTTTATTTGTTATTTTTATTAGTGATTGTAAAATAAATTAATTGAAAAGAAAACATTTATTGATGATTTTGTTTATTAATTATAGAAGACCCATCAGAAGGGGATTTGTGAAGATTTCAGTATTTTTCAAAGTTGAAATCATGAGTCAATTGAAGCTAGACCACCATTGAAAACCTGGAAGCACTGGACGGCCGTTTCGTCCTATTATGGGACTCCTCAGTAGTGCGCATCTACGAACCCACTCTCATGGGATTCGAACCCAGGACCTACCAGTCTCGAGCCGAAGCCCTTAACCGATAGACCATTGAGCTGGCATCCAACTTCCAAATAACTATGAAAAATACTGAAATCTCCACAAATCCCCTTCTGATTATAATCATATGCTCACTAGTGATTGACTTCAAGATACATGTCCTGGAGTTCTAATGGGAAGCAGTGACCAGTGGAGTTCAACCACGTCTGTTGTGAGATATCAATTCACTGAAGACAATTGGTGAACGGTTGCTCAGCTTTATAGAAGGACAAGTCATGAAAATGATCGTTAAATGATACTGAAAAAAATTTTTTTTCTCATGAAGATGTGTCGATTATTATTATCAATCAACAACAAACTACTAAACTGATAGAACATTGAAACATAAAAAAACTGATGAATGTGTGTGTGTGAGTGACCTGAATTGCCATACCTGATTAGTACGATAAGGTGATAATAACAAAAGTGATAGCGATAATGTAATTCCGTCGATAAAAATGGTATTGAACTTTGCAAATGTGATTCCCAAAAAAAACGGAGAGGGAAGGTATGTATGAAGGGATACTCGAATTCAAGGTTGACAGGAAGATAATGAGTGAATAATTCTTTCAGTGAAAAGTGACTGAGCTAGGTAATAAGATAATCATAGTTGGTCTAATTAAATTGCTTTCAAACAGTTGGAGCAGATCAAATCAACCTCACTGTCAGGGATATTGGTTCAGTTATTCATCGCGGTCAATATATTCATGATTCATTGATGACTTCCTGAAACAATCCATTTTAGGTTCGAAAGAATTTATACTTGAGAGAATCACGTAGGCTGACATCGACTTGACCCCAATATTTTGAAGTTTAAATTAATAAAATAACAATAATTAACTTTTGTTGCTTGCAAAAACTGTTGAAATTTCCTATGGCTTGTTATTTCTTCTAGTTGGTACAAAAATGTGTTTGCACAATGTGTCATTGCACTGTTTCTGATAGGATGATACATATATTTAGTTAAGGTTAAAGTTCAACACCAGATGTTATACTTAAAAGTTGTTTAACATTATTGGTCTACATTCAAAAGTCTTTTATAGAAAAACTTATAAAATCGATTAAATCACACATATTACACAAAATATTAATTCTGACATATCATGTTGCTTCTAAGGATACCTGAATTTTATTTAAGTGGTTTTAGGCCACTAAGTACTGTCATCAAATCTGTAATTTCATACGGCCCCTAAATGCCCTGGTACGGTCGAGAGTGAGGAGAGTCCGCTCTCCCTCTCGAAATGCTCTCACATGGCCACGCGTATATAGACTCTGCCAGGGAAGTTCTACCCACTTCCTTCTCCTGGCATTACTGTTGTTTACGAAATTGAGAGGACGAAAATCGAATGTCCGGCGCTTTAACCGGGTTGGTGGACACCGAGAGTCCACCTAGGGGAGTTGGAGAACCCTGATTCCAAACTAATGGTCTACATGAGCTCCAGTATCCTGATGGAACAAATGGCGTATGAACCAATTGTTGGTCACCGGCTACCATGGGACTGCATCTCTCCACGATGCTCCACTGCCTTGTGGATCAGATCTTAAGGTCAAAGGCTCGGGGTGTGGCCCCCTAAGTAAACCACCTGCTTCAGTTTGGGCACCTGGGCAGTATCACAGCCCTCACACAAATCAAATGCGATTTATGTGGCGCATATATATCTGGTGCCCTTTGTACTAATATTTATGTGTTTAAATAAAATAATAAAATAACTAAATTTCATACTACTATTTTCTCGAAAACTCCAGGTGACTATTATTAAATCTTCGAGAGTTAGCATTTTTTTTGATACAATATGTATTTAGTTATTCATTTAGTTTATATGTGTACTTATATTGAATGGCAATGTTTTCAGGCATTTTGCATGTTTAACTGCTAAATACAACTATCCTGGAGTACCAGCTCAATTATCTGTACTTTTGGCTAATATAAATGCATTTTACGCACATACAACATCATCAAATAGTCAGACAGCTAGTGAACGATTTAGTGCAAGCAATTTTGGAGTAAGTTAATTTGTTATTTATTGTGTATTATTCATTATTTATCAGATTCTTTATTGATAGATCGAGGTTTTCATATAAGCTCACTGTATAGATTTAAGATTACTTACTTTTTACTTACTCCTGTTACCCCTCGTGAAGAAGCATAGGTCACCCATCAGCACTATCCATCCAATCCTGTCATGGGTAATCCTTCCTAGTTCTTTACACTTGCTATTTATCCTTTTCATATCTGCTTACAATTCCCAACGTATTGTGTTCTTCGGTCCGCCACGTTTCCGTTTCTCTTCAAGATTTCGAGTTAGAGCTTATCTGGTGATGCAGTTTGTTGATTTTCTCAATGTGTGTCCTATCTAATTCGAACGTCTTTTCCTAATTTCCTTTTGAGCTGGAAACTGGTTTGTTCTCTCCCGCAATAGGCTGTCGCTGATGGTATTCGGCTAGTGAGTGTTGAATATTTCGGGTGGACAACTATTTATAAATACTTGTACCTTTTTGACGATGGTTTTATTAGTTGTCGAAGTTTCAGCATCATACATTAGGACTATCTTGACGTTCGTATTGAAGATTGTGACTTTGATATTGGTTGAGAGACAATTGTTTTCAGTTCCATATGTTCTTTACTTATAAGAATGCTGATCATGTTTTGGTATTTGTTCAGGGCGTTATGTTAATTTATGTGTTAGTGAATGAAGTTTTAGAAAAGTGAGTACTCAAAATATTGTTCGTCCTTCATACATAAAATTATCTATGCTCATCATCTTCTTAGTGGGCAAATTTCCCTATTTTATTGGTGTCGTGCTCTCCGAGCTAGATGGTTTAATTGAAGGGCTTTCATTGTCATTCTGGACAAAACATCATCAGCGCCTACTTTATTTAGAAATGAGCTTTTTGCCATTCGACAAGTGTTTTTGCCAGTTCATTCTAACGGAATTATCCGTGGCTGGTTGTCTCCGTTTGCTTTATAGATTTGAACTTGGATAGAAACAGCCATTGAAAATCGTGAGTTTATCACATTGTTTAAAATGTATTCCTCAGGATACAAAATAATGAGTTCGGGAGAATGGTGGATAACTTTAAACCTAAAGTTCCTGAGTTTGTTCCCTGATGAAACTACGTGTGCTCACTACTGGAGAGTTTCATATTAGGATAAGATAGCTTATCGATGCTATTAACTTATAAGTAGTTGTTTAATCAATGTCAGTCGGAAATGAGAAACCTCGAATACTCTAAAATTATAATATTCCGATTCACAGTCGTTTATAGATATGAAAATAGTTTACATGCCGTGTATATTTGAATCAGATTTGAAGTCAAATGAATTTTTGAAAAGAATATTAGAAAGAAGTTAATAGGTAGAGATAATTTAAAAATGAGAGATTATTCGCTGAAGATTTTACCTTAAAATTTACTTTCTTACTCGGTAAATAATTTCCCTCAACTCAGTTTTCAGCTACAGATTCGTGTACTTAGCTTGGAGCTATACTCTTTGTGTGAGGGCTGATGTCTTTACTGACTGCCGTTGGAAAGTAGGTAGAGTGCGGTTCGCCACTGCAAACACCGAAACTAATGAGACACAAATGTACTGATAATGAACTTGGACCTACAGTTGTAGAAGCTAATATGGAAATTCACTGTAACGAGTATTATTTTAATTGATATATCTTTGCGCTTGTATGGAGTTTCTGAAGTTACATTATATCGCTATTTTATGAATATTGACACATAAAGCAGTGATTTAACTGAAGCGCTTGAATTAATGATAGAGGATGAAGGAGTTGGGCATACCGACTGCTTCACTTGTCTTGGGAGTCTCTCAGTCCTAATGGCCTGGTATCTGACGAAACGTCTGCATGAATACGGAAAACTCGATTGGCTTTTGCCTACTCCCGTCACTTGTAGCGTAGGTGGAATATTCGTCCACCTCCAAAGTACTAGTTTAATGATAGATGATATTTGTAGGTTGTTAGAATTCGATCATAGATGTTTTCGAGGTATTGCTTGAGTATTTTGGAAGGACCGAGTATGCAATATCTGGGTTAGGAATAGCATGCTAAGCAAGAACGGGAAATCGATTGGTGATGTGATTAATCTTCATCAACTGAGGTGATTGGGACATATGTTACGTATGCTAAACCATCATCTACCACGAAAGGTGATGTTGTCTGGTGTAGGAGTAGGTTGGGAAAAAGCTAAGGGTGATAAAACTGACACATGGAGCCTATCTATTAAGACACAGACATTTGAACTACCTGACAGGGTTTGCGGGATAATCGTAACCACTAGTTAGAGTGTTTGAATGACAGCTCGAAATCGTTTACAGTGAAGCAGGTTCATTTACTCTTTGTTTTCTCCTAAATTCTGCATAATCTTTTTATCTCATCAATTTATATTTCTCTTTTTGAATCGTATTTTCGATGCTCAACTTTTTCTGTTATCATTAATACTGTTATTATCCCTATGGCATGGGCTACTCATATCGACATAATTAGTATATATCGTAAGTAAGGAATAGAATATCTGACAGCAGAAGATTGAGAAGATCAAGAAGAGAAGAAGAGAAATAAAAAGCGATTGATGTGTAAATCCAGGAACAATGAAGCCTGAGACAATTAAAGAACATTTTTTGCAAATAATATACCAGAGTATGGTTTTGTATTTTATCAAACAACGTTGTAATTTGTATTAAACATATAGTTGCTTGTCCTTATCTGTGTTCTCATTCATTACATCCTTACTATTTTGGTATTTGTTCTAATAATTTCACTTCACTATATTAATGTATTATGATAACTTAAACCAATGTACATATCTACCAGGTTCTATGCTAAGAATAATGAACTGATTAACTAACTTAATTGATATTTTATTAGTTTTTTTTTCTTTTCTTTTTGGTTGATTCTAAAGTACAATTGTTTATGTATTATTGACTATTTATCATTCATCTTGTTTTTACTTAGTGTTTACACTGTTAATATTCCCTCTCCCCCCTATTTTTTTCTTCTCCCTTTATATCAAATTAAAACAACAACAAAAAAACTTTTTTTTTTAGAGAGAGAAATTCATTAAATTATTGGACAATTTATACATCGCCATAAGAATTGATCTATCAAAATATCGTGTAAGTGTTTGTGGATCTAATCCTGTTCACTACTTGTTATCTATCTATTTATCTATCTATCTATATATATATATATATATATATATATATATATATATATATGCATAAATGTATAACGACGAATCATGTGAGACAGTTTTCCACAGAGGTAAGTTTAACTAGTAATAATAATAATAGTAATATTGTCATCAGTACTAGTGGTATCAATATAACATTAATTATAAAGGAAGATATGATGATGATGATGTTGTCATTATCCCCCTAGTTACACTTATTTATTTCTTTGCTTATTACAATTTTTAATCGAATTAATATCTTATCAGAAGGGGTTTTGTGGAGATTTTAGTATTTTTATAGAGTTGAGATCATGAGTCAATTGAAGCTAGACTACCATGGAAAACCTGGAAGCACTGGACGGCCGTTTCGTCCTATTATGGGACTCCTCAGCAGTGCGCGTCCACGAACCCACTCTCGCGGGATTCGAACCCAAGACCTACCAGTTTCGAGAAGCAGTAACCGGTGGAGTTCAACCAGGTCTGTTGTGAGATAGGAACTCACTGATGACATTGGTGAATGGTTGCTCAATTTCGTGAATCAGTTGAAGTTAGAAATTAACACCGTTGGATGCCAGCTCAGTGGTCTATCGGTTAAGGGCTTCGGCTCGAAACTGGTAGGTCTTGGGTTCGAATCCCGCGAGAGTGGGTTCGTGGACGCGCACTGCTGAGGAGTCCCATAATAGGACGAAACGGCCGTCCAGTGCTTCCAGGTTTTCCATGGTAGTCTAGCTTCAATTGACTCATGATCTCAACTCGAATTAATATCTGTTTAAAATAATTTCTTTAAAATAGTCTTTACATAACAATCATAATAATGTCTTGTAAGCAAAGATGGACAGTGACTAGCAGTGGAATCCATTTTGACGCGCGTTTCGTCCTATTTGGGACTTGTCAGCTCGATGTACCTGTATCTCACAGTTGATGTTCACTCTGGGACTCGAACCCATTACTTTTCGCTTCAAACACCATCACGTTATCCACTTGGCCACTGAGTCTTGATAGCCACTTCCATGTGCAATGAGGTGAAGTTTAAATTCACTTAGTATTGTTTGTTTGAATCTTCCCATTGATGTTTAGGACTGCAACTGGTCAGTCTCTAATTGTCATATATGCATACTGTGCACACTGCTAGCCACTATCCATCTTTGCTTACAATACTTGTAAAATAAAACTATATCTAGGCAATACGCAGAGTATGCACATATACCAATAAGAGACTGACCAGTTTCAGTCCTAACACATCAATGAGAAGATTAAAACAAGTAATACTAAATGAATAATAATTTCTGTTTATACTGAATAATTTGATGATGTAATACGTGATAAATAATCTATCAAGTAGATTGGTACTTTAACATGCAAATATGCAACATAAATGAAATAGGTACATTCATAGGCATAATTATATCCATATAATATTCAGGCAAATTATATTCGTACACTTTAATTTTACACAGGTAACGATCATTTTTCATCTAATTGAAGTATTGATTATGTTTTTATTTCATAAAAAAGAATACTATAAGAAAGAATTCAGTGATAGAATACAATAATCTATTTGGTTATTGAGTAGTGACCGGTGTTATGTTTGTCTTTGATCTTTTACCATCGATCGAATTCTATAGATAAAGTTGTAATATGCCTAACACTCTAAAACTTTCAAAAGTCACATGTACTATGTCTAGTATTATGTGGTTCAAGGTAGTCGATAGAAAACCCTGTTTGACCTAAGATTTTTGCTAGTTGGGACTGTTCAGCAAGGCTCATCTTGAATTCTGGGGGAAGTGATACTTGCTAGTAAATTCAAACTGTTAGGAATCGGTTTCATAGCCTATGATTTTATTACTGAGTCATTTAGACACCGAATGACCTTCATGTCATAAAACCTAGGACTATGGTTTCCTCCAGACGACTTTTAACCATTATAATTTAATAAAACGTTCTTCCAAGCCTATCTTATAACAAACTACATTGCACATTGTGTTAGATGTTGATTAGTCAAGCGTAACTAATGTCCTAAACACCTCATTTCATGAAATTTTATAGCCTCACTCTTGAAATGAGTTACTAATTTGTCAATCTCTGTAAATTTATATCTTAGTTGTTTTAGTGAAGATCAGTGATTTTTTAACTTTAAATTCACAAGAATATCAGATGCAATTATTTTGCAATTGTTTGTTTGGATCTTCCCATTGATGCCTTGATATTGCCTCAAGTCACAAGCATTATAAACGAAGATGGATATAACAGTGGCCAGCAGTGGAATCCAGGACGTGCGTTTCGTCCCATTTGGGACCCATCAGCTAAATAGACCTTTTATCAGGACTCGGTAGCTAAGTGGATAACGTGATGATGTTTGAGGTGAACGGTACTTGGTTCTAGTTCCAGAGTGAACATCGACTCTGGGATGCAAGTGCATCCAGCTGACAAGTCTTAAAGATGACAGAATGTGCATCCTGAATTCCACCATTAGCCACCATCCATCTTTGCTTATAATATCAGATGTTATTTAACCTGTATAGTCTTTGATGCATTTTTACTCTATATAATGTTAATTTAATCAGATATTCGGTTATAATATTTATTAAATGATTATTTATGCTATTTCTTTAAAGTAAACCTTGAAGGAGGTAAACCTTTTTAGTTAAAAATGGTTTATGATGTTTTGTTATTTGCTGAACGGTTAAAATCAAATGGAGCTTACGGTTCATTATGACATTGACAACTCCAACTAGCTAAATTTACTTGAGTCTTAATTAATCTACGTATCAGCTGAATGTTGCTTACACAATTGATACTTGATTACTGATTTGTACTTTGATAAGTTGAATCAATCGTAAATTATCCCCTTTTTATTTTCTGACCTAGCATGATTGTTCACGAAGATTTCATGTAATTTAACTTGCATGATTGTTAGTTATCATTATTAGTAATAGTTTGGATTGTTCCATTATTAGTATTCAGGACTGCATCTTGATTAGTCTTTAATAGTATATATATACATCCGGTACTGATTGTTTCAACATTACCACGTATACACAAGTTATTCAGAATAGATTGATTGTGATTAACCGTGAAATACAAGATGGACTTATCGTTCAATATGGGATTCGTTAACTGGATTTACCTATATTTCAATGTTGATGTTCATATTAGGATTCAGTGGGGAAATGAGTTGGTTTTTGAAATGAAAGATATTGGATTCGAGTCTTACGGTACACATCAAAACTGATATGCAAATTCAACTGTTTGACTAGTTCCAAATAAGACTTAATATATTCATCGTGAATTCCACTGCTAGATACAATCCATTCATTTTATTTTTCAAGATTTTCTTTTACACTGGTACATCGAAAATTTAATAGTCTCAATAAATTCTACCATTACTTTCTATAATTTTAATAAATTGTACTTTCTTGAGTTTTTCTTCTCTTCATCAGAACAACAATAAGTAGTAACTCCTCAGCGCATTGCTGAGGAGTCCCATAATAGGACGAAACGGCCGTACAGTGCTTCTAGGTTTTCAATGGTGATCTAGCTTCAATTGACTAATGATCTTAACTATAAAAAAAATTACTAAATCTCCACAAAAAACCCCCTTGTGAATATACAAAAATTTGTAAAACCTATCCACTTTTTTCCTGTGGTCAACTCATCAGTAATGTATTTATGTTGTTTTCGAACGGAAATAAAAGGTATAGAAAAATAATAAAATGAAAACAGAATAAAAAACCCAGGAATAAGTTTTTGTTTTTAAAATCCAAGTTAAGTGTTAGTTAGTTGTTTAAAGGATTATGTACTTGCAAGTGTGTGTGTGTGTGTACGCATCCATATGGAATGAACGAATGTTGAACAAGATAAAGAAAAAAGGAAGGATTAAACTAGCATGTAATAATACTTCAATAAATAACGGTGATAATAATAACAGCCTTTTTTTTTAGAACTTGAACCAAGATTTAGTGGATCAAGTTATGATGAGATGAATCTATATGAAAATAATTAAACTTTCCATTTTCTTCTCGATTTAGCTATGCCTTTAAACATAACAGCTTTGACATATACACACTTTCATAAGAACAAACATATACAATCTATTCTAATTGTCAATCGAAATGAAAACGTATTAGTCTAGTTGACACATGGATGTAATGTTGAATAGATTAATGTTATACGGATTAGCTTCAATTAGATTAAGTTGGAAAAGAATAAACGTTGTCAGAAAATGACTTGTTTATCGTAGAAATTATTTTTTGAATATCATCGAGAATGAATTAAATATTGGTACTTTTTTTATAGATAAAAAAATATAAGATCTGTTCAAACTTTCAGGGTATGTATTTTCCAACTATGTAATGTATTGGTAAGCAGAGATGAATAGTGGCTAGTAGTGGAATCCAGGACGCGCGCTACTTCGTCCTATTTGGGACTTGTCAGCTGGATGTACCTGCATCTCAGAGTTGATGTTCACTCTGAGACTCGAATCCAGTACCCTCGCTTCAAACGCTATCGCGTTATTCACTCGGTCACTGATGCAATGTATTTCCCATGTTTTGAAGATTCTTTTCACTCATTAATTATGTATGTTATGATCATAGTACACTTACGTGATTCGGTTAGAAAAATGAACAACCTATTGTGAAGTTAAATAACAGAAATTACAAGCAGAGCCAATATCGTAAAGTGGACTGTGTTCCTCTTTATTTGCTTTTTATGGAGGGGGGATGATTGGGGGATTGTAATAAAATTCATGTATTAAACATCTTTTGTAAGATGAATAAAAGTTTCTAAGAGTAGAAGCAATCGAAAAAGTTCTCGGATAAAAATGAAAAGCAGTATTCATGACACTTTTGAAAAATATCTTTTCCGAATTTATTTTCAATATTCATGAATCACATATAATTTAATTTTGATGGGGGTCAATTCTTAGTGGAAAAGTCGACACTTAGCGCATTCATCTGATGAGCCATAAATAGGAGGAAACTTACTTTCTGAATTCGACTGTTAGTTACATAGCGAATATATTAAATGGAATTCATCGCGATTCTTTTATATGTCTATTAATATAGGGTTTTAGGGGGAGATTATAGAATTTTCCTGAACCTTACATAACTAACTGATCTTAGTTATACCAGCATCGAAATCCTGAAAGCATTGGACGACCGTTTTGTCCTCTTATTGTACACATGACTGCGCATCTGCGAATCAAACTCAGGACCTTAGGTCTCATGTACGAGCGCTTAACATCTGGACCCTTAGGCCTGAATCTAACAACATTAGTGTCTAACTCTAATCATGTTTTCGCTCTCAGAATTCTTTATTGTAATCAGACAAATGAGATTGATCGAAGTGATCATCATTGTTAATAAAAATAAATATTCATATAATCTCAGAAGGGTTCTCTTTCCAACAAATATATACGAATTTTTTCATCAGGAAATATAAACAGTGAATAAATATGATGTCATAGAAAGGTTGTCATACTAGATTTTAATGTATCGACTAGTAGATTTCTCACAGACTGATCAGTATCATTTTAATTGTGTAAATAAATAAACATAAGAGAAATAAATACTCACCAACAATGAGTGTTCTTTTTTCATAACTAAACTTTTAAAGTTAAACAACCGATTATTGAATGAATAATGAGTGATAACTGGTTGGAGTTAGTCAGTAGGACACCCTGTTTGACCTTATATCACACTGTGATGTTGGTTGATCACTGAAGGCTTTCTGTCGACTACATTTAACCACATAACATCACGTCATAGCTCACTCAATGTTCAGTCATTCATACTTTAGGCCACATTGTAACTTAATTGATAGTATTAACAATGATTACAGTCATAATAATAATAATAGTTTTATTAAAAATTATGTTTGGATCAATATGGAATTCACAGTTTATGATATTTTAACACTTCTAAGCTAAATGACTAGAGAGGCATGAAACTGGTTAGCATTCAGTGATCAATCATTCGTTTACTAGCAAGTAGATATTTTGGGTAATACAGAAGATGTTGAAAAAAAGAAAGAAAAACGGGCACTAATCAACAATTGTTTCATGACCAATAGTTTTCTTAAAACTTTATTCTCCTTTATTGTTATTCTGTGGCTCAGTGTATAAGGCGTTCAACTTTTAGCCATATTTTCAATCACAAGTGTTCAGTCTGGTTAAACCAAATAGTATAGCTAGACCCTTCACATTTAGAAAATGGTCTAAAACCAAACATATGTATCCCGTACTTGATGAATGAATAATTATTCATTTTGTTAAAACACAATTACTTGTATTAATTCTAAATCAAAACATTTTATATAGTTGAGATCATGATTTAATTGAAGCTAGACCAACAAGGAAAACCTGGAAGCACTGGACGGCCGTTTCGTCCTATTATGGGACTCAGCAGTGTGCATCCACGATCCCGCCTCGCTGGACCTATCAGTCTCGCGCGCGAGTGCTTAACCATTAGACCACTGAGCCGGTATCCCACGGTGTTAATGTCTTACTTCAACCTATCTACGAAATTGAACGTTACATCCACCAATATCTTCAGTGAGTTACTATCTTACAACAAACCTGGTTGAACTCCACTGGTCACTGCTATTATTGTTGTGAAAAATAACAATTTTATTGGTTTCTTTTACTCGTATTTGGAAAACCATGTAATAGTTCAATGTTTTATATAAATAACTTCCATACTTAGTATATCGTTTTGACTATCCAGTTCAGATATTTATTGGTGAGTTTCATTTCATACTCAACATATAGATTTACCTATTTTTATCATTTAAACCTATTCTATTTCAATGATATCCTACTACCCAAGTATTTCAATGAAATATCTATAATTATGGTAAAGTTTTGGATATATCTGGGTGTAGAGTATATGTGACCTTGTCTGTTAATCATATCTATAGTTTGAATTAGTTTGTTTTGATCACTAATAGATTAAAATCTAGTTTTTCTTATTATCTGGTTACCTTGATGACTGAAAACTAATCTCCTACATTTAACTAACCTTTCGAGTAAATATGTATTTAAAGACCTCTTAGTTGTGGTACATTTGCAGATGTTTTGTTAGTAGTAGTACTACAACTACCAAATTTTTTTTTTCATGAATACATTTTTATTATGGTGATTGAGTTTAGAATTCTTGTTAATATAAAGTTACAGTTTCAAAGAGTTTCCACATTTACACAGGTTAACTTATTACCTTTATTTATCTCTCTCGCTTTACGTTTTTTTTTCTTTTTCTAGACTGTATTTCCTGCATCACAACCAGAAAGATTGATTGATTTGAAATCTACCGTAGATCTTCTTACAAGTATCACTTTTTTCCGTCTCAAAGTAAGTTTGTCAATTAGTGGGTAAAATTGTTAAAATTTCTCTAAAAAATAAAACTGTGTTATTGTCATTCCCGTGAGTCACGTTTCAACAGATCTATTCAGAGTAGTAGTAATGATAAGAATAGTACTGATGAAGTTTAAAGTTTTCATCCTTTTTGATGTGTTATTTCTTGGTGATAAACATCACTATAACAGTTGTCAGTTTATCAGGGGTTTGTGTCAAATATAATTTCCATTTGAATCACTAACACATACAACACTTTCAGTAGAGGTTTCAGCCTAGTAACGTAATTTGAAAAAAACATTTTGTTCGATCGAAAATGAAATGACTTTTTGATTGATCAATCAAATATATTCCTGAATACTTTAGTTTGCTAAGTGTTGTGAAGGCAAGTGGATCAACTACACTATATTTACAATTTTAACGTGTTCAAACAGAAAATATGTAACCAAGTAGAATGGTGTACAAGTGTGCCCACCGATATGAGTCTTAACATTCTGTAACTTTATAAATGGAGGAACTTTTCAATGAAAAGTAATAGAATTTAAGTAGCACAATTCAGAACTAGATATTGAAGTATAAAAATTTTGGCAGACGTATTAATGGACTGAGTGCTCATCACTAGTGATCAATATCTTCATTCAGTACGCTTGTGGGTTGACATCCAATGATGTTTCAATGTCTAAAGAATTTTAGCAGGCAGCTTCCTATAAACGAACTTTTGTGCTTTTGTACAAACCAGTGCATTATTTATTTCATATTTTAGATTGTCTAGTCTGTTTACTTTGAATCTACTCCTAATTCGGTTGTTAATGTACATCTCGTAAGTTGTGCTACTCAAAGAATAAATACAGATTGCTCAATCATATAACTAATTCGTTCCTTCTAAATATGATTATATCTACAATCCGTTTAAATAAACGGATCTTTTACTAAGATATTTGGTATATTGATGCACGGTTAAGTTTACATATCGCCATTTCGATGCACTAACCCATTTAGCTTAATAATGTGCATGTATGAAATTTTATATCATTAACCTGTTAAATCTTTCCAATCACTACTAATGAAAGCAACTGAATAAAATGGTAGACAAACCAAACCAAACACTATCCACAAAATGGAATGCAGGAATTAAGAACAGCATGGAACAGAAAACGATGGTCATCCTATTAGTATACGTCCATGTGAACATCATTTAACTGTTAAATGCCATGAAATAGCCTCGTTTATGTCAACGCATGTGAACAATTATGGACATGAGTTCGACTAGGAAAACATCTAAATATTGAACAAAGGGAAAATAAAAGAAACTAGCGAATGTTTGGAAGCCCGATATTTATCACACATCAGTCAAAAGACATATCGAAATTAACTCAATCTCTTAACTAATAAAGAAATGATAAACAAATTCAAAGTCAGAGATCAGGTCGAGGTAGAATATATTCAAGACGATAATATGCTTACGACGTTGTTTAGAATGCTGATAAAGGCTTTGTGGCCAAATCGCCCACCTCCTAGATGACACAATTTGAAAATTTTCGTCCGGAGTTGTCAATATTCTTCAACCTGACACATTGTTACAAAAGTCGACTAGATACAACAATTAAACATGGTTTGAAAAGTATGGTACTTAGTGTTAGACAAACATTTGATTCAAATCAAACCAATAGATCCACTGAAAGTATTGATTCTAACACTAGTACTGCAGGATGAAATTCATCAGTTAACAAATCTAATAAATTTCAGTAAAATGTCGACTTTAAAAGTTTCAAGAGTTGTTAGAAAGAAAAGAAAAAGAAGTTTGTCGATGACGTGTATTTAGATTTAAACTGATCTTTGCCAAATCTTTCTGTTTTGATTTATATAAAATATTTTCTTTCACGATTTTTTTCTTTTTATTCTTCACATTTTGAAAATAGGTTCAAGAGCTTAGTTCACCTCCAAGAACAGGTCAAATATTACGTGAATGTATTGAAGCTTGTATCCATGCAACTTATCAGTGCCTTTGTGAAAATGTACATGATTTATATGGGAAAAGTTTACAGGTAAGCGACTAATTAATTAATTAAGTGAGTAAGTAATTAAGTAAGCAAGTTAGTTAGTTGTTATCTTAGTAAATAACATCAATTTTCAAAGTAATCTGATGTCGTTTATCCAAACATGTACTGCATCAAACCGGTGTTGATAAGTAGTCCAATAATGGTCATGAAAGTTATTTTGACTTTCAGTAATTATGGTACTTTGTAGGTATTATTACCAAGGTTTGATTGGATAATTTGAAATAAATTGAGCATTGGGTCAGTCAGTCAGTCACAACGTAGAACTTCGTACGTACGTACATCAGTTCGAGTTGCCATACCACATTAGCACAGAGATGCAGTTGTCGATTCAAATCCCATAGTGGTAGAAGTAGAAGGAGTATAATCAGAAATCCAAAAGATTAGGGTTTGAAGAAATTATTGAAGGAGTATAGTACAGTGAAATAAATTTGGAAAGAGAAAAATATAAAGACATGAGGAATTCAGAAGAATAGAATTTGGTAGAACACAAAGAGTGGATGCATCTTCGCCATTGCAAACGATTTTGAGCCATGTCATTCAAGGTCTCTAACCATCGGTTGCTGTCAACTCGCGAATCCCAACCAGGTAGTCTACACCTACCAACATGGCCCAGTCCACTTGTCAGTGACTTCATTGATTTGTGCCACGTTTTGGTCTGGCCACCCCTAGCTTTCTTCCAACCTGCTCCTACACCATGAAACATTGCACGTCGGGGCTGTCGGTGGTCGGGCATACGTAACACATGTCCTAGCCATCTCAACTGATGAAGTTTCACTACTTCATCAATCGATTTGCCATCCTTACCTAGTACTCGTTTCCTAACAACTGCATTACTTACCCGGTGGTCCCAGGATATACGAGTAATGCTTCGAAGACACATATGATCGAACACTAGTAGCCTACGAATATCCTCTACTCTTATCGGCCATGTTTCACTGCCATAAAGTAGGACGGAACGAACTGCTGCACAGTAAACCCGTCCTTTGGTTGCTAGACGAATATCTCGCCTACGCCATAAACGGCGCAAGTTGGCTAAAGCTTGACGAACCTTCTGTATCCGTGCTGAGATTTCGTCACATACCAGACCACAAGTGTTGATGAGACTCCCAAGATAAGTGAAGCAGTCAACACGCTCAACTACTTCACTCCTTATCATTAGTTCAGGTGCCAATCCTGAAGTAACATTTTGCACTTCGAGGGGGAGAATCGCATCCCGAACATGCCTGCATAGTTGCTTGTAGTGGTCAGAAGACTCTGCATGTTGTCAGCGTCTTCACCGAGTAAAACTATGTCGTCGGCGTATTCTAAGTCAGTAAGTGAACCTCCCGGTAAAAGTTCAACTCCTGGAGGTTTAGCTGATGAAAGTGCTATTTCTAAAAGTATGTCAATGACAAAGTTAAACAAGAATGGGGAGAGTGGACAGCCCTGACGAACGCCACTTGTGGTAATCAGTTCTGATGACAGTTCGCCATAGGCTCTAACTCGATCAGTTGTGTTCGAGTAGAGAGCCTTTATGAGGTTAATGTACTTCTTTGGTACTCCTTTCAGTGACAAACATTGCCATAGAACCTCACGATCAACGGAGTCAAATGCCGCCTTAAGGTAAAGAAATACTACGATTGTGGGACGTCTGAATTTGTGTCTATGTTCTAGAACCTGACGTAGGGTGAATATCTGGTCTATGCAACCACGTCCAGGTCAAAAACCAGCTTGGTTTTCTCTAGTCTGCTCTTCACGAGCTTTGGTTAGGCGACCTAGTATTATTGAAGCTAATATTTTAGACACTATATTAGTCAAACTGATCCCTCTGTGATTGTCACAGGAGGACTTTTGTCCTTTCTTATAGACTGGCACAATCAGTGATTGGGACCAGTCAGATGGAATTACGTCCAGTTCCCAGATTCTACCTAAGACCTCAGTCAATCTCACTGCTAGTACTGGACCACCATCCTTAAAAATCTCAGGTGTCAACCTGTCAGGGCCTGCTGCTCTCCCTCGCTTCAGATTTCCTATAGCTTTTTCAACCTCACAGAGGGTTGGAGGACTTACATCAATTTGCCATTCAGGACGACTGGGGATCGTGGGTAATTGAAGTGTTGCTGAAGGCCAGTTGAACTGATCCCTAAAGTGTTCTGCCCATCGATCCAACCTCCTGGATTGAGCGAGCATTGGGTAGATTGTTGTAAATAAAAATAAAATGTTTTTAATATCTCAAAGAGTAGAAAAATGAGATTTTCTGACGTTTCGTGATTCAATAGAAGCCATTTGTTAAAAGAATAAATAACCAAATTATAATTAACCCAAGTTTAAATAATACAAAAGAACAAAGCAAGAATATTAGGTGTTATCAATCAATTGTGGTCAATTGTGGTACTGTAAATAATATTTAGCCAGTTTAATTTAAACCAGTAGTGTAGTCCAATCCAAAATGGGTTATTAACAGTAAAGTGAAATTGTTCAAACAAGTAACTTAATTTTACAGAGGAATTCACTTTGTGTTTTTAATGATGGACACTAATCGTTAAGAAATTCTTAAACTGTGTTTAGTCCCATTTTAATGATCTTAGTAAAAGCGTACCTAAAGGAAGCTGTTCAATTACTAAATGATGTGAATTGAAGTGTCAGTATCTTGATTATAGCCTTTTCTTTTCTAGTTAAAAACCAAATCAGTGAAGTATACATTAGTTCTCTTTATGGTTAAGGCCAGGCCTTAGGAAACTATGCACATCATGCAATCCTTCTTCTTCTCAATTGATTACAAATAATTAATACACTGAGATGTTGCTGGAAACTTACTCTTTATAAAACAATCATATTAAAGAAAGAACCATTCAGTTTAAATGTTTTATTGTAATGAAAGATATCTAGGTATAATTATAATTCTTCAAAGTTGAAATCATGAGTCAATTGAAGCTAGACCACCATCGAAAACCTGGAAGCACTGGACGGCCGTTTCGTCCTATTATGAGACTCCTCAGCAGTGCGCATCCACGAACCCACTCTCGCGAGATTCGAACCCAGGACCTACCAGTCTCGAGCCGAAGCCCTTAACCGATAGACCACTGAGCTGGCATCCAACTTCCAAATAACTATTAAAAATATTGAAATCTCCACAAATCCCCTTCTTATAATTATAATTAACAATGTGTAGTTTCCACTCCTTAAAAAAAGTATTTTTTTTTTATTAATATACTCCTGGAACAAAGTAGAAATGAGAAAACAAAACTATAACTAATAATTATGTAGTCTGTCAGTTGTCCTTGTCAATATTGAGTACAATTTGTTTCACTGTAATAATAGTAATAATAACAATAATAATAATAATAATACCCTGGACTACAGTACACGACGAGATGTTTCTTTTCTTCATTCTCTATATACCGCTAATTCTCCTTTTTATATGATAGGTGGAAGTAAAAAAGAGTTTAACTGTTACCATGGTAAATGTTTATTGATTATTCCTTTTTTCTTGAGAAAATGGTTATAGAAATATCATCTAGTTATTTATCTATTTATGAGTGAGTCAATTACTAACTTGTAAGTGAAACCGGAGAGTTATTGATTAACTCTTAAATGATCTAAAGTGGATTATTGCTGGTAGTAGAATCCAAAATGCACGTTTCATTCATATTGTAACTCATCAAATAAACGTACCCACACACCAGTATTAATATCACCATTGGGATTTGAACCCAGTAAGCATGGTTTCAAAAATCACTGAACAACTGCATCTAGGCTACTACTGAATTGTTCAATAGGTGTGATGTTTATATGATTATTAGAGATGGTTTGAAGAATCTAAAGTTTGTATATGGTAATTCGGGCTTTAAATTAAGCGTTCTTACTAGACGAAAGCCGATTACTAGGAATGGAGAAAAAATCATGTACACTGATTCTCTAATAGTCAGCAATTTCATATTCGTCTTGTTATTATGGGTGACTCGATCCTACGAAGGACATTACGTAAAATGGCCACTAGTCCAAATGACATAATATCTTGCACAATAATATGTTAGGTTGTTAGAAATCAACTATATGGAGCATCAGATCTGCTCTGCTCAAACTGAATTGCATATTGATGACGTTTCTCATAGCGTAACGCTGAGTAACTTTTGTTTAGTTCAGATGCATAGCATCTGCTTTCCCATGACTTTTTATCTGTTGTACCGACTTGTATCAGATGTCTCTGATTAGGTCTTTTGTAACCTTTATAGCGAAAGATTATATGCTTTTCAGAAACGCGCCTGAATAAGTTGTGCGATTAATAGCAATAATGATGTATTAAAACAAACAAAATTCGATAACTTGTTGAAATATCTAGATATCAGGAACAAGTAACCCAGTTGTTTAAGTAGGCCGTCAATTATATAGTCATCCTTCCACAAGTTTTTATTGTTTTATTCTATATTCAATAAAGGCAACCAATACAGAATCTGGAAATGCTGAATTTGGATCTGATAATATGAATAGTGGTACTGGACAATCGTTAATTGGGGAATTAGATCAAGTGGATGGTATACGATCGTTGACCTATTGGCATCGTCTTATCACATTAGTTGTTTCAGTTCTTGAAGATGATCGAAAACATTATGCACCAGTATTAAATCAGTAAATTTAAATTTATATAAAGAGAGTTAATTTATTTTTAAAGAAGAAAATTAAATTGATTTACAGTGTAGATCTATTGTGTCATTTAAATAACAGTTTCTAAGTGGAATAATTACATTAGTTTTGTTTTTCTTTTAATTTCGAATTGAATAACAGTAAGAGAGTGTTCAGTTGTTTAAATGTATTGTTAGCTAGTATGATAAAACTTAAGTGATATATCATTTATTAAGGTTTTATTATCTTACTGGTTTAGCAAACTTCCACGACCTCGCCTCGTGAGATTCGAACCCAGGACCTACCAGTTTCCCGCACTGCTGAGGAGACCCGAAATAGGACGAAACGGCCGTCCAGGTTTTCCTTGGTGGTCTAGTTTCAATTAACTCATGCTTTGAACTATGCAAACACTAAACCTCCACAAAAAATCCCTTCTGATTAGCAAAATTCATTGTTATTAATAGTTAGAATATGGCTTCCAATGTTAACTAATACCAACCTGAGTAGTATTAGAAATCAAGAACCAATACATGGTGTTCCATCCTTGTTTGAGGCTCCACATCTATGATCACTTTATACTCACTGATATAGAATCGAATACACAACCTTTAGGTGTGTTTCAGCCTACACGATATGATTGATCTGTGGAGTTGAAATATAACTGTGTATATTTTTGAATTCAGTCAATATCATTGGCTAGGTACTTTAAAACTGCTAACTTGACTGACTCTAAAAGTCATGGTTTCTTTTTGGAACGCTGAGAATTATCTACTTAAGATGACTACATCTGGGTGTATTGTTAGTTTTCGATAGAAACCATCTTTAGATTTCACAAATCTCCTCATAAGTAACTCAGTAATTTTCCATCCGTATTAGCTATGTTTTTAACTTTTATTTGAAAAAACAGGGAAATATACAAAAATTGTCCTGAGTAGATTTGAAGACAACGTATCTTAAACTATAGAAAAAGTTTTTATCTAAGTACGTAAATCCTGTCACAATAAGAGACTAAAAATGTATACTCCAAAGAAATGGAGGAATAATATTGGAAAGAAAAATAAAGAAGAGAAGGGTAGTATAGTTAATAACAAAATGAGCAGAAATAATATCTCATAAGAAATACGGTCCAATTAGGAATACAACTGACAAACGCTTCTATCAGTTAAGGAAGCTCTGTTCACTACTATAATGAGTAGTGTAATAGTAACCTGCAGAAAGACCTCCACGAGATTCTATTTTTATGATTATCTGACCATTTTATTGGCATTATTTTTTCTAGGCAAAATGGTATAATGGATGGAACTGCTTCTATTGTCACTTAGGACAACATCTTCAGGATCTAATTCATGTACCAAGCCACTGTGTTACACCATCTCTAAGAGCTTAAACTCAAGAGTCATTAAGTATATCAGTATGATAAGACCCAGTGAAAAAAAGAAAGATAAACAGCCACAGTTTCTAGTTTAAAGAACACGCAGTCTATGATGTATGATAGGTTGGAGTATCATAAAATAGTTTAGGACAAAGTTGAGAGGTTAATCTTCAGTAATATATTTGTTTACGATGAAGAAAGTAATTTCTAAGTTCATTTATTTTAATCATATTAGAAATTCTGTCATTTCATTTTGTTTTTACTAACTTTTCACTTTAGATTTCCACATGAAATCAATCTAGGTGATATGTCAGCTGAGATGATATGGAAATGTTTATCAGAAGATTTAGCTAATGGATTAGTTCAACATACAATTACAGCGAAATATTATTTCAATAATACTGAAGAGGATATATTGGATAGTTTATCAAAAGTGAATAAATTATATGATTCATCTCAATTAACTGGACAAAATAAAGTTGTATTAAAAAGTGGAATGAATAAAATCAAATCTTCCGATTATATGAATCTTTGTTTTCGAGTAAAATGGTTTTATAATACTTATATAGCAACATTAACAAGATTCAAAAATTCAGTTCCTGATTATCCTCGGTAAGTAAAGACTAAAATTGGTGTTATGTACTTCACATCACGGATTGATGTTAGTTAGGAGACTGTTAAAAATCAGAAAACGTTGGATAATTATCAGTATAGTGTTGTAGAGATTGTTAAGTTTTGATTGGGATCATGAATCTATCAAATCCGGAAGCACTTGACGGTCGTTTAGTTCTAGTATTGGACTCTTCAATAGTGCGCATCCAGGATTCAACTGCAATATGCAGGATCGTGGATGCGCACTTCTGAGAAGTCCCATACTAGAACAAAACTGCCGTCTAGTGCTCCTAGATTTTCAATGGTGTCCTAATATTGATAGGTTCATGATTTCAATTAAAGCATTGAATAGTTGTTTAGTCTTAGTCTTCGAATATATAAATGAGTGTATCCATAAATTTAATACAGATCAAGTCCGAGAACATCACTTCTTTCATTGAGCACTTGACTCTAAGACCATTGAGTTAGGATTCAATAGTTAACAAGTTAACCTTCAGTCAATCCACCATATTAAAAAAACTACCTATCAACGCCATTGATGAGTGATTAATTCATATTTTAGATGTAAACTATAAAATTCAAAGAGCCCCAGAAATCTCCTATACTAAAATTAATCATTTAACTCATTACTTTGAAATAAGGTAAAAAGTTGTTTTCATCAAACGTTGAATTCATGTGTTGAGAATTGAGAAAAGCTATCAATGTATGATGTTTCAAAGTTTAATGAGATCTCTTTTGTCGGTTAATCAACTTAACAATTGTTTATGTCATCTGAAAAACAACAGTGAACTGGCCTGTTTGATATCAGCTCAATGTTTCTGCGTTAAGACCTTTATACATTTCATTGATGTGACTCATTTACCAAGTCCAGATTTTTGTATACATCGTATCGAAGGCTAGCGAAATTGATCAGTCACCAAAAACCAAAGTAAGTGAAATGGGGTCCAGAAAACTGGTTAAATGGTTGCATATCAAGTGAATTAACCATTGATACACCGTTCAATTCCTGTCTGGGTTTACACTTGGTTGAAGTACTTATTCAATTCATCTTGTTTTTTTTAAATAATTGTGAATACTTAATATAGAATACTTTGATATTGATTTGCATGAACAGTGTTACCGTCGATAAATAAAACCGTTGGATGAGTTGAAATTCTTCGTGCAAAGAGTCATGATCTATTTCTGCATCACAGGAGCATTTATTTTGTATTTTTTCTGAGACATTGGTTGAACATTAGATTATTTTGTATTCTGTTGACTATATATATGTTTCTGTGCATTGAGTAGGTGGACTTATTATCGTTTCATTTATTCTACTATAACACTCACATGAACACATGATTATTGTTTTAGAATGACTGACATATTCTTCCAAATCAGAGTAAGAACATCTTTATTTGTAGGTCGCAAAATGAGTTTTTATTGGCTTGACAACTATCGCAGTAGACTTCGTGAATTTTGTGATATCCTACAATTGTATTAAGTACAAACGAAACTAAGATTTACATATAATATCGAATTAAGTTGTTCTATAATGATATACGTTGGTGGTATATCTGTACGGGAAACTATTCAGTATTGGCTAATTATAAACTAATGATTGAATGAACTTATAGTACCGTAATATTAGTAACGAGGGAGTTAATTATTCGTAAAATCTAGATTATGAGTTTAATTCTTATTGTTTGATTAAGATCCATCAACTGAATGTTTTTTTATGTCTTGTCTAAATTTGAACCCATTATGCGTTTCAGTAATCAATACTGAGTTTCTTGTTGTCCTATGAATATTGATCGTACTAATATTTTACCTAATAATGGTTACACCTATTTCTTTAAACTATGCTTGATCAAATCCGTGGAGAGTTTAAGAAATCTGTCTCATAAAATATAAAAGACTGACAAACGGTTAGATTGTTTTTGCTTAGTCTGACTAATCAAACATTTTGGTAATCAATAAGTACAAATTTTTACTTAAAGCTTCCATAAACCTTAAGTCATTGATCGTGACTTAATCTTCTTGACTGATGTAATTCAGGAAGCGAAATTTCTATCATACTTCCACCGTCTAACTTCCTTCAAAGTTTAAGAATCGTTGATTTTTGTGCACGTCTGTAAACTAGTTAGGAGTTCAATACTGTAAAATGTTTAAAGTGATAGACTTAACAGTGTAAAAATGAAATGCAATTTTCTGTAAAAAACTTTATTTGGAGAATAGACACCAATCAAGTGTTCATAGTTTTTTAGTGTTTGATCGTTTATTACTTTTAAAATCCTTAAAGATCTTTAAAAGAATAACTATGTTCTGGAAGTAGAATTAAGGTACTATGAACACACATCATTTCACATCACATATCTCTTAAACATACCTAGTTTAGACCTTTTGTTAACGTTGACTGGATGACCTATTCAGTGTATAATGAACTCGGAGAACCATGTACCTATTTATATTCGATAATTTTGATGTTTGATTATAATTCCTTGAAAAAGCTTGGACCAAATTGCCAGTCGAAACGTTGGATTTACTTCAATATTCATTCGCTGAGATTTTACAAATATATTATTCCTATTTAATGTCTTACATCAACTCGGCGCTCAAATACTGTGAAACTATTCGCTCTAATTTAGACGAGAGTTCTTATATATTAAGGTACTATGTTTGTTTCCTTATCTGGTACATAATGCAATCACTGATTGTTGGTTTGTAAAATAAGACTAGACAACATTTGCTCATACTATATCCGCATAACTACAGAGTTTACTACATTTCTTAGTGTTTGGATAATTTAATTTTCATTCTGCACATTTTTCATTTTTTTCATAAACTACAGTTGGTTTGAAGGTCTCGTATTGATTTGGTTAGCTGAGAATGATGAAGTATCTGCAAATTATTTAAGAAATGCTTATGATCGTGACAAACAAGATGGTTTCCAATGTTCCAGTGAACATGTGCTCTATTCAAATTCTGTCGTTGATGTATTCACTCAACTAAATCAATGTTTCGATGTTATACGTAAACTTGAATGTCCAGATAAACAAGTTGAAGGACACTTTTTCCATAGATTCTCACTGGTAAGTGAATTCTTTAACTGTTATATCTACATGATTGATTATATAACTGCGTGTAACTGTAAACAAATTTACTGAAATAAAGTTTTTTTCCAACGACTAACATCATCAAATAATTATGTACTGAAATGAGCTAGTAACTAAACTATTTCTAAACTGTTTGATCTTATTTTAAAGCCAAGCACACGATTTATACCGTCCAAAACTATACAAGTTATTACATCACAATTGACAGGGGTAATTTCTTTTCAAAGAAATTCATATCTTATATAACCTTAAGTCATGATAATTTATACAAAATTACGACTTCACGTCCAGTTTTCATTAGGTTAGTTCTGAGTTGTCATTGCACAGATGTGAAGAAGTGAGAGAAAGGAGTCATTAGCCGATCAATCAATTACGATATATTATCTGGTCGACAGAGGGATATTAATACATGTTAATCGAATAAATACTGAATAAATACACAGAATACCTCTTTTCATATATGTATATCTATAATCATTTAGTGATAACAATGAATGAATGTGAATTTAAATCAGTTTCAAGCAAATAAAAACATTGAAAATTGAATGGATGGTTTTTATAGAAACCTGTTAACAATTATGACTATGATTTAACTGAACTAATTAAAATTTGGATTCTGATTTGAACACCATCAAGATTTGCATAAGTCTTTATTCTTGTACAACTGTTCACTCACAATTTATGATTGATTGGTTAATTTGATCAAATAGTCGAGTTTGATCTTTCAACAGAGTGTTTATCACTCAAGCGAACATAAACACGAAAATAGTTGAAGTTCGAAAAGTACCAGACAACTGGTTTTATATTCAAATTATTAATCACTGAGTAGTGACCAGTGTCCTGTTTCACTAGTGCTCTCTATGGAAATGCAATGTAGCCATTAGTCTAAGTGATTCGATGTCACGTTAACTATATTGAGATGTTAGGTGATTGAAGTTAATTTTTCTAAAAATCCTGCCTAACTTTGGTGTCACAAGGATGTGTCTGTATTCTTGAATAAAATCATGCTCCTCGGGTCAACTTAAGTTACTGTCCACCAGTCTTGCATTTTATGACGTTAAAACTGAGTTATTCAGATTACTACTGACTACTGTTTGGATTGAAATATCTACAATTTACTGATTATGAAGTAGTGGTTAATATCATGATGGTCTAGTCCTTTAATGCTTATCTAATGCTATTTCCCCAGTTTCAATGCCGCTAGACGTCTGAGTGGCTTGATGTCGCTTGCATTATGCTCTCTAGTGGATTCGAGCAATGCACTCAAGGTCCTATCGACTACTTCAAATCACTTTACAACTGTTTTGTCCTACTTTTTCTGTGACTCATTAGAAATGCAAACTCATGATCTTGTTGTTCATATCACCGTTATGGAAATTTCAATTATTCGTAATGCTTCACAGCTAGTATTATCACATATTTCAGCTGTATAATCGGGATGTGCAATGGTTAACATATCTAATTATATGAAGTTTCTTATTACATTTTGTCTGTTCTTTTGTTTTTATCACATCAATTCATGTTATTTTTCAAAATAAGACAAAAGAAATTGAATCGTTCAATACGATTTATCTATACGATTGAACATTTAGCCATGAGAACGCTTAATTTAAAGGAATTTAAACAACAACAAAAAGACACCTCTTCATATGACATATCGTTTTTATTTAGTAAGAAATACAAATAAAGATAATTGATTGATACATTTCTATTTTATGATTAAATAGAGAATGAAACGACAACATAATTCATTATAGAACAAAGTGACTTAATTAAAAAAATCAACTAATTTACAAATTGATAAGTCAGATTAGTGAATGACTAAGTGAAGATTTCCATTCAAGTAGAGTTATTGAAGACGAAGTGAATGAAGTGTTAGTATGCAGACATAATGGGGGAGAGCGAAAGAGTGTGTATATGATTTGTAAAACGATAGTAATTATGAAAACAATAAGAGGAAATTCAGAAAGAACGGTACGGATTCATAGTTGTGGTAGATACTTTTATTTGCGGTTTTGTGTTTTGTGAAATTAAAAAAGGTTTGATGGTGAAGCCATCATTGTTATACTGGATGAAAGTACAATCAATAATGAATGCTGAGGTTAAGGATTGGGTACTTGACAAAGATGGTAAATCATCTGATATGATTGTTGACCTTCATCAACCAAGGTGGCTGGGCATGTGGTGCATGCCTGACCACTGCTCATTATCAATGCCCGATGTTAGCTCATAGAGAAGTATTCTGGAAGAAAATCAAAACGTAGAACAGGTCTATAACGTCATTGACTCTTAGTCTGAGTCATGATAGTAGATTCTGACTACCTAGTTGAGGCTAGTATCATAACCACGATTAATGATTGGAAACGTTATATGACATGCCTCAGAGTCAATCACAGTATTCTGAATGCATTCTCTCACTATGCTACCTTAGATATTGACTTCCATTATTTGTTCATATGGATTTTATCATTTCATTCTCTGTTTAAGTTATGTTCGCAATGTTTAGTCCTTCGCAATACCGTTACTACTTCATTAGTTCAATTCATTTACAATTCATCTCGTAAATTAAATCGCGTCACTCTAATATGGTATAGTAATTAAAGCTAATTCAAATATGTACCATATTCTATGTTGATTATGACTGACTAATATCAACAAGATTCCATTCATCCATCATCATTCCTTTTTTTTCTATTTTTTTATTATTCTACTCCTAAATTATTTTAAACTTGTTAGACTGTTGAAAAAGTTCTCCTTGCTTATGCTGATCGTGTGTTAGCTGATTTTCCAACATATAAAACGGATCAACGTGTAGCTTGTATATTAGTGAATAATACACAACAACTTCGTGTTCAACTAGAAAAAGTTTATGAGAATATGGCACGTGAAAGGTTGGTTTTTCACTTTATCTATTATTTATTCTTTCTCAATTAATTAACTTTCTAATGACAATTGTATAGTCAAGATCATGGATCGGTCATTGTTAGACCATCATTAAAAATCTGGAATCACTGGACACCGTCTTCTTTCTAGTATGGGTCTTTTCAACAGTGCACATCCATGGTCCCGCACATAGCAATCAAAACCAAGGCCTTCAGTCTCGCGAGCGAAGGCTTAACCTCTAGGTCACTAGAACCGAAGGTCCTAAGTTCATGTCCCAGGTGTGGGTTCGTGGTGCGTACTTCTGAGGAGTACAATACTAGGACGAAATGGCTGTCTAGTGCTTCCAGGTTTTCAATTATGGTCTAACATTGGTCAGTTTATGATCTCAATCAAACCTCAACAATCTCCAAAATCCTATACTGACAATTATTTAAATGTTTTTGTCTTCTAATTAATATTATTTTGATTTATCAAATACAAATTAGTTAGAAAAAATGATGGTTTTCTACTTTAAAAAAGGATTAGAACTTGGGATTATACCAACAAAAAAAACAAAAAAAAATAAACCTGGATAGTATTACAAAATATCGATAAATCAATTAATAGTTTTATTACTGGCCTAGTTTTCTATTCAGGAAAAAAATCTTTCGTTTTTTCATTCCGAGGTAAATTGGAATAGAGAACTAAAGAGAGCTTCACTTTATATCAGTCGGTTTGTTTGAAGCTGGCTTAAAATTACACAAAATCATCATGAACATTGTTATAACATGTGGGTGCGTGCGTGTCCTGTTTGATATGTGAACGTGATAAGACTGCCAATTAGGAGAGGAGTGAATTTATTGATCGTTCAATGATACACAAAAAGCCTTATGAGCAGTGTTGAATACTTGTCAGTCCTGCTTTCTGCCTAGACCAACCAGCGAAGTCCAGAACACCAATAACAACCTCTGCAATATGAATCGTTATTCACAAACATTCTGGGTTTATATACCAATCAAAGAGACCACATCGTACCATAAAATAGAAAATAACATTTGTACAAGATTTAGCCAAATGTGGCTGTGAATAGGGGGAACAGTAATCAATAGACTGGGGATAACTCAAGAATGGTATAATAATAATAGTCTATAGGTCAAAATAAAGCTCATAATAAAAGGGACACGAATATGAATAGTTTAGTTATTTAACAACTATACAATAGGAAATATACATATCATATTGGTCCATAGATAGTTCTCAAAATTGCCATCCATAATTCTCTTCGGGATACAACAAACATTAATTTCATGAATAATTATTTTGGAATGAGATTTTCATTAACAACCTATGTTGGCAGTATAACTATAAAGAAATGAAGATCATTAGATAGTCTATTCTTTAAAGTTTTAAACTTATTTAAAGTGGGTAGCCCACAATCAGCATTTATGAGATAGAACCTACTTATCTAGGTTCAGTTAAACAGATAATTTATTCTGATAATCTCAATATGAGAATAGTTTTCAATGGATGTTGGTATTAGTTGGATATTCATCGAAAAACAGAATGAACTAAACACCTGTTTTCCTTATATTAATCTTTTCAAATATTTGTCTATATTTACCTTTCTATGATGTTAGGTGGTTGGAGATAGTTAACATGAAACCCTAGATTTGGGTCTCATGCCATTTGACACTCGTCAGCAAAGCCTACTTATAATATTGAGAGTACACATGCCTATTGATGGGGTCTAACTTGTATCTGTCCATCAAAAAGGATTTTTTTTTTAAATCTCGTAATTATTCTTCAGGAAGTTATACCTTAATATAACACTTTTAAAAGTGAATCAGTTGACATCAGGAATTTCGGCTACACTAAATACTATAAACGATAACGTTGTGTAATTTAACTTCATCAGTAATACGGTAGCTTAAGTGACTAATAGGTTGTTTACGGATAATTAATCAAATTGTGTTTATTTCCAACTTCTATAATTTCAGCATATTCAAAAGGTTACGGGATGATGAAAATAATGCTTTTCTAGCTGTTGATTAGGTTTCAATGACAGTATTATCGTATTATAAATACTACTGACAAAGACCAGAAGTAAACTGTTTCATCTCAAACAATTGACGTTGTTCTTTTCTCTATTTTCAGTCTTGAATCCAACACTCGAGATCGTTTAAGTGCTCTTCAAGGTCGATTAAATGAAGTAGTTGATAAATTAGCTATCCAACTAACTGATCAGTTTGAAGCCGGGGTTCGTTCACATGCACGTGAATGTGGTAAACTTTTACAGAAGGTTAGTTGAGATAGCAGATTTTTTACATACAAATTACTCATTGTTTTATGAAACTCCCCATTTTGTTTGAAAGACCACTCGATTGCATATTAGGTGGTTGGAGGTAGTCAAAATGAAACTTTGGTTTTAAGCTTCGCTTTAGTTGGCACTGGTCAACACGGAGTTACCGGGAAGTGGCGTTTCCTGATGAATTTGAACACACATAGTAAAGCGTTACCCTTGAACTGCTTGAGAAACCACTCACTTCGTTTACAATAATTGATTGATCACTAAGTAGTGATCAATGTCGAGTTTGTCTACTCCTTCGACCAACATCAGAGGACTGGATAAATATGACATCACTCGCAACTCAATGGTTGATCATGCATATGTACGTATATAAATATCACTGAAACTGAGTTCTTATTATTCTGATTGCCAGTGCTTTAATCGAAGTTTTGTGTTTTATTGAAAAAGTTCTTCTAAACGTTGCTGATTATCAAGATTTCAAAATTTTGTTAGGTAGGTTTAGTCGTAATGATGAGAGAGCTAGTTTAGTGGATAATCTAGTTGAAGATTTCGACGGTGGAATTCTACACAATTTTCCATGGCATTAATTTTAATAGATATGAAGTAAATTTAGTTGATTCATTAAAAAAAGGTTTGTATTTTGGTCTATTCATTTGATGTTAGTTATAATTATTACAGGAAACTGAAGATTCATAATAATTATAGGTTTAGATCAGACTTCAAAAGATTGCTTAAACTATGAAATATATCTAGGGGTAAGTGAAAAATTGCTCTGGAACAAAGTTAAAACAAATACGTATAAATTCACTTAGAATTGTTTGTTTGAATATTCCCATCGATGTGTTAGGACTGCAACTGATCAGTCTCTAATTGGCATATGTGCATACTGTGCGTATTGCCTCGATATAGTCTTGATTCACAAGCATGATAAGCAAAGATGGATAGTGGCTAGCAGTGGAATCCAGGACACGCGTTTCGTCCTATTTGAGACTTGTCAGCTGGATGTACCTGCATCTCAGAGTTGATGTTCACTCTGGAACTCGAACCCAGTACCCTTGGTTCAAGCGCCATCGCGTTATCCACTCGGCCACTGACTCCTGTACGTATAGTTAAAAAAGCCAGAAGGAGAGAGAAAGAAAAGGAGAAGAACATAACTTTGGATGATCACAAAAAGTATGATAAACTTAGAAATATACTATTCTGGCTCAACTAATACAAACCCCATTTTGTATTTTCTCTGGTTAACATAAGATCAGGTTCAAAATAAGGTCAGGAGTGAACTAGATATAGACAATGTGACATTACCACATGAAATTAATGACTAGAGTCTTAAATTATTTTGTAAAATATAGATTTCCTGGATTAAAAAACTGATTGACATAGCTTAAGATAATTACTCTATGTTCTCCTTGATGTTTGAGTTAAGTACGGTCATTTACTTTTCAATTTACTTTCATTCATGTTTTATATTGTTTGTTATTGATTTCTCATCGCTGGGTGCATTACTACCATTGCTTCTCTTTTATCTTGGACAAGTTTCTTTCACTGTAACTGATTTGAAGTGTGATATCTTAGATTGGCGCGGATTTGTGCTGAATTCTATGTCGTTCTTTAACGCCTACACTTCACTGAGTATACTGTATGAGTTGTTTAAAAAATGCCGCATTTATTTCGTTATTTTATTCATACTACTTTAAATCATTATTCAACAGCTCACTTTTTATATCTAATTGAACTGATTCATGAGTCAATTGAAGCTAGACAACTATCGGAAACGTAGGACGGCCGTCTAGTCCTATTGTGGGACACCTCAACAGTGTGCATCCACGTTCCCGCCTCGCGAGATTCAAACCCAGGATCTATTGGTCTGGCGCGCGCATCCGATGATGTTAATGTCTAACTTCAATTAATCCACGAAATTGAGCAACACATCTACCATTGTCCTGGATTAGAGTCTGGTGAGGAGGGATCGTGGATGCGCGCTGCTGAGGAGTCTCACAATAGGACGAAACGGACGTTTAGTGCTTCCAGGTTTTCTATGGTAGTCTAGCTTCGATTGACTCAAGATCTCAACTATTAAAATTACTGTAATATCCACAAAAACCCCTCCTGATATTAAACTGGTTCAATGGATCATCATTTTCCGGTTCAGTAATTGGAGTAAGTCTATAATGAATAACTGGGTTATTCTGAAATCATAATTCTTATTTCTTCATGTTCTCATTTTTAACAGTTTTAAATGAGTCAATAATTTTTATATTGATATGAATGAATAGTAGACCAATGGTTTGTCTTTCACAATTATCATTTCACTACTAATACTCGTTTAAAGATAGTATTTTCACTCTATTATTAAGTAACTTATTAATATGTGCTAGCTGAAAACAATCAGGTGATTGGTCAATAATCTATTGTAGATATAATAAACTATATTAAATATAAAAGATTGTTTCATGTATGAAACTGTTTTTTTTATACTTTTGTTCTATTCTAACTTCACTTGTTCACTATTCATTCTCGATTATATCTGGCTGTTGATGGTTGATCAGATAATTGAATTGAGTGTATGATGTAATCAAGTATTTTGATTTAATTATTTCATTGATCTACTGTTCCGTTTCATGTTAACTTCTACTAATACACTTATCTATAATCGATTGATTCTGTATTGTCTTGAATTGGAACCTCAATTTGCTTACTGTTGGTATAACATATTTGGCTATTGAAATATTTGTAACTGAATTTGGTTTTCAGTCTGTATAATAGTAATAGTAATAATACTCTTTTTTCTAATAGTGTAGACCATCGAATAGCTCAGATAACACAACTGGTCGTAGTGTCAGTAAAGAAGATGAAGCAAACGAATGCTTACAACCGCTAATGGATCATTTTGAAAGTATTTTATCTATACTAGCCAATGTCTGTGATAAAACTGTATTGAAAAGAATATTAAAGGTATGTATCATACAAAACAATGTCGTTATTTTGTTGAATTGTGGTTTACAAAAATCATTATTATTATTAGCTTTATTCAATATTATACTTTTGGTACAATATAGAATTCTCAGCACAAAGTATTTCAAAAAGTTTCTGTTTTTTACTTCTTCGTCAATCCTGACGATTAATATTGAGTGATCTCAAGTTAGAAGTAAACATTCAAATCAATCAACATTTGAATAATGCACATTCTTTTCGCTGCATATTGTCAGCAACCATGATATCTCTGATTGAGCCTTAGTAACTTGTACAGCGAAAGGTTGTACACATTTTAGAAACGCGCCTGAATAATTTGTGCAATTAATAGCCATAATGATGTATTAAAAACAAACAAAATTATATAACTTGTTGAAATATCTATATAGCAGAAACAGTTAAGTCATAATAAAATTCTCGGGAAAATTCTGAGAATCCGAGGAAATACTGAAAATATTCTATCCACTGAGTGTTTAGCGGAAATTTCCTACCGAATTCTAGAAAATCGACGGATTATCACTGAATTATTACTAGAAACTTTTAAAATATCAACGTCACTCATGAACTCATAATATCCTTGTTTTCCGTACCTAAACTAACTTTTGATGTGAAGCTTTTTATCATACGTTTAACCTTTTGTCTTCTGTTCAGGGTTGAAGTGTAAGAGATTACTAAGAAGCTAGGAAGTGGTTAGAAGTTGTTATCAAACATTCATGTACCAGGTATATCAAATATGAATAACGAATATCACTGATAAGTGTGCTGTACTATGTAATGAGGATTTAAATTTGTTTTAGCCAGATTGTTAACAAATATCCCATTGTTAAACTCTAATTACACTGAATAAAACTTTTTTATTCCTATGTAAATCGTACTTTTCTTTATAAATAAGAAAGATTCACTCCATTTTCGCCCGTTTTTCCTACGTCATTCATCAGTTTTCCCCAAATAAATACATAGATAAGTGTACACTTCTTAGGCTGTTTTTTTTTGACAATGTAAAGTTTGTATATACATACATGTTATGCCAAGTAGTATATCAGAATAGTTGTCAACTTTCTTGCTTAATTATTTGTGTTTATATTTCTAAATATTACTTTTCAAGCAATTATGGAGGATAACAATGTGTAATTTAGAAAAACTTGTTGTACTGCCCGCAGTTACTGATCAGAAACAGGTAATTCGATTCTTTCCTTTTCACATTTTAATCTTTGTGTACGTTTTGCGTTGGTTGAATGTTATATAAATTTATGGTAATTTACTCTTAGAGTTGTCAAAAGAGAAACGATTACTTACTAGTTTCCTAATCCATAGATTGCAAGGAACATTTTTGTTTGGTGATATTCAGGAAAGAATTGATGATGTTCTGTTAGCATTTATCATACTTGAACAAAATTCTCGATATCATATTCAGTCACAAGTTAAGTGAGTACGAGATATAGGTTGGTGATAAAATGTAGAATGGACATATTGTTGTGTACGGGACTTGCAGTGTGAATGTAGGTGGATCTCAATGTTTGTTTGCAGGCTAAGATTCCACTCTAGCACCCATTGCCTCAAACTTGACTTAGTAGCTTGGGTAGGTAACATTATGACTCTTGGAACAATGGTTATTGGATCCGAATCTAAATGTAAACACCAAAGATGAAATACAAACATATCTGGTTATCACTGGATGTCAATTATCCATGACCTTTTTTGAAAAAGGTGTAGTTTTTCCCCATCAGGAAGAATGTCGTTTTGAAGTCAGAAATTGTTCTCAAGCCTTGTATCCTTGTTTTATGTTTCCCTAAGCATCTAAAATTCGATAATGATTAGCTAGTAGCCGATATTTATTCTTCAATAACAGAAAGAGATAAACTGAATTTATTGCCGCAATTTTCAGCGTTGACTGAAATCCATAGAACAAGATAACTGAAATTAAGCTCATACACTGAAGAAAAATTTGCAAGTTTGTAACAGGGACACCGAATAAAGTGTGCACAAATCATTTATTTAGACAAGGATGTATAGGTCACGACTTTGACAAGTGTATAGTCGGGTTTATCCAATAGCGTGTCTTCTTCATTATCCCTCGCCCATAGTTTATATTTATGATATCACGTGAACAAAAGCATATTACGTGTCTGGAATAGCACAGTTTATCAGTTTACTGTTAACATTTAACTAATACTAACTATAATTGTGTTCCTCTTCCCTCTAGCTGGCTACGGGATTGCTTTTAAGCTCAAATACACCAGCGAAATTAATTGGCGGGGCACAAAGCTTATTAAGTCATGTTGGTAGTCAAGTTGTACAAGGGAAAATTTTATCTGTAAGTTAAATAACTTTGTTTTTGTGAAATTACGGTCTTAAATTTTGAACAACATAGTTTATCGTTAGTTTAAAGAAAGAAACTCCTGTTCAGTACTATTAACATTGAGTTATTCAGTATAGATCAACATATCATGTTATTCAATCCAAAAACAACAGTGAAATGTTAATGTGTTTCTTCTGAGATTAAATTATCTCTTGTACCCGAAAAGATCAACAAAGCAAGGTTAGATTAAATCACAACAAGTGAACTGAGTCCAATGTGATAGAGAACCTAAACAAAACTATCTGTTGTTGCAAACTCTGAAAATTTAATCTGTGAATGAAGAAAGAGAAGAATAGTTGTCTGTTGTATTTTGATTTCCCCCTGGACTAACGATGCTCAATCCATGTATTTCAAAAAGTTCGATAGTTTACATTGTTTCATATCCCTATCAATCCAAATGCTGTAATATTTAATGATTAGGTCAATTCGATCTTCATCCATACATTCACTCTCATGATTCACCTGTTAATCTACTTTTTTTTAAAAGACTGTTCAGTAAATATTTCATAGAATTAGTATTTAATAGAAGTATCTTCGAAACTTTTAGAAGGGTGAAAGAATACGTGTCATGTTTTTGTTTGGATAGTTACCTTCCTATGCTATATTTGGTATGCTTCAAAGACTTTCTAGACGATTTAGTTCACCTCAAATGGTATAAATACACACGATTTTCTGTTTGTACTTTAACACTGGAGTAAAGATTCTTTCGGGACTTCGAACCTTTTCTCTTATGTTCATGTTGTTGTTTATATTAAGTTTGGGATTACTAGAAGTGGATAGGAAATCCTCTCGAGAGCTTGATTGGAAGACTTAATAATAACATTCCCAATACATTTCACATTCGAATTTTAATATCATGTTGTCAAATGAACTTTTTACACAGTAGGATAAACACAAGGAAATATACAAAGTTAATCGGGGATCAAATACGAATAGAGTCAGATACGTTTTTTTGAAGATTCTTTATTCATTTATTCAAATGCGCTTTAATAAGTCAAGTCTAAATTCATTTGTCCATTTTTCAGTGCACAAATCACTAGCTGAATGAAACAATTAAAGATTATGAGAACAGTTATTTAACATAAGTGGATCTACTGCATAGATTAAGTCTTCAATTATTTTGCTAACTTAATTCACATATGAATCGAACACAATCAAATGTATTCACTCTTAATTTTTCTCTATATCTTACGTTTCAGTAGTGATGGATCTTTCTCCTGCCACCGATACGAGTGGTTTTACGACCTAACAGATTCTTGTTTAGTGGATTTTTTCTGTACCTCTTTTTCTCTCCCTCTCTTACACATTGGTGTGGTGTGGAACATATAAACCTTCTCACACACATTAAAACTCTTCACTAACCTCATTTCTATGTCACCAGCTTAATTTCATTGAATCTTGAGTGCGCTATTTTTAACAAGAATATTATCTCGTCTCCGTGTGGCAAGTTCGACTGCAGGTTTGGTCATGAGTGTTACGGTGGCTGTCCCGATGAAAAAGGCGAAGTCGTCGAAACGTAAGACGCCAGCTAGTCGCCCGCCAGTAATCAACATGATTACAGCGGCGATTTTGGCAGTTAAGGATCGTAAGGATAGCTCACTCGCTACAATCAAGAAATACATAGCCGCGAATTACAAGTTTGATGTCGAAAAGCAGGCAGCACATATTCGCCGTGGCACTGTGCATGATGTTGAGAAAGGTGCTCTTATACGGGTTGGAAATAAGGGTAAGGGCGCATCTGGTAGCTTCAGAGTAGCTAAAAAGAAGTTGCTGACGCCAAACCCAAGGTTGCTAAACCGAAAACTAAAGTGCCTTCTGCTGTTGAACCCAACTGCCAAAAAGCCAAGGAAAAGAAGATCACTAAACCGAAAGTTAAGACTCCGAAGAAGCCAAAAGCAGCCGTGACGAAGAAGCCAGCATCTAAGAAGCCGAAGACTCCTAAAAAGACTGCGGCTAAAAAGGTGGCTCTAAAGAAGAAGTAAAGTGGTTTGATGGTGCCTGTATAGGTGCTGCTACTACGGAGATGTGTATAAAACTGTTTTCTGACGTGTATACACAGACATTCAGTTCCACCTATTTTTATGTTTAGCGTAACTACAAAATTCACATGAATAAAGTGTGTTTTGGGTGAGATGTTGAAGGATATTGTTTGTTAGGATTCAACCATATGATCTATTGAAATCATGAACCGATAATTGTAAAACCATCTTTGACAACGTTGAATCACCGGACTCCCGCTTCGTCCTAGTGTTGGACTCTTCAGAACTGAGCATCTACGATCCCTCATGTGGCAAGGTTTTTTGGTCTCGCATGCGGAGGCTTAAACTCCAGATATGATCTATCTACTATGACTTATAGATTTTAGAAAGTTCAGCTATCATTAATTTTGAATAGGTGAAAGCAATTGTTATGTAACTTGAATTTATATTGTATTGTAGGAAACAACACGTGAACCTGAGAAAGGTCTTACACCATATCAATGTGAATTACTTGGCATTTGCTTGAATACAATTCGTGTATATTTTCATGCTGGTGGACGTGGTGTGAAACGTTCGTTTCTTGATAGGAGTCCAGAACTACATAGTTTACGACAAGTATTAGCTCTATATTCTCAGGCTACAGATGAATTACTTCGAGATTTCATAGCTACACAAACTTCACAAGGTAATCATTTGTTTCATACAGACAAAATATTTTTACTTATAATGAATGAAAGGCTATTTTAAACTGAATTGTTCGTTGTACTATAGCTACATTAATTGTTTACTTTAGTTCAGATTTTGAAATTAGCACTTGCATAATTATAATGAATATCTACAAAATTTATTTTAATGACCAACTTTCTAATTCATACCAGGATGATTGGTGAGACTCACTGATTCTTCACGTTTCTTGAAGATCTTACATTTAGCTGATGAATATCAATTAACACGACAACGATATCCAGGGTTTCTTGCTTATGAACTCCAAGTTCTTAACATCAAAATGATTTTTTATTATATATAGTTCCAGTAATTATAAAGTGGATTCAGCTGTTAACCCATTTAAATGTTTCTTGGTCGACTTTCTCATAACGGAGTAGTATTTTTTCGATCACATAGATATGCTGTCAACTGAACAGAAGAAACAAGTCTACTTTTAAAAAAAACATTTGATTTTCTGGTTCGGACATTTCTTTGGATTTCAAACCAGTGACTAGAATATCTGCTAAACTGAAGTCAGTCAGTCATTTACAACGTAGAACTTCGTACGTACGTACATCAGTTCGAGTTGCCATACCACATTAGCACAGAGATGAAGTTGTTCATTCAAATCCCATATTGGTAGAAGTAGTAAGAGTATAAGCATTAATATGGAAGATTAGGGTTTGAAGATGTTATTGAAGGAGTATAATACAATGAAATAAATTTGGAAAGAGAAAAAGGATACAGACATGAGGAATTCAGAAGAATAGAATCTGGTAGAACACAAAGAGTGGATGCACCTTTGCCATTGCAAACGATTTTGAGCCATGTCATTCAAGGTCTTTAACCATCGATTGCCATCATCTCGCGAATCCCAACCAGGTAGTCTACACCTACCAACATGGCCCAGTCCACTTGTCAGTGACTTCATGGATTTATGCCATGTTTTTGTCTGGCCGCCCCTAGCTTTTTTCCAACCTGCTCCTACACCATGAAACATTGCACGTCGGGGCAGTCGGTGGTCGGGCATACGTAACACATGTCCCAGCCATCTCAACTGATGAAGTTTCACTACTTCATCAATCGATTTGCCATCCTTACCTAGTACCCGTTTCCTAACAACTGCATTACTTACCCGGTGGTCCCAGGATATACGAGCAATGCTTCAAAGACACCTATGATCGAACACTAGTAGCCTACGAATATCCTCTACTCTTATCAGCCATGTTTCATTGCCGTAAATTAGGACGTAACGAACTGCTGCACAGTAAACCCGTCCTTTTGTTGCTAGACGGATATCTTGCCTACGCCATAAATGGCGCAAGTTGGCGAAAGCTAGACGAGCCTTCTGTATCCGTGCTGAGATTTCGTCACACACCAGACCACAAGGGTTGATGAGACTCCCAAGATAAGTGAAGCTGTCAACACGCTCAACTACTTCACTCCCTATCGTTAATTCAGGTGTCGATGCAACCCAATCCTGAGGTAACATTTTGCACTTGGAGGGAGAGAATCGCATGCCGAACATGCCTGCATTGTTGTTTATAGTGGTCAGGAGACTCTGCATTTTGTCAGCGTCTTTACAAAGTAGAACTATGTCGTCGGCGTATTCTAAGTCAACAAGTGAACCTCCCGGTAAAAGTTCAACTCCAGGAGATTGAGATGATGAAACTGATACCTTTAAAAGCATATGAACGACAAAGCTAAACTGAAAACCCACTCATTTGTTTATGAACTGGACTTGTAAGAGATCCCTGAAGTTTCGATTGAGATTCAACGATAAATGGAATTGAGCCATGTTGAGGATCAGCAGAACACCTATAGGTAGCATTGAATAATAGTTGCTCAACTTCACAGATTAACTTAGGTAGTAAATCACAGGTCATGGAAGTTCATTACTAAAGAATCTCAACGTGAGAGTATTTCAGATACTCTCGATTTATTCAACCCTTTGTATAAACCATTTTCAGGTTGAACAAGCTTAATAAATCACACATCCTAATTAGTTAAATTTATTATTGCATTATAAAAAAAAATATAGAAAAAATGGAAACGATTTAGATTCTCTTATTTTATTGTATTTTCTAAATTATTATTATTTACTAAAGATTATCTGGCTAATGAGGAGCCAGTTGGTTACTTAACACTTCAAGTAGAAATTTTCAAGCATCCTGGTACCGGTGAATATAAAGTAAATGTGAAAAGTAAGTCAAGTCAATTATCATTGTATTTATCATTTTCTTGATGAGTGATAGTTTAGTGAACGAAGACTCCGGTGGGGAAAACCAACTTATAAATTAATGTGCAATTTCAGTGTCTTGATAAAATATGAAAACCGTACATTAAATACTTCATTTGCAAATCTTCCATCAATTGTCTCTTAAAAACTTTATCATCCCTTCGTTGTTGTTTTTATTACAATTACTCACTGTATACATTACTGTTCTTTTCAATGCGATCTTCTCAATTTTCTACTGGTATGCATTCTACTTCTGATTTGTGCTACAAACCACATGTGTAAACATAAGTAACATATAGTGGCTACCGTTATGATTTGACCAAGCCGTCGCCAATCGTTATGGGTTGATGAAGGCCATAGCTAATTGTTAGGACTTATTCAAGGTCATCGCTGATTTGTTATGACCTTACGAATTTAACAAGGACGTAATTCGCGTAAATTGTCCACCAATATAATACGACTTCTACGACCTTCACACTGTGACAATGACGTTCGATTAGTATGAGTAATCTAGCGTCCTTATCGGTCCTTATCCACCTAACGCGTCCACTTGAGTCCAAAACACCAATAGCAGCTGCTGTAATGTGAATGGTTTATTTCAAACATACTGTCTATATACCAAACAGGCAGACCACATCACACCATAAAATAGAAAATAACATTTGTACAAAATCAAGTCAAACGTGGCTGGAAGCGTGGGAGACAGTACTCAATAAACCGAGTATAATTTAGGAACAATAAATCATATAATAATAATCAATAGGTCAAAATGAAGCTAGTAATAAGATGAATATAGAAATAGATAATCCAGTTACTGAATAGTTATACCATAGGAATATAAATAGAATAATAGTCTAATAAGAGGTACCATAAGTTATCAGTACTTACTTTTTTTCCTAGTATATAACAGCTACTGAATTAAACGTGGTATCAGTCACTGTTGTACTGTGCCAATTAAAATGAAACAGAAAAAATTTATTTGTATATGTGTTTGACTGTAAACAGTTGTTTTGAATATATAATGGCGGGTCATATTTCTTCGCAACTCTATTCCTAGTCATATTAGCTAACGTCAGCCTAGAATAGTACCTTGTAGTACACAATAGTATATCAGTTGATTATTTGTATTGCTTTTGTTAACGAAAGATAAAATCACTTACAAAAATATCTGGAAAAGAAACTAATTGTGAGGGAAACAATCAGTATTGATCAAAGCAAACAACCAAGTGAAATTTAATCAGAATTAGAAAATGGTTAAAGTATTCTTTTTTCATAGTTTGAGGTACATAGAAATATAATCAAAGACTCATTTAGATTGAAATTACTCAACAAAATATTATTAACTTGAAGCACAAAAGATCAGAAAGGAAAACTTAGAAAATGCATTTAATAATAATCATACTTGTTTTTACAAACACTTATTTACTTACTTACTTACTTACACCTGTTACTCCTCGTGGAGTAGCGTAGGCCGCTCATCAGCATTCTCCATCCAACTCTGTCCTGGGAAATCTTTACAAACACTGCTAGCTTATAGTTCATTTTTCAAGTTTTTGAGATATTTATGGTTTCTAATATCGTTTACCATCCTACCCCTGGTCAGTATCTGTAAATATATTCATTATTCAAATAGTGTTCGATAGACTATGAGATCTAAATTTCCTCAAATTTATAAGGATATGTGACGGGAGATCGTTTTAATAAAATTCCATCACAAAATGTCATCAGTCACAAAGTTTGTTTGTTAGCAAATCTGTAGCCAAACTCTTTCGTTATAAGGTATTGTTGAGCATAAAACCCAGTCACTTAACTTATCAAGTATTTAAACTTCCAGTAGACTCCAGGAGGTATCCAGGAGGCGTTACAGGTTTACTGTAGGAAATCTAAATGTATCACTTCTATGAAACACTAATAGTTTTAATTTATAATACTTTAAGTAGTTAATGGTAAACTCTATGTCCAAACATAGAAATGGATCAACATAAAACTCAGTATACACACAGACTAATAGTAAGATATTGGAGAAATAAATAAAAAAAATTGTCACAGTCAACCATAAATCTATTTCGTTAGTTTATTGTATTCTTTGAAATGCCGACGGGAATATTGAAGCTCTCTGATACTCTTACAAAATTTCATACATAATATATACACATATATTTTATTAATTGGAGATAGGCAAGCAAATGAAATGACGTCTTACAAAAATTGATCATAAAATTTTTATCTTTCTTAAGGTTTTTTTATAAAACGTCTGTAATACAATGACACATTGATATAACGTAAGCATTAAAAGATTTACTGTTTGTCACAAGATAGTACAACCAGTGTAGGTGTAAGTTTTTAGTATAAATACACTGACATTATATTGTGGATAATAGGTTTGATAGATTAGATAGATCAGTTAAAGTGTATCAAATAATAGACGCATATACAGTATCTGATCAACAGTTGATTAGACTAGACAATAGTTTATTAACATAAAGTATAATAAATCACTTAGTAGAAGTCTTGAATAAGAGTTAGTTATAAAATAGTTTCTTTTGTCAAGATAACTGGATACATCTATCTTTAATAACTAGGTAATCATGCCACACTAGCACACGATACATTGACAAACGAATGCACATATCAGAAGGGGTTTCGTGGAGATTTCAGTATTTTCATAGTTGAAAGAATGAGTCAATTGAAACTAGACCACCATGGTAAACCTGGAAGCACTGGACGACCGTTTCGTCCTATTGTGGGATTCCTCAGCAATGGGCATCCACGACCTCGCCTCGCAAGATCCGAACCCAGGACCTACCAGTCTCGTGCCAGAGCACTTAACCGATAGACCATTGAGCCGGCATAAGATGGTGTTAATGTCTAACCCCAACCAATCCACGAAGTTGAACAACCGTTCACCAATTGTCTTCAGTGACTTCCTTTCCCACAACAGACGTAGTTGAACTCCACTAGTCACTGCTTCTCACTAGATCATGGATGCGCACTGCTAAGGAGTCCCACAATAGGACGAAACGGTCGTCCAGTGCTTCCAGGTTTTTGATGGTGATCTAGCTTCAATTAACTGATGCTTTCAACTATGGAAATGCACATAATTTTCAGATTAACGCAGTTTGATTCACATTATTAACTACAACGTTAGAGATATTGATGATTTTATTCACATTTTACTCTCAAAAATTCTGAGCAGTTCAGAGATGACGGAGAAAAATGTATCACCAGGAGCAATTTTCTCCAAACATCTGTTAATATAGACATATATGTGTATGAAGGTTGAAGAGATTTTTTAAAATTTATTAAGATTATGAACCGATTTAGCTTAGAAAACTATTGAGAATCTGAAAGTACTATCTCGTCCTATTATGGAAATATTCAGTAGGCAGTGAGTATTCATGACTGTGCCATAGAATTCCATTGAATAATTTAACAAAAAGACTATATTTAGAAGGGGTTTGTGGAGATTTCAGTATTTTCAACCACGTCTATTGTGAGATAGGAAATCACTGAAGACAATTGGTGAATGGTTGCTCAACTTCGTGGATCACTTGAAGTTAGACATTAACATCGTTGAATGCCAGCTCAGTGGTCTATCGGTTAAGGGCTTCAGCTCGAGACTGGTAGGTCCTGGGTTGGAATCTCGCGAGAGCGAGTTCGTGGATGCGCACTGCTGAGGAGTCCCATAATAGGACGAAACGGCCTTCCAGTGCTTCCAGGTTTTCGATGGTGGTCTAGCTTCATATGACTTATGATTTAAACTTTGAAAAAAAGACTATATTTTGAGCATTATCCATGTGATAAAAAGTTGAAGAGTTAAGTGTTAATGTGTTATAAATCTTATTTTGGAATTAACTGAATATCAAATTAAAAATAAAATAAAAATCAATGTTTTAATTATCACAAAAGTGAAAGGTTCTTTTACTTGTGTGATCTACTTATAATTATAATTTGGAATCTCAATGTATGTCACATGATGTATGCATTTATTGGACTTGCCATGGTGATATCCTCGCTCAATGAGCAGTAATGTGAACTTTATGATTTGACTAAATTTTTTATTATTGTCTGTTTGGATAATGAATAGTATTCGATTATTATGAGTAATGCAATTATAACTTTCTAAGTTATACTCATCAGAAATTGACCGCAATTAGGGTTATGGTGAAAACCAGGGAAAACCTGACTGTTATTTCTTTATAGTTTGTGATTTTTCAACTGTAAGGTCCTCAGAAACCCACCTTCAGTATAAGCAACAACCTTGAGTTCTCAAGACAAACACTCTACCGTAAGAACTAATGGATTGGGGCCGGATTATACAATTACAACTTCAGTCAGTTTGTGATATGTATGAACGATCTGATGAATAATTGTTCGCCGTAAAACCTGAAAGTCTTGTGTTTACTATATGATGAAGTCTTGCGCTTACCTAATTCAGAAGTCCCAAACTAGGTCCAAATAGCTATGGAGTACTTCCTAATTGTTGATTGCATCTAAAATGATATCTGCAATGAGTACAATTTACAAACTAAACCAACCTCTATAAGACTTCTATAACTAAATTACAACATTTATCAACTTGCTCTCCTATACAACCGTTGGATAAAAGAGCTTAGATTGGTCATAGTTTAATAAAGCAATGTATTTATACGAGTTGTCACTAAACACAATTGAACACAGATTCAGTGTAATCACTTTTATTTCATAGTGCCGACAGAATAGATTAGTTATTATTATGGGAAATTAAGTTACATTTTGAGAATGGCTACCAATTGTTGAATTTCGTCAGATTAATCGGCACACTGTAACGTAATAGACAGAATTGTCATAACTAAAGATTATACCAACAAAACATAGTCATTACTCAATGATTGGTCAGCATATTTAACTGTATATTAATAACATGAATTAATTAGCCTTAAGTGAATAATCCATAATTGTTTTATTGAATGTCTATCCTTATTAGATCTTCTTAAAAAATGTTAATTTTAGAAGGAATAAACCGGATAAGCATTGAAAAATATCGAATATTGGAATGATTATTTTATTTCATCCAATTAACGCTTGTTAAGAATACGTCATTAAGATCTTAAAAAAAGTTGGTCTACAGCACTGGTGATTCTTCAAATAATAAAGAGACAGTCAACTTAATGTTTTGTTAATCATTGAGTTACACAGTATCACCTGTAAACATCTAACAAAACTTGATTGTGAATGGGATGAAAATCCCTAAATGATTAGATTAAATACATGTACTAGTATTAGATGTTCAACAGTTATACACTTTTAAATACGCAATATCAATACTTGTATACATACGTATATATATATATATATATATTTTAGTTCATACAGCTTCAGATTTGAATTGGTCTCTTGCCACTGGAATGTTTAGGCCATTTGTAGAAGTCTATATTTTTGGACCGTTATTATCTGATCGTAAACGTAAAGCTGCTACAAAATCGAAATCAGTCACTACAATGCCTATTTATCATGAAACATTTGTATTGTAAGTATCGATTGTTTTCATATTTAATTAGTCTTGATATTGCATCTTAAAATTATTACAGTTAAATGATATGCATTATTTCTTGTGTGTATATATTGATACTTGACTGCTTAAAGGTTTGAAATAAAGTTAAGCTTATTTGACTAAGTTAGTGAAGATAAACTCATTATTAAGGTAGAATGAATACATATAGTATGTCCGATAAATACTGGAGATGAGGTCATTTACATTGGTAGTCTTCATAGTCCTCTCTGTAACACATGAACCATATCAAGAAAACAGTTATTTTCAATATGTTATTTATATATAACGTATAACTTAAAACACTATAATGTTAGTTGTTGAGATGATTCAAGGTATTACGGGTATAAAATAAAAGAATTATATAAGAACATAAAGCTGAGTAGTTAATATTATAAAAGTTACTGTCTTCAAGCATAGATTACAACCAGTTTACCTGCTACATACATAAAGTTCACATCTCTTGGCGTGACTCGATTTATATTGTTCAAGCATTTATCTGCATTTATGACTTAATTGATAGAATGTGTGTAGTGCCATTTGAATTCCTTTTTACTGTACATATTTTTATATTTTAATATATGTTTCCATTTTGGTGGTGTTGTGTTCTTTGAACTAGATAATTTAATTGTAGGGCTATCAGTGTCATTCTGGACAATAATTTCTGTACCTACTCAATGTAAAAGTGAGTTTTTAGTTTTATCCGAAAGCATTGTGTCAGCTTATTCTGATGATCTTAAAGTGGGTGTTAAAAATATTGTCCAAAATACTAATGAAAGCTTCACGATTAAATCTTCTACCTTGGAGAATACAATATCACTAAATACATCCACGTAAGATCAAAATCTTACACCTAATATATTTTGTATTTTATATTTTCGTATCATTCACAGTTTCTTATCTAATCAAAGTGATCCTGAATGGTATGAATTACATTTATCTGTAAAAGATTATTGTTTTGGACGAACTGATCGTCTTGTTGGTGTTACAGTATTATCATTATCTAGAGCATTAAATCTTGGTGCAACTCCAATTCGACTTCCATTAGGACGACGTTTACATTTTACAGAAACTGGATGGACAGTATTACGTGTGCTTTCACAACGTGTTAATACAGATGATGTAGCTAGAGAGTTTGTTCGTGCTAAATCGGAATATCGTACACCTACTGACAATGATAATACTGGATCATTAACACAACAAAATGGAGAATAATAAAAATTATTTTATTAATATAATATTTAAAATATATCATCAATATATATTTTTTCATGAGCTAAAATGGTCATAAATCAGGAACAAATTTATTTATTTATTATTCACAATAATCCGCAGGGAGAAAGAGAAAGAGAGAGAGAGAGAGAGGGGGGAGTGTTATATAGTACGAAGTTACCAATATATTGATTTTTGTTGTTGTTGTTGATGATGATGATGATTTGCTTAATTCTTTCTCTTTAAGTACACTTCAAACAATTTTCAAGAGATTCACATTTACATACATATACAAGTATGGATAAACAGATTGTAATATCTCAGCGCCTATTTTCTATCAACTTAACTATTATTTATATACTAATAAGCTGAGTTACAAAATACTCTGTATTATTATTATTATTCGCCGCGTGCATAAAACGTTTTTTTGTTTTTTTTATAAATATACACACACACAGAGAGAGAGAGAGAGAGAGTAAAAGAGAGATTTGACAAAATCAATAATTTGTACTGCATACCTCATATACTTATCCATGTATATGAAGTTAAAAATATTAATCAATGTACACAAATATACACCCATAAATTTAAAAGGAGAAACAATTAAATTTATTATTATTATTATTATTATTACTTTAAACTTGTGTATGTATCTTCATAAACAATCAATAGATTTGTGTATCCCTATCCAGAACAATGGTGAAATGAATAAATATAAATAAAAAGATAACTATCCAATTCTTCTTCTTTTTTTCATTCAAACAGTTTCTTTTGTTTAATATTATTTATAAATTGTAAATGAATTTACTTTTTTTTTGTTGTCTAGATTTCTTTTTTAAAACAAAGGGGGGTGGAGATTTGTAAACAGAAAAAAAAAAGTGTTTTAAATGATACCTCATTTATTATATTGTTGATACGTTTATTAAAAGTAATTGCATTATCACCTAGTGGATTGTTAATATTAGAAAACAGGAATGATTTAACTGTTTAATTTGAGTATTTTCATATTTAAGTTATATTATATTGAAACCATTTAGCTTGACCTAGCTTAGTGTTACAGACAGCTTACTACTCTTTTTTAATGTTTGCGGTGGATAGATAGAATTCTATCAGTGAAATTACTTAATAAACAGAACAGATCAATGAGAGTTTATGTACATAGATTGAGACTATGCTACTGTGTATGCAGAAACCGTATCACTGGTTGTTGAATCCTCTATAGTCATCGGCGTTCGGTGATTAGTCTTCTATTGGGTGAATGAAATCAACTTGACATATATTTTAGTTAGAGTTCGGTGAAATTAAACCAACACTGTAAAGTCTCACAGTTACTGCTAGATGTACATGTCCAATGCCATTATTGTTTGAGATTGCTGGTATACTTAACTTACGTGGTCAATTATTTTTTTGATTGTCTTTTGATGCAAAAATGAGATCAGTTGATGTAAAAGTTTTATGGGTGATTTGTTGTATATATTTATATTAGCGAAAATGCAGAACTTCATGGAATGGTTGGACCATTTTCAAACTCAGCTATCTGCAGTTAGCGTTTTTCGCTAAGGGTACAAGTATTTATAAACAGTTGTCTACGCAAAATACTCAACATCCACTGGCCGGATACTATCAGCAACAGCGTTTTATGGGAGAGGACAAACCAGCTTCCAGCTGAAGAGGAAATTTGGAAAAGACGTTGGAAGTGGATCGGACATACATTAAGGAAATCACCAATGTGCATCACGACTCAATCCCTAACTTGGAATCCGGAAGGGAAGCGGAAAAGAGGAAGGCCAAAGAACACACTACGCCGGGAAATAGAAGCCGATATGAAAAGGGTGAATAGTAACTGGAAAGAACTGGAAAGGATTGCTCAGGACAGAGTTGGATGGAGAATGCTGGTGAGCGGCCTATGCTCCTCGACGAGGGGTAACAGGCGTAAGTAAGTAAGTAAGTATCTGCAGTCAGTTTTAATATTAGGAAGAAGATTAGACCACCCGAAATTTTCTCTTCATACAGTACAGAATCCCACCTCTAAATAAAAATGGCTAATCTGAATCGTATTTTCTGAGTGTTTCTACTATCTTACATTTCGCCTCATAGAAGAACATTAGTGCTACTCTATGATATACGGTTGTCTTTTCTCAATAATATTCAAGAGTTTGTGGGTTTTCATTTTCCACACTCGAATTAATGAATTCGTGACCATAGGATTTTCAGAACAAATGAAATTCACTTTAACAGAGTCTTGTTGGGTGTCGAGCGGTATGACACTATTGTTCATGAATGTATTCATTTGATCGCCTACCAGCATTTTTTACAAATGATGATGATATTAAGAGAGAATCAGACAACGTAGATAATACTTCTTGTTTTTTAACTTAGGTCACTCATACAGAATCCAATGGGAATCTAATGGATGATGAGTCATTTTGCGAAGCAATTATTGGATAGCTTGAGTTTTATTACCAGGTTGCAGTCTCATATGTGTTTTTATCTGTAGTTCAGGTGTTACAAGAATTCTCACCAAATAGTGTTGAGCTGTTACACGAAAGAGTTTGAATTATCAGAGTGAATTATGGTACACCACCAGACGAACGGTAGCGGTTTTGTTTTGAAGTTTGTGGGTCTTCATTCATCAGACTATGTGACGAATCAAGTTAAATGCTTAATGGATTCTTCCTTATCTAAGAAGTTGCATGCGTACTCGATTTTGAACTCAGATTTCTGATGCTAGACCCGGCAAGACTTGTTTCCTCACACTATGGTGCTTAGATTATGCTGTAGAGCCACTGATAACGTTCGGCTCAAATATTTTGTAAAGGTAACTATGTTTGTTGGATTAACCTGTGGAAGTTAAGAGAACTGCAGTTTATCGACGATTGTTATGCCACTTTACTTGCGTTGAAGCCATATCACATGAGAGATACCCAGACTGTGTCACTCTATAATGGTACTCAGGCAATTTATCTTGAAGGGTGTTTATGCGGAAGAAGTGAATGTTTGATTTTGATGCGAAGAGAATGAATGGATGAAATATACAATGCGAATGATTATCACAAGAGCCAGTTCCATAGCGTTTATTAATTCATTTCTGTAAGTCACCGTTGGCCTGGAAAGTGTTCCGAAATAAAAGGTCTGACGTCCAATGATCTGTACTACAATGCAAAACTGGCTCAGCTTGAAAGATGATTAGGCTTGGTTCCAGTGTTATTTTCATGTTCCTACGAGTCTCTAAACTAAAAAAAGTTAGGTCAAAACTCTGATCAAAATAAATATTATAAATTAGTAATGTGGCTCAGTTATTACTCCTAGTCCTACTATATTTTTGTCTTGAAGTATGTACCAAAATGATGTTTCCAGTAGCCAACCTTAGATTTCTATACCAAGCCTTATGCTTACTGCGATAACCAAGTGCGGACAAATCCCCGTCTTACTTTGTCTTCAATTGTGTTTACCAGTTTACTAGTATGCACCAAACAACAAGTATTGTAAGAACCAAAATAGTCAGTGTCCGCCTCTCAAAATATATATCAGAAAAATTGAGAGTGAATGGATTATAGTTCAAATATTCGTTGCTTGCTCGACAATGGGGATAACTTTGATGCTTCGAAATCTTTCAAAATAACGAATAAAAAGAAATCTAAATTAACTACGTTTTCTCGAAGCTGTTTCAACAATAACATTTAAATCAAATTTGCGTGGACATTGGAATACCGTTATCGATCATTTGCTCTGGCAACATTGTTTCCTTAATGTAATACTTTTCAATAAATTTAATCATAATTATAGGCGAAGATGGATAGTGGCTAGCAGCACGATCGCGTTTCGCTCGCGTTTCCTCCTATTTGAGGCTCAACGGATGGATGTACCTGCATCTCAGAGCTGATGTTCACTCTGGGACTCCAACCCAGTACCTTTCGCTTCAAACGCTGTCGCGTTATCCAGCCAGCTACTGAGTCCTGATAGCCACTTGCTTGTGCAATGTGGTGAAGTTTAAATTCATTTAGTATTGTTTGTTTGAATCTTCCCATTGATGTTTAGGACTGTAACTGGTCAGTCTCTACTTGGCATATGTGCATGCTGCGTGTATTGCCTTGCTATGGACTTAGTTCACAAGCATTGCATGCAAAGACGGACAGTGGAATACCTGTGCGAAGTAAAGTTAATTGCTCCTACTAACCATCTGTAAAGTGTGATCGATAAGTAAACACACCAATGATAGGTGAAACGCTCACCACCGCACTAAATTCTTTGACCTTGTATGACTGTCTTTGTTTTATCCACCAATCACAATTTTATGTACATTCTGAAACAATATTCTACCTTTTGACTCATTTTTCCTATTCTCCAGTTACTGTTCGATATGTCATTTATATTTCTCCCTTTCACTATGTAATAGACGACTGTTTATTCTCATACTAATGTTGTTAATTTACGTTTTAGAAACAGATAAAGTTTATTAAGCCAAATAGCTTACTTGTCTTGACTTTGGCGAAACCAAGACTCTGTATTCGACAGTTTAGAGAATAGCTTAAAGTTACCCCTGTAGGAAATTGCTTCCTACAAAGTTTCGAACAGTTAACTTCGATATACTTACTGAAATGGCTTCTAATAAATACTACGATCACGATGATATTCCAGAGTTATCACCCCATCGTCTGGGAGTTTATGATGAGGACCAACTTGAAAAGGAAAAACCCGAAACTAATAGCATGATAGAATTAGAGTTAGCTAGACTACGTATAACTCAGTTAGAAAAAGAAATTGAGTTAAATAAGTTACGTCGCCAGGGAAGTGAGGGTTTCTGTCGATCAATAAACAATAGCGAGGATGTAATATTAAAAAATCTGTATTTACCAAAAAGGGAAATCTTAAGATTTGATGGTACACCGATAAATTATTAGAATTTTATTAGAAATTTCGAGGAATGCATCGGATGCGAGAATATATTGGATTTAGAGCTAAACTAAATTACTTGATTCAATTTTGTGACGGCGAAGCGAAAGCCGCAATTCTTCATCGTGCTATACTAGAACCAGAAATAGGCTATCATCAAGCCTTAAAGCTTTTAGAAGAAACCTTTGGTCAAAAGCACATAATAGCACGCACGTTCATCGACAACTTGCTAAATTTTCCCAATATAAAAAGGAACCAACCAGATGGTTTAAGAAAATTGTCTCGAACAAATGAATTACGTTTCTGACCTGAACTCTACCAGAAGTATTGAAGCTATGGTTCCGAAATTACCGACGCATGTTCAACAAAAGTGGCTAAAGACAGCTTATAAGATTATCAGAGGAGGTCGTGAGCCTCTGTTTGCCGACCTTACTGCCTTTGTAAAGGAACAAGCCGATATGGCTAATACTCGATATGGATTACTCGTCAATCGCGGTAGTAATAGTGACAATAGGGATGTTGGGGTTTTAAAGGGTAGAATTAGTTCAGATTACAATGCAGCAAGGGTATCTTATGCGAGTATTAATGATGACAATGTCCCTTTACTTAGTTCATCCTGTTTGGAGTGCTCAGGTAATCATTCTTTAGATCAGTGTCAGACGTTTCAAGACAAGAATGTTAGAGAAAGGAAAGAATTCGTTCTTAGACACAAGTTATGTAATGTTTGTCTGAAGGCTAACCATGTAGCAAAAAACTGTCGATCGCCGAGGTCATGTGTTGTTGAAGGATGCTGTTGGAGACATCATACCCTGTTACACGAGAAGCAGGAAGAACAGAGAGATAGCAATAGTGATGCATACATTAATACTCAGTTCTGTACGTAGGGAAGTGTTAAGCGTATGCAGAGACCAGTAGCATTTGCAGTGGTGCCTGTATGGTTAAAAAATGGTGAGAAGATTATTCAGACTTGCGCCTTGCTAGATAGTGGGTCAGATACGTCCCTCATTGTTGATGATCTGGCTAAGGAGTTAAGCCTCGAGGGAAAACCAAAAACGGTGTCTTTAAAAAATCTTAGTAATAAATCGTCGTTGATATCCAAGGAGGTTGATGTAGAGTTGCACTCGAAAGATTTTTCGTCATCTGTTAAGGTGCAGAAAGTGTTGACAGTCAAAAAACTACCGTCGGTTCACAGGACTGTTCCAACGGCAAATGAAATGGCAACCTGGTCTCATATAAAAGATATAAGTTTTCCGAGAGTAAAAAACGAGAATGTCAAACTGTTGATTGGGTGTAATGTACCGAATGTACACGAGATAAAAGAGATAAGAATCGGAAACACGAATGAACCGTCTGCCGTGAGGACTCTATTAGGTTGGACGTTGTTCGGTCCCTACGGGGAACTTCATGGAAAAAAACGTGTACTTAATTACCTCTCAGATAAAGAGGAATTAGAGGATAAGTTTGAACAATTGTACTCAACTGAATTCAAAGATCCATTTAGTTGTACTACGCCGATGGCTGTAGAAGACCGTATAGCACTCAGTGCTATATCAAATTCAGTGCAAAGGTTAAGTTGGCACTATCAAATAGCTCTGCCTTGGAGGCACGAACACAAGTTACCTAATAATAAGAAATTAGCAGAACGTAGACTTAGCTGTTTAAAAGGTCGACTTATTCGGGATACTAAGTTCCTCCAAGACTATACGAGCACTATGACTCAGTATATAGAACGAGATTATGCCGAAAAGGTAAACGATAACCACGTTGATGGACGAATTTGGTATCTTTCTCATCACCTTGTCTTTCATCCCAAGAAGCCTAACAAGTTAAGAATAGTTTTTGATTGTGCAGCTCAGTATGCTGGAACGTCTTTAAACAAGAATCTTTATTCTGGACCTGATTTAGTCAATAACCTAGAAGACGTATTTACCAGGTTTCAGCAACGACCGATAAATCTTACAGCGGACATTGAAGCCATGTTCCATCAAGTAGTAGTTCCGGTGCATGATCGAGATGCTCTTAGGTATTTGTGGTGGCCAGGTGGGGACTTAGAAAAAAAGTCAGAGATCTATAGAATGAAAGTCTATCTGTTCGGAGCAACCTCATTGCCATGTAGCGTCACGTTTGCCTTGCAGAAAACGAATTCTGACAATCAAGATGAATTTCCCAGGGTTGTTACGCACTTAGCTAAGGGACAGTTTTATGTTGACGACTTATTGATAAGTATGGATGCTATAGAAGAAGCTAAACTGACGTATTCACATCTCAAAGTACTCATAAGTTTGGGAGGATATAATTTGACTAAATGGACTAGCAATAATATTGAAGTGCTGTAGTTCGACCCAGAGGAAGACCGTACTGAAGGAAACGTTACAGTCTGCGAGTCTAATGGGACGAGTAAGCGAACTCTGGGAATCGAGTGGAACATCCGAACAGAAGAATCATGTTCCAAGGTTCATGAGTATCATGGAAACCTAACCAGAAGAAATATTTTGTCATATGTAGCATCTATTCGTGATCCAGTAGGGCTTATAGCCTCAATAATACTACCAGCCAAAATGACCTTACATGTCGGCAGAAATTAGACCGGGACGCAGAGTTACACATAGATTGTCAAGTGAAGTGGAACATTTGGAGTAGACACATAAAGGAGTCGAACTACTCACGAATATAAAAATGTTTGAAATCAGAGTTTGAACCATCATTTCAGAATAATTGTTTTACCTATGCTTCTGGGCTTGCGTATGATACTGTTAAGTATATTCGTTATGGAAGTGTTTCTCTTCAGATTCATTGCTCCTTTCTGGTACCTAATTTTAGAGTTGCTTTTCTAGAACTAGTCACTATGCCCAGAATGGAATTAACAGTATGTGTTTTCTGTACAAAAGTCGGCAAGTATGCAAAAGAACAGTTATATATTCGTATTTCATCGGTCATCTATTGGACTATTCTAAGAGCTCTTTTATTTCAAAGTGTGCCGATCGATAAAGCTTTAAGGATAATAAATAACAGACCACTAGTTAAAATGACGGATGATCCTGGGGGAGTGTAAAGTGTGATCGATAAGTAAACACACCAATGATAGGTGAAACGCTCACCACCGCACTAAATTCTTTGACCTTGTATGACTGTCTTTGTTTTATCCACCAATCACAATTTTATGTACATTCTGAAACAATATTCTACCTTTTGACTCATTTTTCCTATTCTCCAGTTACTGTTCGATATGTCATTTATATTTCTCCCTTTCACTATGTAATAGACTACTGTTTATTCTCATACTAATGTTGTTAATTTACGTTTTAGAAACAGATAAAGTTTATTAAGCCAAATAGCTTACTTGTCTTGACTTTGGCGAAACCAAGACTCTGTATTCGACAGTTTAGAGAATAGCTTAAAGTTACCCCTGTAGGAAATTGCTTCTTACACCCTCGATAAGTGGCATAAGTCACCCACAAGCATTCTCCATCCAACCCTGTCCTAGGCAATCCTTTCCAATTGTTATTCATCCTTTTCAAATGTGCTTCTATTTACTGGCGTAATATGTCTTTCGATCTTCATCTTTTCCGTTTCCCTTCATTCCAAATTAGGGCTTGCTTTGTGATGCAGTTTGTTGATTTTCACAATGTGTGTTCTACCCACTTCCAACGTCCTTTCCTAATTTCCTTTTGATCTGGAAAGTGGTTTGTTCTCTCCCACAGTAGATTGTTGCTGATGGTATCCGACCAGTGAATGTTGAGTATTTTGCATAGACAACTATTTATAAATATTTGTACCTTCTTGACGACGGTTGAAGTAGTTCTCGAATTTACAGCTTCATACAATAGGACTGTCTCGATGTTCATATTGAAGATTGTGAGTTTGATATTGGTTGACAGACAGTTATTTTGAGTTCCATATGTTCTTCAACTGTAGGGATGCGCCTCTTGAATTGCCTATCCTCATCTTTACGTCTGCTTAAGATCATCCTTGTTCATCGATGATGTTGCCCGTAGCTCTTCTAGTGTCACTGACGGTATCAGGCTAGTGTAAGGGAGAATTGTTAGACATGAGTTCAAAGACCCTATCCCATAGGACACATCTTCGCTAAAATCGCTAACCAGTGTGGTATTGATGATCTATGTCGATTGATTTGGGGCCTACTAGAGTTAGACGACAATGGTGACGAATCAACTAACACTGAAGTCACACCTAGCGAGCAGAACCTTACGTGGATTTCCCCATCAACGAATCAAGGGACCATGGATGCTCTGAAGATTGAACAACAACACAAAGAACGTTATTACAGGAATATATTACTTAAAGTAGATACAAGAGAAAGTAAGACAACTGTCGCATGAGACAGTCCATGGCGTTTAATTAACTGATGCTCATTCATTGTCGTTGACCTCAACGGGATCGATGATCTTCTCGATATTTAGTGACCCAACTGCCGGATGATTTGGCTAGGGTTCAGTGACGTTTCACTGGCCCTACATCAGAAAAATTTCGGCACTCTGAATAAATTAACTTTGTTGTTTATTAGTTATTTGTGACTGTAAAGCGAATTATTTGGACACTCCACTCTAACTAAAGTAGTTATCTCATGTCTTCTACAGTTACTTTTCGGTCATCGGTCATGATGAAGATAAAAGTTAACGAGTTTTGGAATAAAATAATATAGAGTAACTCTTATTCATCCAATTTTAAAGTCTAAGCATATTAAGTAAGGTAAACACCATTATAATGTCCTAAATTTGCTTCATTTTGAGTGTCGAAACGACCTTTGTTTAAATACTCCAACTCACTAATTGTCTGACGCGGAAAATGCGACTTCTGGGCTCCGTATCGCGCATTTTTGGAGTTGTAAATAGGTTTGCTTGTTAATCTCTCACGGTTGTTTATCTTATTCAGGAAGTCATCTTCAACCACCATAAAGACAGTTGCACTTATACCCGGTGATGGAATAGGTCCAGAAATATCTGCAGCTGTTCAGGAAATTTTCAAGTTTGCTGATGTATGTTATATTGATAAGTCGTCGTTTTTATACATAATTTTCCCTCTTTGCCATAAAACTTAAGCCTAAGACAAACTAATTACTTGCCTAATTTAAGTTTGATTTGAACCTTCGAAATTTGGTTTCGTAGTTGATCGAACACCCAATATCTGAAATTCGGGAAAATGGCTCAAGTATCCTAAAATTTCTTCAGATCTGGAGAGATTCTTTCCAATTTTGGGGGTTTACTTTAATATTTTCCCCAAAATAGAAAGATTTAACACTCATGCACCACAATACCATATTTTGGTTAAAAACCCATTTTTGATGACTGCGCAAATAGTCATTAGTTATTTATTTGAACACATAAATATTGGTACACAGGGGCACCAGATGCATATGCGCCACACAAATCTCATTTGGTTTTTGTGATAGTTGTGATACTGCCCGGGTACCCGAACAGTCATGCAAATAAGATGTTTTCCGGTTTTTAACTTGCTAGCTTTTTTTGGCTTTCCATCTGAGAGAAATTTATATCACTACGGCCGGTGCTCACTAATATTATTATGCTAGAACTTAATTCCAATAACCATCGGACCCTATCAAGGTATCGAAGCCATTATGTCACTCTTATTCATCGTCTTTACTGTAAGGAGCAAAACCATTACGAAGATTAGATCATGTGATATCAATTGCCCATGTTAGACCGATCAGCAACAACAGTCTGTCTAGGTTATATGCGATTCTCTTATCTTGCCGATTGCTTATTATAGGAGAGTGTTACAGTGGTGGATAAAAATACTTTTCTAACTTACTTGTCTGGAACAAGAAAGGTACTTATTACGCTTTTTTGTGGCTTGTTTACTTATTTATTCGAACAACATTGGTTCAACGAGGCCCCAGATAGATATGCGCTACATAGATCATTCGGTTTGTTTGAGGGCTGGGATACTGCCTGAGTGCCCAAACCGAAGCTCTTCTGTGGAGTCGAAAATAATTTGTGTGGATTTTATTCTGAAGTTTTTCTTGACTCATGTGTATAAAATTCCAGTTAACACATCTGTTTGATAAGTTTACTTTTAATACCAATCTTATTGGTTTCCATCTGTTGCGAGAAAAATAGTGTTGTTTTTATCGTTTGGCATCTCATGATTGGTAACCATTTTCTTTTTAAAAATACTAGGTCCCCATTAAATGGGAATCAGTGGATGTAACACCTCGACCTACAGAAGATGGTCGCTTTCGTATGCCACAGTCTTCACTAGATATTATACGCAAGCATGGAATTGGCTTAAAAGGTCCATTAGCTACTCCAATCGGGAAGGGTCATCAATCTTTAAATTTGGCATTACGAAAGTGAGTTCTGTTTCTCTACAGTGCACTGAAATTGGTTTTTTGATTTATCACTTGTGCATTTTTCAGCCAACTGGTAATAACTCCGCCTGTAGCACTTCTAGGGTTACTGCCGTCCCCAAGCCCGGGTAAAGGAGGAGGGCATAAGGTCGGCTAAAAAACGCTAACCAGAAAATGTAATTCAAATAGTTTAAACTCTGCCTTTCGAATTCAAGGAATTATGGTGCCTCAGGATGAAAACCGAGATTCTTCGGGGGTCACGAGGCCGATGCCCTTTCTAACAAGCAGAGAAACACTTTGTGTAGGTACAACAAACGTCCGAACAATGTGGGAGACCGGGAAGACCAGTCAAATAGCAACGGAAATGAATAGTTACAACTTGGCAGTACTTTTGATCAGTAGAACCCATTGGAAACAATCTAGACAGCAAAGGCTGGATGCGGGAGAGATGCTGCTGTACTCTGGTCACAAAAAGGAAAATACTGCATACACTCAGGGAGTTGCTCTAATGCTGTCCAGAGAAGTACGAAATGCACCTATAGGATGTGAATCTCACGGATCCAGAATCATCAAAGCATCATTCAAAACAAAGAATGAGAGGATCACAATGAATGTTATTCACACACCAATGTTATCAACGACAACATTAAAGAACAGTTCTACGAGAGGCTGCAATCGATCATAGCGAAATGCCCAAGAAAGTATCTCATCATCCTGATGGGAGACCTAAACGCCAAAGTTGGAGTGACAACACCGGCTATGATGATATCATGGGACGACATGGACTGGTGGAGTGAAATGAAAATGGTGAGAGGTTTGCAAATCTATGTGCGTTCAACCAATTGGTTATAGGCAGCCCAATATTCCCCCACAAACGTATACACAAAGCTACATGAATCTCGCCGGATCACACCATGGAGAATCAGATCATACTTGTGTCAATAAAAAAAATCTGACGGATAATGGAAGACGTGAGAACCAGGAGAGGAGTTGACATAGCTTCAGATCACCACCTGGTAGTTGCCAGGATAAAACTGAAGGTAAAGAAACATTGGACAACTGGGAGGACAGCAATACAAAGCTTCAGTAAAACCTCCCAGATACTCACAAACTCAACCATTTCAAGACAACTCTCAATAACAGGTTCCAAGCTTTACAGGATCTACTGAAAGAAATTACGATGGAGGACAACTGGAAAGGGATCAAAGAAGCATTAACTTCAACGTGTCAGGAGAAACTAAGCTGCAATAAGTGTGGCGGACCAAAAAGTATGTTAACCAAAAAGAGCAAAAAATTTATTACATCTAACAGTTAATGTAATGACAAACAGCTTATAATTTATTAACACACAAATAAAAGTTAGGGACGTTACTTAAATTGACTGGCTGTTGCGTGTTCAGTTGGGTTCGGTACCAGTAATCCACAATTATGGAAGTTTAATGATTTCAATATGAACGATTTGGCTCCAGTAAGTTCATCAAGCGTAGAACGTAATAAGAGCGTCCCAATATTCTATAAACGTATATGATATTCGATTAATGATTCATTTAACACATTTGCAAACATAATAGGACGATGCAGGTGTGTGTTAGAATGTATTCAATGAGGAGCAGTTACAACGCCGTTTAGTGCTGAATGTACAGAATACAAAAATACACAAATTAAATGCAAAAACTATGAAAAATTGTTTACAAAAAAGGTTTTATAGTCCTATCTTCACATAGCTCCCCCCCAGAGTGTCCGGAGGTAACACTGATTACAATATTAACAACAAAAATTTAAATAAAAAGAAATTGTATATAGATGTACACAAAATGATACTTACAGTAATAACGGAAAGAAAATGTTGGAGATAGGGATGATAGACACTTTAATAATATAGGCTATGCTACCGTGTAAAAATAAATTAGCATTGATGTAGTCTAGTATAAGAACTATACAAAATAAAATTTTGGTTTGCTAGTGATAATAAAAATGTGCAAAACTACTCAAAATCTCGTAAAGTAAAAATTGGATTTTTTTGTACAGTTAATGAATAATTAGTTACCGCTCACTCGTTTATTATTATGACAATTTTTCTTATTAAGAAAAAATGCAAAACAAGTGATAGCGAATAAATGTAGTTATTATATATATATGTAGAGAAAATAAATAGTTTTTGTTAGAAAATTAGGTAATTTTAATAGTGTAATGCATATCGATGAATGTTTTTGATTGTGCTAGTCAATAAGATGTACATATCGTTTAGGCTTCTTAATAAGTCTACCAGAGCGTGTTAAACAAGAAGGCTTGGTTTTAGTTTGATCATCCTCCACTGATTTTTCGGTAACTAATGGGAGGGGTTGTTTGTCGACAGCGTTGTCTTGTTTGTCTTGAGTATCTTCATAGAAAGCAGGCTTTATTCTATCAATAGCGATAGTCTCCTTTCCGCACTTATTGATTATGAAGTGTTTATCTGTTCTTTTAATTACTTGATAAGGTCCATCGTAGGGTTGTTTCAATGGCTTTCTAATCGCGTCGAGTCGAACAAAGACAAATTTACACATTTCTAGTCTTTTGTCGAAGTGTTATTATTATTATTTAAGCACAAATATTGGTACAAGGAAGCACCAGATAAATATGCGCCTCACAAATCTCATTCGATTTGCTTGAGGGCTGTGATACTGCCCAGGTGCCCGAACTGAATCAGGTGGTTTTCTTAGGGGCCCACACCCGGAGCCTTTGACCTGAATATCTGATCCACAAGGCAGTGGAGCATCGTGAAGAGATGCATTCCCATGGTAGCCGGTGATCAACGATTGATTCGTACGCCATTTGTTCCCTCAGGATACTGGAGCCCATGTGCACCACTGGTTTGGAATCAGGGTTTTCCAACTCCCCTAGGTGGACTCGCCTTGTCCACCAACCCGGTTAAAGTGACGGACATTCGCTTTTCGTCCTCTCACTTTTATAAACAATATCCCCACCACGAGAAGGCAGTGAGTAGGACTTCCCTGGCAAAGGCTATATATTCGCTGGCCATGTGAGAGCATTTGGAGAGGGAGAGCGGACTCTCCCCACTCTCGGCCGTACCAGGGCATTTGGGGGCATTCGATCGTTATGTTCTCGCGGCGGTATAGCTTTGATTCTTTGCATTGTTTATAATAGTCGACTAGCGAACTGGCTTGAGTCTGTTGGTGGTGATGTGTCTGGGTCAACTACCTGACCTGGTAACGTAAGGGTTGTACCGTAGACTAGTTCAGCAGGCGTGCAACCTATATCTGCCTTTACGGTTGATTCAAGAAAGAAAGAACAAGAAGACAACAATTAACAACAGTCGAACACGAGCAGAGAGAGTCAAGGTATAAGCTGAATACACAGAAGCAAACAAGTAAGTGAAAAAGTGCATCAGAGTTGACAAGCAGAAATATATTGAAGATCTAGCAGCAGCAGTGGAAAAAGCTACAAGAGAAGGAAATATGAAACAACCATATGATAAAACGTATAAACTAGCAAGTAGATATGTTAAACCGGAGAGACCAGTCAAGGACAAGGAAGGAAAGACCATCACGGAGATTCAAGAACAGAGGAAAAGGTGGGTAAAATAGTTCGAGGAACTGCTGAGTAAAAGAGCCCCATTTAATTCTCCGGACATCAAAGCAACGAAAGATCTTGGCAAGTGTGAGAAATATAGATTTATAACGCTATTATCGGTACCAGGAATCATTTTCAACAGTGTTTATAAACCGGATGAAAGACTCAGTAGACTCCCGACTTCGAGATCGACAGATCGGATTCCGTAAGGACCGGTCGTGCACAGACCAAATCGCGCGACACTACGGATCATCGTCGAACAATCAGTTGAGTGGAACTCATTACTATACATCAACTTTATTGACTATGAGAAGACGTTTGACAGTGTGGATAGGATAACATGGAAACTTCTTCGACACTGGTGTACCTGAGAAAATCGTCAACATCATCCGAGATTGATACGATGGACTACAGTGCAAAGTCGTGCATGGAGGACAGCTGACAGACACGCTCCAAGTGATGACCGGAGTCAGACAAGGCTGCCTACTTTCTGCCTTCCTCTTTCTTCTGGTGGTTGGCTGGATAATAAAGACCATGATATCTGAGAAAAAGCATGGAATACAATGAATAGCTCAAAATCAATTAGAAGATTCGGACTTCTCAGATGACATAACCTTCCTATCCCATCCCAAATTATGCATCGATGTTTTACTACTGAATTTCGTACTGCTTATTCAGTTTCATATAGTAATACAGTGCATTTATACCCATCAACCTCATAGTTACTGAAGTGTTTACCTATGAAAAGCACATATTTTTTGTGAATGATAATGGGCGAAATGAATTTTCATATTTAACATGTAGAATTATTTTTCGTTTATAACTCTGGTTCTGCGAAAAGAACTACCGATCATGTTTATTTATTGTTTCGGATTTCCTGAAATTCGTTTAAAAGATACATTTTTTAAAACTGTCAGCAAGGCTTTAGTGAAATACGTTGTAGAATATCTTTTTTACACTTTATAACTATAGGTTTCAAGGTGTGCGATTTGAAACATGAGAGAATGTCTATGAGTAATCTGTAAATAATTTTTCTTAGTCCCAGTACTCGTTTTTTGACTAGAAGTTCTGTTCTATATCGATTCTTAAACTCATCTGCTAAAGTGGTATGGTTAGTGACCTTGTCTGACCTTTAATGTTAGTTTTCTATTTACTCACGTAGTCTCATCATTTTATATTTTTTTACCCAACTCTGCTGTTTTACTGGCGAAATTAATCAACTTGAAAAATTACCGGTCCAAAATGCTTAATATCTGTTATTCAAAATCATCGATAACACTTAAACACTACGAAAGGTAGAAATTATACAAAAAATTTTCACCCATCGGTTTGCTGAAATGTAGGCATTCGGTTACCACGTTCCAGGGATTTTGTAGTAGAGTGAACAATCATGTTGTTTTCGCCAGTTACCGGCTTGTCAAAACAACGTTAACTAGAGTTGGGTTCGAATTTGTATCCCTGTAGTTGAAATTCAGATGCTTTAACCATGATTTAAAATATTTTATTTAATAGTATACGATGCTTTTAGTATTCTCCATGTTTGGCACTATTTTATAGCTAATTGTTTCGAAATAACTGCAGTTTCATAAAAAGATAAGGAGATCTTTGAAGTCATACTGTAAAATTGAGAATATCTAGTTCAATCGAACAAAACGGTCACTGGCTGTTAATCTATGCTATTTTACCTTGCCTTGATTATCGACCGATTCTACTCTCTTAGTTGATCTCATCGTTCCGATATGATATGACACCTTGATTTGACATTCAGTTGCGTCAGGTTTTGTGTTATTACCGACTACTAACTTAGTTATTATTATGATCACCCAAAGGTCTCTGATTTGATTAACTAAGTTGCTGTTTAGATGAAAGTGACTCAATTTTTCTCTCCTAACCTTAAGTTGCTTAGTGAATACTATGGGTCCTCATTTCAGTATGACGGTTACCAGATATCCTCTATTTATCAACAAACAAAATTTACTATCGATTTCCTTCAACCATGTACAATAGGCGTAAAAACTCTCAATTACATTGTATTTAATACAATTGGTTTGTTTTTAGTTTCATATTACCCTCTGGTTAATTAGATAAGTGAGAAATTTCGTTAAGCAGATTATACATAATCACTTTTCAAACATTTCACAGAGTAATCAAACTACACTTGAATTCCAGTCATTAGATTGTAGGTTTGTATCTCACTTCATTTAATCGAATTCTTAACCAACCATCATGTGTAAAATGTGGTTAAAAGGGGAACCTATGCCTACTCCCAGTTGTATTGATGTTACTTGTATTGGATGAATAATTTATTTATTGCCTACATCTTTCATGCTATGAAAATTATGAGGTAAGGAAAAATTAATGGAGTGGATAATTTACAGATGCCGTGATATGACCGAGAGTGGGAAGAGTCTACTTCCCTCTCGAAATGCTCTCATATGGTCACACGTATACAGCTACTTCCAGGGGAGTCTTACTCACTGCTTTCTCGCAGCGAGGGTGTTGTTTACGTAATTGAGAGAACGAGAAGCGAATATCCGGCGCTTTAACCAGGTTGTTGGGTCTCGAAGGTTTGTCTTCTTTTGAAGTAATGATCTTGGTTGCTCTATTGAGGACATTCAGGGCTAAGGAATTTTTGCACTGAATAGATGTGTAGAGTTAAAGTCAACAGTCTAAGAGAGGTAGTTTACTATGTTCATCTTCCTTTTCAAAAGTAAATTTGACGTGTTCTGAGAGCGTGTTTGTGTTTGGAGAAATTTCTAAAAATAGTCTTCTTAATGATGAAAAATGTGTCATCTACACATCTGAGCCAAAATGCGTGGTCTGATGGTGCTGGCAAGAATAGGCGACTCAACGTGGGACATAAATAAATTTACAACAATCGGAGATACTGGGATTCTCATAGCTACCCCATTCATTTATTTATATAAGGTCTTTTTGAAAGTGGAAAGTTTGGATCCAAGCATAGTTTGAGGGATTTCATGATTAAACTAATAATGACATCTGTCAGAAAGAGTATTATCATCCTCTAGTAAACCATTGACGAAATCTAGACATCTATGCCAGTGTATAAAGATATAACATCATAGCTTACCATTGTTTCGTTCTTTTTGATGGATGACTCTAAGATGTTTGATTTGAATTCGTATGAACCTTGTGCGACATTGATTAGGTTGTGTTGAAATGGCTTCAGTATGCCGCTTAAATATTTAGATAGAGCATATGTAGGAGTATTTGTGAAGTCCACTATGGGTCTTCAAGGAATGTCAGCCTTTTGAATTTTTGGTAATCCATAGAGGCGTGATGTGGTGTTGGGTTTAGGGTGTAAAGTAAACCATAGGGTTGTCTATTTACTCTGAAGAAGTAGCTTATACAAAGTCGCGAAACGTCAGGAATACAATTTTTTCTACTCATTAAGATTTAACAAAAATACATTTATTACTAACTTTCTACCCAATACTCAATTAATTTGAAACTATGAAGTTCAACCGTGACATTGACACCTATAAATATTTTAGATAGTTTAAATTTCTGTTCGGTTTTTTTACAAATGTACAGTAAATTATCGTGCTAACTTTCTCTGTTCATATTATCTTAATTTATCTACAGAGAGTTCAATCTTTATGCCAATGTTCGACCATGTAAATCTATTGAAGGCTATGAAACTCCTTATAAAAATGTTGATTTGGTTACAGTTAGAGAGAATACTGAAGGCGAATATTCTGGTATAGAACATGTGGTAAGTAATGAAAATGTTTTTTATCGTTAATTATACATAAATAAGTTTAGTTTATTGTTGTATAAAGTAAATTAGGCTACAAAATGATGGATGTTAAAATCCGAGGATAATGTAAATTGATAAACAAATCTCCAGTGCTTCCAGGTTCTTCTTGGTGCTCTAGGTTCAATTGACTCATGATTTCAACTATGAAAATACTGAAATCTCCACAAGATCCCTTCTGATTAAAATCTCTAGTCGTTTTTATATATAAACAATGTTTTCGATATCATGTAAGAAACTATTCTGTGAAATAATCTATATTGAATAAGCTGTTATGAATCGTAATTCATGAGGTGTTATGTTTGTTCACGTTTCCTCCTCTTTTTTACTCAACTCCCTTTTTATGTATTATTTCTATACTACTTATTGATATTCAGTAACCATACAAATCTCATTCGATTTGCTTGAGGGCTGTGATACTGCCCAGGTGCCCGAACTGAAGCAGGTGGTTTTCTTAGGGGCCCACACCCGGAGCCTTTGACCGAAAGATTTGATCCACAAGGCAGTGGAGCATCGTGAAGAGATGCAGTCTCATGGTAGCCGGTGATCAACGATTGATTCATACGCCATTTGTTCCCTCAGGATACTGTAGCCCATGTGCACCACTGGTTTGGAATCAGGGTTTTCCAACTCCCCTAGGTGGACACTCCACATTCAACAACCCGGTTAAAGCGCCGGACATTCGCTTTTCGTCCTCTCATTTTTGTGAACAACACCCGTAGTGCGAGAATGCAGTGAGTAGGACTTCCCTGTCAAGCTATATATTCGCTAGCCATGTGAGAGCATTTGGAGAGGGAGAGCGGACTCTCCCCACTCTCGGCCGTACTAAGGCATTTGGGGGCATTCAGTAACCAGTTGTAATTCTAATAATTTTTGAATATCCGGTGCAACTTGAGTCTGTTATCGGATAATAGTTTTGAGTATGTACATGAACTAGTGACACTCAATTTGTTTATTGTTGTTATTACATTTATTTAACATTTTTTTAACGTTTGCTTTTAATTTCAATATATTCGTTAAACATTTGTTTGATGGTAACAGTTTCCATATAGTGGTTGGTTCTTATTTCGCTATAGTTTACCACTGTAATTTCGGCATAGTCATTAATTTCTGATATTATTTTATTGTACTGTAGTGAACGAAGACTTCGATTGGGAAGACCAATTTGTTATTTAATGCACAATTACACAGTGGTTCAGTAAAATGTGAAAAGGTGTTTTTTAAAATGTATGACTGATTAGGCATTCATACAAAATTTCATATTGTTTACTAATGTTTGTGTATTTGCCTGATGATTACTGAGGTTATTGTTTGAAAATGCATCGAAGCTTAAAGTTCTGACCAGAATAAAAGTTATGTGTAATACGTTGTTTGACTGGTTGTTAATTAGTGATTACCATCCTTAATTACCATGAGGGAAGGAATGTGTCAGTCACTAAAACGCAACGTAAAACCTTGTCTGTATATACATCGGTGCAAGTTGACTTACCCCAATATCACAGTAAGATAACATTGTTAGGGCGAATCCCAGAATAGTAGAGGTAGTAACAGTACCAGTGAAAATAAAAAAAGATTAATCATCAAGGATACAATTCAAGAAAATATAAATTAATCAAATTTTAAAAAAAGAATTACAAGGGATTCAGTAGAAGACAAAGGATTTATGCATCTGGGTCATTTCAAGCAAGTTTGAGTCATGTCATTTAAACTCACTAACCACTAGTTACGATGACACGCGGTCTCAAACCAGGCAGTTTACACCTGTTAACATAGCTCAGCCCAATCGCCAATGACATTATGAACTGGTGCCTCATCTTAGTTTGGGAGCTTCTTGTTTTTTTTCTTTGACAGACATATATCTTGTCTACTCCACAGTTGACAGAAGCCAATCGAGCTGTCTGAATACATGCTGAGGTTTCGTCTGACACCAGATTATCAGAACTTATAGGACTCCCAAGACAAGTTAAGCGGTCGGTACACTCAACCATATCACTCCCTATCATTATTCCAGGCACTGACACAGACCGATCCTGAAGCAATATTTTGCATTTGCCCCCAAATGCCCTGGTACGGCCGAGAGTGGGGAGAGTCGCCTCTCCCTTTCGAAATACTCTCATATGGCCAGCGAATATATAGCCTCTGCCAGGGAAGTCCTACTCACTGCCTTCTCGTGGCGGGGGTGTTGTGTACGAAAGTGAGAGGACGAAAAGCGAATGTCCGGCGCTTTAACCGGGTTGGTGGACATGGAGGGTCCACCTAGGGGAGTTGGAAAACCCTGATTCCAAACCAGTGGTGCACATGGGCTCCAGTATCCTGAGGGGAAAAATGGCGTATAAATCAATCGTTGGTCATCGGCTACCACGGGAATGCATCTCCTCACGATGCTCCACTGCCTTGTGGATCAGATATTCAGGTTAAAGGCTCCGGGTGTGGCCCCCTAAGAAAACCACCTGCTTCAGTCTGGGCAGCTGGGCAGTATCACAGCCCTCACACAAATCGAATGAGATTTGTGAGGCGCATATTTATCTGGTGCTTCCGTGTACCAATATTTATGTGTTTAAATAAATAAATATTTTGCATTTAGAGAAAGGAGAGTTGTATCCCAAACAGGCATGTGTATGTCATCTTATTCGTAAACAGTTTGGACTATAAATAATTTAGTGATTTATAAACAATTCATTTAGATAGCATTTGATATTGGCAATAATTTAGAATAAAAGATCCCTCATGAAATGTAAAATCCGTACGAACTTCATTTATATGAGGGGGGGGGAGCTCTCTAATTTCTGTACATTGGATTCTTCTATCTTTCGTCTAATTACTTTGCTTATCATTAATACCAAAGTTAAACTTATTCAATTTTATTCAATTGTTATTAATAATCATATTCCGTAGTGATTGTTTTTTATCATTTACACTGTTATTCTATTTCTGGGTATTGTTTTCAGCAAATAATCAGTATATTCCGTTATTGTATAAAATTAAAGTTTTATATCTAGTATAACTATTGATGTGTCGTTAAGAGTTCTTTATTTCTGTTTTGGAATTATGAGTAGTATGTTTATTTTTCTAACATATGATATTGTTGCTTGTTTCACCGTCATCTATATATGTACTAAACTATTATTGTTAATGTAACGCTTTATATATATTTATATAGATTGTGGATGGTGTTGTACAAAGTATAAAATTGATTACTGAAGAAGCAAGTCGACGTGTTGCTAGATTTGCATTTCAATATGCAAAAGATAATGGTCGACGTAGTGTAACAGCTGTGCATAAAGCTAATATTATGTAAGTTACTTTTGTCAACATTCTTATTCTATCAAATGAACTTCAAATTACTTTAAACTCTAGTGAATTTTAATGTTTCCTTGTCTGTTATGAACACTCAATTATTTATTGAGTGACTAATCTAAAGTATTAAATGAAAAGTAGAGCCAAAAATACTTATTGATCAATGACCCCTAAGTGCCACTGGTACGATTTATGTTGGGGATAGACCTCCCTCACTCCCGAAATGCTTTTGTATGACCACGAGTATATAGTCATTGCCAGGGAAGTCCTATTCATTTTCTTCTCGCGGAGAGGGTGGTGATGGTTATGGTTTACGAAACTGAGCTGACAAAAACGAATGTTCGGTTCTTAAATCCATCTAGTAGTGTTGGAAAACCCTGATTCCAAACCATTGATGCTCCAGAACCCTAAGACAGAAAATGGCGCATGTTCGCCAGTTACCATGGGACCACATCTCCTAACGTTGCTCCACTGTCTTATGGATTAGACCTCTGAATCAAAGGCTCGGGGAGTGGCCGCCTAGGAAGGTGACCTATTTCGGTCTGGACACCCGGGGAGTACCACAGCTTACACACCAATTTAATGATGACTTATATATATATATATATATATATATATATATATATATATATATATATAGTTATTTCTTCCGAATGCGCAGACTTAGATGAATGTAGGAGTGTTTGTATCAGATAATTGAAAGCTGAATGCTTTACGCACCAAGATTCCTCTCCATGGGCCAAAATAATTATGGCTTCTGGTTATATATGAAAACTGATTATACTGATAAATATTAAAACTCGTAATTGGTATTCATGGTTTCAAGAGATTGGGTGTCAATCACTAACTAATTTACCATTTGATGTGATCGTATTTTATACAACTAGAACTGTCGTGTTCCTGTTGTTTGACATCAGTGTGTAGAACTAATTGATGAGGATTCTTGCAGAACTTTTATTGATCCAATTTAATATAATCGTTATGTCACATATTTCAGACAAACTTGGTTCATATTACAATCAAATCAGACCACATCATATCATATCATATCATAAAATAAACAATTATACAGGATCAAGCCGAAAAGTGGTTGTGGTTGTGAGAGACTGTAACCAATAAATTCGGAATAAATTAATAGTTTTAAATCGTATGATCGTATTCTTTACGAAATTGAGAGGACGAAAAGTGAATCTCCGGCGCTTTAACCGGGTAGTGGACACGGAAAGTCCATCTAGGGGAGTTGAAAACTCCTGATTTTAAACCAATGGTGCACACGGGCTCCAGTATTCTGAGGGGAAAAATGGCGTATAAATCAATCGTTGGTCATCGGCTACCATGGGACAGCATCTCCTCATGATGCTCCACTGCCTTGTGGATCAGATCTTTCGGTCAAAGGCTTCGGATGTGGCTCTCTAGGGAAACTACCTACCACAAGTAATTTGTGTAGCGCATATATATCTGGTGCCCCTTTGTACCAATACTTATGTGTTTAAATAAATAAATGATAGTATTCAATAGGTTAAATGAAAGCTCATGGTGAAAGGAATATAGATATATTTAATCTAGGTACTTAACGGTTATACAGTAAAAATATATATGTAATGAGAGTCCATAAATAGTTCCCAGAAGTTACTAATAATGTAATCTTCGGATACAACATATTGATGCTCATAAATCAGTACTAAATAATCGTGAATAAAATAATTTCAAACCATCACTACCGAATTAGATATACTACATAATATGATTGTTAAAACCCGATATTTCTGGAGGATAATGTAAATTAACTTATCTGTAATTTTTTTCTACTTTCCATTTTCCATCCCTCTCAATAAAAAGGCGAATGTCAGATGGTTTATTCCTTCGAGTATGCCGTGAAGAAGCCGCACACCATAGGGAGATTGAATTTTGTGATATGTTTTTGGATACTGTCTGTTTAAATGTAAGTTAAACGAGAAAGATTATTTATGAAAGTTATTAGATATTCACAACTTTGTTTTCATAATATTTTTGTCTTTTGATGGTTGGATACCGTAGATTACACATGGTGATCGCATTCATTTTCTCTTCAAACCATATTCTGAAAGCTTAATGTTTTTCCCACTGTCATTAATACTGCTACTCTTTTGCTGTTCATTTTACTGTAGGTACAAAGTCCCACCGTCTACCTACAATTGTTTAATTATCTTAACATAGTGTATGCAATGTCGAGTCACTTAGACAAATGCTCGTAATGCTACTTGGTTGATAGAGTTCGATAAGTACTAAGAACTAGGCAAATGTTACATCATTCTTTTTTTTTCATCTTATTGTTGTAATGTGTTTTAGGTATTTGACTTAGCTTATATCTATTCCAGTTCTTGTGTTGATTACAACTAACTGGCTGACTGATTGATTCATTCATTGATTCACAAACGTTAACTGATTATAATCGGTAATCTTGTTTTTTTACTGATCACCGAATTCTAAAAGCATAACTGTCTCTTTATGTGTATTTGTTAAAAACACCATGCATACTTCATGTAAAAGAGGGAGCTATTAAACTTTTCAGTAAATAGTTAAACCAATTTGTTTCAAGAGCCTTATTTTTAATCGGTAGTTATCATTGTTTCTTCCTTGTATTAATGTTAACGGTGGGAAATACACAGGAAGATAACTGTTATATCTTGAACTTAGATTCTTAGTATGTCGCGTGATACTTGAGCACTAGAACGTTAGAACCCTCCCAAGTCGCAAAATCAGAAGATAAATAGAAGGAATGTTATTCCAAACAGTGTCGATTATGGTACAAAACGGTCAGGTATTTATAGTTCTTAGTAGAAATGAAATCATCATTATAGTTATCCAATCCGCACACAGGAAGTTATCAGCATTGTCCAATAGGGAAGCTACACGTAGTGATTCTAGAATATTCTTCCAAAAGCTGATTGGATGGAATATGTCCGGCTCCTTTTGGGCTTCTTAGAGCTTCCTCAACTTCACCTGTGGACTATCCTCACAATAACAAGATCTTTTAAAACTCTCAAGTTATTAGCATAAGTTGATGTAACACTTGCGAAATAATTCTTAAAAAAAACTATTCACTTCTATTTCAAGTAAACGTGTAACAAGTTAAAAAGATAATTTAGTCAGCGAATACCGTATACCACCGAATTATTATATGGCTACCATGTACGGTACTTATTTGTTGCTACAGTTACAATGATTTATTCTAAAGAGTTCTATCTTTCGTCAATCATTATGATTGTGTTTTCCTGTTGTTTTAAAACAAGCGACTGATTTAAGCGTTTAAGTCATTTATTTCCTAACCGTGTAAATGTCACAATTAATCCATCTGTTTTCAATTTCACCATGTATCGATCTAAGTTAGACCAACATTAAAAACCTGAAACCATTGGATGTCTGTTTCGTCGTAGTGTGGGACTCTTCATCAGTGCAAACCGAAGACCCCGTACGCAGGAATCGAAATCAAGATCTTCGGTCTTGCACGTGAACGCCTAACCTCTAGACCATTCAATCAGCACCCTGATGGTGATAATATTTAATTTTAATCAATCTAGTTCATTGCGTGACCATTTCTCATCACCGTCTGTAATAGGTAACTATCTTACACCCGATGCGGTTTAGCTCCACTGGTCACGGACTCTCAGTAGAACCCCAGAAATTATTCTAAATTTGTGTGAACTGAATACTTATCAATGTTGGCTGTATACACTCAGACCCTTCTGTGAAAAGGTTCTAAATTGTTACGAATTTGTGTTCTGAAGCACTGGATTGGTGGGGATGTTTACTTCCTTGTCTATTCTTTGAGAAAAAAAAATCATAGACAACTACACTACAATTCGTGCTTCTTTATATGATAAATAGAAACAGTGGTCGTACTTGTTACATAGAAATTTGTTGCAGTATTGTACAATTAATGCTGAAAATTCCTTACAGTAACGAATTTTTAAATATTGAATAAAGCTATTATTATTATTAAGATAACTAGTTTTATTTTGTTGTAACTGAGAATAATGAAAACAACAGTTATTAATAAAGATACATTGAGTGAATTCTTTTTCCCTCCCCATGTCAGCTTGTTCAAGATCCAACTCGTTTCGATGTATTAGTTATGCCAAACTTGTATGGTGATATATTGAGTGATTTAGCCGCTGGTTTGATTGGTGGTTTAGGTGTTACACCAAGTGGTAACATTGGTGAAACTGGAGCCATTTTTGAATCAGTAAGCTTGTCAATTTTTATAACTTTGATATTTAACTTACGTTATTTGTGATGCAGACAGTTTGTTCGTGTATTGTTTGAAGCATAAGTATATGGCTCAGCAGTTGTCTCTGTGTTGTATTCTGGTTGTGAATTGTGATCTATGGAAAAAGAAGACCATCTTGTAGGCCACTAGTGTTTGATCATAGGTATCTCTGAATTATTGCTCCCGTATTATGGAAAGACCTAAAGACTGATGTTGAGATTAGTAATAAAGTATTAGGCTAGAATAATAACCACTGTCTATCTCAACGGGCAACGCTAACTAATGTGATCGACCTACATCGTTTTGTGGGCATTGAGAAATATGGTGGATAAGAATGAACCCCAATAGTTAATTGTGAATTTCCATAAGTTGATAAATTTCCTATAAAACTCATATCTTAAAATCATAGGTATTTCAGATGGATTTTTTGTATGTATACTTTTGTATCAAATATTCTGTTTATTCAAAACACCTTAATAGTTTATTCCTTTATCTTCGCAGTGGAAATTATGTGGACATCTCTCGAGTAAGCTGAAACGTGTTTCAGAACCAACTATTACGAATGGCAGTTTCTGACAGTTACATTAAAGCTTTTTCTCGATTAGATCAAAATCTTAAAGTAGCATGTTTTTTTGTGAGAGCTGATTTTATTCGAATTTTTCCAACTGTGAATTATAACGATTCAGACTTAGCATATCTTAAACTGTAGTTATCCTGGAAATTTTGTATCATTCGATATGAATTTTTCATATTTTTTTGTAAAGATTAATATTCATCATACATGATTTTCAGGTACATGGTACCGCTCCTGATATCGCTGGTCAAGATCGTGCCAATCCAACTGCTCTACTCTTTTCAGCCATTATGATGCTTCGTTATATGAACTTAAATAAGCACGCAGATTTGATTGAATCTGCTGTATTGGCCACAATTCGTGAAGCAAAGGTATATCAATCTAAGTTGTTTTTAGTTTCAAAGGTTTCATATTACTTGCTTCGTTTATCAGTAGCCAGTATTTTATTTAATAAAATTCTGCTGTACAGTCTTCAATAGTCCGAAAATTAAAGTCCTTGCATGGGCCCAAATAAATCAATAAGGTCATTTTTTCCATCCAGTCTGATATTTTATATTGTTGCATTAAGGTTAGTAAAGTTTCTATTATCACCAATAGTGGATATATGTAAATTTGGATTGTGGTTGGTGACGGAATGGGAAACACGTTTTGTACCATATGGGACTCGTCATCTGGATGTACTTGTCTTTATCCCAGAGTTGATTTTCACTGGAATTCAACTCAAATATTTTTTGCGTCTAAAACCAAATGCATATGACTAAATAACATCATCAATAACAGGAAAATTCAAATTCTTACAAATGAAGTACCAGTGGTTATATCCAAAGATCTTTTTATCTCCATCAAAAATTTGACGGGGACATATTTATACTTCACTTATTCTTTTTTAGTAATACACTGGTTCATGATAAATCAACAGTAAATTACGAAAATTACAACACAAAATAGTATCGTTTTGTTTGAATCTTCCCATTGATGTTTTTGGACTGCAACTGGTCAGTCTCTAATTGGCATACTGTGCGTATTGCCTCGATATAGCCTAAATTCACAAACATAGTACTTTATGCATCACGAAAAAGCTTATCAGTAGGATAATGCAAACATACAATCATTGAATTCATTAATAATTAAAGAACAAAGATGTAAACAATAATTTCAAGTAGTAGACAATTCTGAAAGTTCAACTTTTCTAATACTCGTCCCGTTATCACTTTTGTGCTTGGTGAGAATTTAATGTAAGGTTAAGTAGTGTGCCAGTTCTCACGTTTTTTTAACCACCATTTACAGTTTGTTTGCATCTAAGTGAATGACTTAACAATAACTGGTATATATGTATATACATTGGTCAGCGACAATTCCTTTCAATTTACACAAGTACTGTTAAACTATTCGCTCTGATTTAGACGAAAGTTCTTATATATCAAACTTATCAGTTTGAGGATTGTTATTTACTCTTTCTTCATTTCTTATCAGATATCCTCACTCCCCCACAACTATATCGTTTTTTTTGTAGTGTTTTTCATACTGTTAACAAACGTGTAAGAAGTGTCGACACGTGTGTAGTACCTGTTTGATTAGGTGCAATACTTCTTGTTGACCGATGCATATTGACCAAATCAAGAGTAAACGAGTTTGTTGACAATTCCATTTTATATGAGATTTCTTTTAGTCCTTTCATTTAACATACAGCATCGACGTAGTAATTAATAACAGTTAGTGAAAAAGAATAGTTGTGTCTCTTAGATTAATTAAAATATTCAACTTGCACCCATTGTCTCTAAAGTTTGAACCATCTTCTTTCTAATTCTGATTGATAAGCCGAGTAGTATCACACATAATATTTCAAGTGAATGCTAATTGTATTAGCATTTCACCTCGATTATAAAGTTAAATAATATTGTACCTTGAGGTTATTTGTATGTTTATTAATTTTAGGAGTTTGTGGGGATTTTTTAAATCTCATAATTTATATCACAAACTAACCTTAGTTTGACAACGAATAAAGCCAAGAAGCATTAGATAGCTGTTTCGCCCTAGTATGAGATTCTTCAGGAATATGCATTATCCACTCCACCTTTGGTCAAACACGGATAGTCCAGATCTCGCTGCGAGCATCTAACTCTTGAACCATTAAGCAAAAATCTAATGGTTTACGTGTTTGATATTGAATCAACTCACGATACTGAGTAATCATCTTTCGGTACCATTAACAGATAAATTGCTCATTTCTAACATGATTGAACTTTACTGGTCATCTCTTGGGATCAATCTTTTCAGTTGCATACTACACTAGTTTTTTAAATACAAATTCTAAACTGTGTTCTATTTTGTTGTCGGTTGTTCATTACTAATCTATCCACTTTGGTATTTATTCATTCGCTCAAATATATACTACTTAAGCCATTAATTTTTTGTATTTATTTATTGTTATAGTTTATTCATGTTAATTCACATTATAGAATAACTTAAATCATAATGCATAGAACTCTGTTAAATAAATAATAAAAAAAATCAAGGTTATCATTGTTGCGCATACATTGACCGATTTATTGTGGATCACAAAAAAGTAATAAATGAATGAAAACTTGGTACCTTTTTTCACGCTACATACCGACACAACTATAAGCTAAAGTGATTTACTACTTACTAATAATAATCCACACAAAAAATGTCTCGTTTGTTTTTTTGAAATGTGACAATTGGTAACGGAATTTTGTTGTTATTGTTAAATGTTAACCGGCTAATGTCTGATTACACTTTAAAAAAACAACAACTATTTATAGTTTTGTCTCCAGATTTTTATCATCAGACCGATCACCTTATACTAGATGCATTATTCATTATAATTGATCTAGTTGCATTATATTTTGGATTAATAAATATATATATATATGTTAGTTTATTACCGATCTTCATCAATTAATTAAAACTGTTTTGTTTTTGTGCATTTGTATTGGTCCTTTGAATATTTTCATTAGTGTTTTAGAACTGCAATCAATTACTCTCTTTTGCCATATGTACATCCTGTGCAGATCGCCTTGGTCTCGCCCTTTGGTTTAAAGCGTTTGTTGAGCAGAGCTAGATAGTTACTAGTAGTAGAATCCTGGACGCGATTTTTATCCTATCTGGGATTCGTCATCTGGTGTATCTGCACTCCAGTGCTGATGGTCACATCGATACTAGTTTGTATAACAACGGAGTTAATTTCATTTCATTTACATTGGCTGTTTGAATCCTCTCATTGGTGTTATGTACTGCAATTGATCAATCGCTTTTAGTATATGATCAAGCGCGCGTCCTATATCCTAATGTTAACCACTATCCATCTCTGCTCATAAAACACTTTCTTTTCACATCCCATCTATCATTATTCATCGTGGCAGCTTTTTTAAGTATAGAATTACGATTGATATCATGTTGTGAATTTCCGATTATTAAATACATATGTCATAAATGTCCTAGAAGTACAAAAATACATATGTTTTAAGAAATTAATGAATGTCTACATTGTTTGAAATTATGCTTAATTGACTCCAATCCTGAAAGCGAGTTAATCCGGTGTTTTTAATCTCTGACTGATGTGTTGTACAGCGGTAACAATCAATGAAATTTTCACTGCGAGTGTCGTGAACAAAACATGGGTGGGGACGATCGAAAGTATTTAGACACAAATTACAGACTATCTCACTAAATTCTGATAACCATACAATGAACAGTTAGTTTGCAAATTAACAACCCATTGTCTCAATCTTCACTGTTTTTTTTGTAAATATCAGCCCCTCTTCTCTAATTTCATTGTTTGTGCATTTTCCTACCAAATGCGCTTCATTTCAGTTCTTTCCTTATCGGTCTTCTGCCAAAATACATTCTATGTCCAACTATCGCTATATTCTACTTATATATATATATATACTTATATATAAGTATATATATAAGTAGACCACACCACACTAGTATACAGGTTCAAATCTGAACTCATATGTTCTGATTTGTCCAGACGGCTCCTTGGACAGACAAAAACATATGGTGTAAAACAACACTCAAGATCACATATCGAGATGTTACTAGTAACATGGTATTCAGTTTTCAACTGTGACATCTTGTAGGTTTAAGTTATTTACACTAATCGATCACTGAGTAAAGTAGCGAATGTTATATGTGTTTACTTGATGACATTCAACTAACACGAATCCTTGATCCTATCGATGACTATAAATCATATATCATGAAAACATTAGGGAAATTATATCAAATAACCAACACTAGTGAGTTCAATCAATGAAGCTCAATCAGTGCTAACGAATGGGTATTTTTTTTTACTGCTTATTGATCAATCAGCCTACAGTTAGATTTCATTTATTTGTCCATGTTTATGTTAACACAGTCGTTCAAATGGGTTGTGGAGTTAATCTTTTCATCCTGATTACTTTAAATATTTTCTTTTGCAATATTCACAGTCATCCAGTGGTTCCATATAATTTTTACTATACGACCTATTCATCTTTTATGTAATGGTCTCACAATTTAATGTAAATATTATCTCTTATCTATAAATGTATTCATGTGTGTTATTTTAAACTATCGTATGATTCCATGTTGTAGTCTGTAAATAGTCTGTTCCAAACATCTGAATTATTCCTAGTAATGTCATTTACAGTTCTAATAACTATGTACTTCTCTCTTTGTATCTATACTCTATTGTGTTTTCAAGTATGTATGTATGTATGGTTTTTCTCAAAAGAAATAGGAACTTTAATTTTTTGGATACATAAGTATACCACTTGATCATAACACCAATTCTCAGGATCATCAAGCAATAAGAATGAGCTGATCTACCTCACCACCCACCTAAATATATGTTTGTACATTCACACATGCACACACATACTTACATATGTATACTCACTAAATCAAATAAACTGTACAAGGTATATACATGTACACAATTATCGAATCATATATATATATATATATATATATATATATATATATATATATATATATATATATGAATATTAACATGATCATATTCATATTACTTTACAAAGTGGCGAGACTATTTGGATCATGTGTTGTTCTTTTGAACAGAAAGAATAAATGACCTTGAACGGAAATTACTGATATGTTAAATAAATATTTCAAAAATTAATTAGAGTTGACCAGATTAGATCATTGAATTTAATTCTAGTGATTTGTAGCTATCATATTAAATATAAACTATGCAAGTCATGACTAGGAACCCAATCTCACAGGGGTCACATTTTTTTGTTGTTGAAATGGATATTCAAATAATAAAACTTGGTTACCAATAGTCCTCTAACCAATTTCTATTTGTTAGAAATAGATTTCCCTTCAAAATTATTTTATAAAA